GAACGATTGTCCTGCTCCAGCCCAGCATGCCCATCCTTCAACTTTCTTGATCCGAGGGGATTTGACTGAAAAACGCTCAAACACAGAAGTATCATCCAATATCAGAGAAATCAATTTGATTGATTATATGTAAACTGCTACTTGACAGCTCATTCCTCCCAATCATCTTTTTTACTCAAAACAATGCATGTGAACGATTGCCCTGCTCCGTCCCAACATCTCCATGCTACAACTTTCTTGATCCGAGCCAATTTGGCTGAGCAACGCTAAACAAAGAAACACCATCCAAGCATCAGAAAAATCATTTTGATTCCCAGCTCTTCCACACCCACCTTCTTCCCTCTTCCACCCATTCGCAATTGTTGCCTCATTCAAGTACAATTACCACCTGCGAACGATTGTCCTGCTTCAGCTCATCATGTCAATCCTACAGCTGCCTTGATCCGATTGTCTTTGACTGAATGACAGCTTCATGGCGTGTACATGTCACTCTACTCCAACACATGCCTTTCTTGATACAACTCAACGTCTTGCACATTCCTCTGCCACGATCAAACTTAACAGCATTCAATCCAGCAGTCGCCATTAGCAAGGTGTTTACTCCATTGTCTCAAACAGCGTTCTTTACTTGCAGCAACTTGACTTGCAGTCTCTTTTTTACGTGAACAGCAGATAGCCATCGTATAGAAGCAGCTTTATTTACGTGTAGCAACTTGTTTTCAATACATACGAATTCTTATGGATATGGATTTGAATACGTTTTGGTTTGTGTATGGGATGGAAGGAGTTGGATGTGTACAACGCGGCATTGTCAACTTTACCTGAGCGATTGATGCGTCCAAATTATCGTGTTTTCATGGCAGCGACGTTCGTCATCCTATGTGAAACTTGTCAACCACTATCATCATCAACCAACCGCATAGTTTGATCTGCATCACGCATCAAGTGTCACCTCGCGTCCATCCATATCTTTGCGCCCAAAGGATAGGAGCTTCCCAAATTGGTGGATCTCTCATTGAGCAATTCGTTGAACCTCTCAATCTCTTGTGAATGATATGGGATCAAAGGGCTACTCTAGCGGATGCGAGATTGGGGTTGCCATTCCTTCTTCCCGGATTGGACATCGTAGCGTGCGAGCAGTTGATGGATTGTATTATAGAAAGAGTTATGCAGAATTATAGAAAGTATATCATTTGTGAATGCTCTGATAAAGAAAAAGGACATGATTGATCCATTGTGTCTTGAACGAAGGCTGTGGTTTAGACATTATAATATAAGGCGAGAGATACAAATGAGTATGGTGGATATTTGGATGAAGAAGTATCATACATCAGAGAGAGGTACCTGTATGTTTTTCCTTCACTCGAACCCTATTTTGAGTGGCACGGACGTTGGATGCTTATTCAGTAGTAAGAGCTTTCGGACACGTTAATCACAAAGACACCCCACTTGATGATGCTATATACGCGGCTTATCAATATGCATTAAAGAGCGGAGATTAAGGAAGTCAACGCAACTGTAGTGGTAATTGTGCTCGCTGAAGGCACGTGGTTTACAACAATCACATGGCTTGCCACAGGTCGGGTGTGTGTCTCTTTTTGCATGACTGAGTAAACATTGCAAGCAGCTAAATTTGTTGGCTGAGGAAACAATGAGCCACAGTCAACTGCTGAGCCGATGACACTATAGTAGTACAAATGATGCAGCCGTAAAAAAGATGCTCCCCGGCGCAGCATTTGGTTTGCATTTCTCTTTCGCATACCTATCAACTTTACAATGTCCTTTAACAACAACGGTATTCCTTCTCCATATTCAAACGATGATCAGGTAAGTTATTCTACCATGGTTTGGTACCTTTGTAATCCCCACTGACATATATTCCAGGGACCCGAAGATGCTGGTAAACTTTGATCCTAGCAACAACATGGAATGAAGTAACTTAAAATTATACAGGAATTGGCGGCATGGCTTCCTCAGCAGACGATAATAATATCACGCTCAGTGTTCATCCACATCTCCAGCAAGGCGATTATCAATTGTCCGATTGTAAGTTATTACCATGATTAAGGCGATGGCTTTGTTTATGAAGAATGGGTGCTAATATGTTACTATCTTAGGTCAAGGACGGAAAAGAGCTCTTTTGATTGGTATCAACTATATTGGCACCGAGAATGAGTTGAATGGTAAGGAGGAGGAGTGGCAGTCTTTGATGAAAAAAGTCAAGGCCACTGGGAAAACGGAAGTCAAGTAGTAAAAGAGATGGCTAAACGGAAAGGCATGCGTGGATAGGTTGTATCAATGATGTTCACAATATCAAGGATTTTTTGATCACGCTATTCGGATTCAAGGAAGAGGATATGGTTATTTTGACCGATGATCAAACAGATCCAAAAATGACCCCGACTCGCTCCAACATCATTGCTGCCATGAAATGGCTTGTGGATGACGCACAGCAGAACGACTCGTAAGTCGAGTAAATCCATCACCAATGCTCATTGTTGCTTACTTTTCCTATTGTAATAGGTTCTTTTTCCATTTTAGCGGGCATGGTGGATCGGTATGTGCCGCAATGTGATGCTTTAGCGGTGATGATTATTAACCGGAAATTGGATGAATAGGTGGTAGATGTATCTGGTGATGAAACTGATGGGTTTGACGAAACCATTTATCCGATCGATCATGATCAATATGAAGGAACTTCAGGTCAAATCTTGGATGATGTACGTACGCGTTAATACAACATTCGAGCCATTTACTAATACTTGTTTCATCCATCTAGGACATGCATGAATTGATGGTTGCCCCATTACCTGCCGGTGTTCGGCTTACGGCCATCTTTGATAGCTGTCATTCGGGTACAGCACTTGATCTTCCATATGTCTACTCAACAAAAGGTGTTATCAAGGATGATAATTTGTTTAAAGCAGCGACAAAGGGATTGGTTTCAGCTGGTTTGGCCTATGCCCAAGGTGACCGAGAAGGGGCAATGGAGTCTATTCGTGACCTAGGACACCAATTGATCACCACGCGTTTCAAGGAGGCTTCGAATCGACAATCCTACAGCTCACCGGCAGATGTGGTTATGTTTAGTGGGTAAGCTTGGAGGAAAGTTGATGAATGATCTCACTGGGAATTTGGAGTGATTCATTTACAAGCATGATGATGTAGTTGTAAAGATGATCAAACTTCGGCTGATGCACAAGAAGCAGGAAGAGCCACAGGAGCCATGAGCTATGCATTTACAAGTATGTAAAGATCTTGAGGAGTTCACTCATGACAAATTCAAGCGCTAATACGTAGCATTGTATAGAAACCTTGCGTGAAAATCCAAACCAAACGTATCAAGAGCTCTTGAACAGCATTCGCGATATTCTTAGCACTGGCTATTCTCAGCGACCGCAGTTGAGCTCGTCACATCCACTTGATGTAGATTCTTTATTTGTGTGTTAATTAGATTTTTGTAAATGAGCTATGTATGTACAGGGGTGTATTATTATTAAAGGGGATCTTCTATAAAAGACATGTCTGTGCGCACTTGTTGAGGGGGAGGGGACAGGCAAAAAAAGTCTATGGCTTGGACTTGGAGATGGGGTGACCCACCTGTAAATTTCCGATCGCCCCAGTTGATGCGTTTTCTTGTTGCTGGTGTTTTTCCTTTTCCATGTTGCAGCAGTTTCCTTCACACTCGATAGCGACCCATCAGACCAACCAGCACCGCCTTATGAATTCAAATCACGATGAAGCCCAGTCGAACTACAATGACTTTAACGAGATCTTGCAATCGGAGGTCTATGTTGATTTGGAGCGTTTGCGAATGTTAGCGAGACATGGCGTCCCGAATGAACTCCGTGGGGTGAGTTTTATCCCTTATCTCGGAACCATTTCCCCCCACTACCACCCTCGGCCATTGAGTTGTCTATGTGCACGATGAATTTAGACCTATATGTGTGTATACAACAGGAGGTTTGGAAATATCTATTGGGTGTCCAACAAGCTGATCGATGTAAGTCCATCCATTCACTCACTCACACATTCCCCATTGATTTGATAAATCTAACATCAACACAGCCAAGGAACTTAGCATGTCCAAGGCCAGGAAGGATGATTATCTACAAATGGATAAGACAGACCCTGATGTGGCAAAGCGTATTCGAGGTGAAGTCTCACGATTGCAACGACGTGTTCCAATGTTGGATGGTCGCCATTATCTTGCTCGCTTCGAAAATGTCATCATCGCCTATTTGAACACCAATCGAGATGCCGAGTATCATCCAGCCATGGTATCCTTATGTGCACCATTTATATACGTCCTCGATGAAGAATGGGATGCCTATTATTGCTTTGAACAAGTCATGCAAGCTTTAGGTGAGGATCTCTATATATGCCTATCAAAACACAGCTTTAACACTTTACATACATACATACATAGACGAGCATTATACCATGAATACTACGGTCAAAGAAAGCGTTGCCAAGTTTATGACCCTCTTCCGTTATATACTGCCAGAATTGCAAGTATCCCTTCTATTTGATGTTACACACAGTGGCTGATTTATGCAAACTTTAGATGCAATTACTTTGAAGAGGAAGAGGTGAACATACACGAATGGATAACGTCTTGGCTGCAATACATGCTTTCTCGAGAAATGAGATTTGAAGACCTTATACGGTTATGGGGTATGTACGGATGTTTATCTTTGGGAAACGCAATCTAAGGTCATTCGCTGTAGATGCGTACTTTGCTATGCCTGACTTTTTGGAATTCCATCCCTTTGTTTGTCTCGGTGAGTAGTGTTTGTGGCACAAATGAATTTGGGTGAATGGATGGATGAGTGACTCATTTGTATTCTCAAGCCATTCTCTTCAACTTTCGGGAGAGCCTGGAAGACTTGGAGCAATCAGAAATCAGGACGATGTTACTTTGTTTACCTTACATGCGTATTGAGCGAGTAAGTGCCTTACCCTTGTGTTCGTGTGCTGATGGCTTATTATATCCACTTGCTATGTTAGGTATTGGTAGAGGCATACAACTTGCGACATGAAAGTATGGAGCGACAACTCTCGGAAGATGGAGGATATCTATAACACATCACGACCCACTTTGACTCGCCTTCTCTCAATCAATCACACTACCTATTGCATTCACCATCCTCATTTTCATTTACTGTTATCCATTTACATCTTATTTGTAATTTATGTTCAATGTTTTCGGTTACAGCGGCTTATGATCGATAGCTGTGAAGACGTATTTTGATACAAGTATTAGACTGCATTATGCAAATACATATTCCTCCCACTACATCATGTACCACCAATGATAAATCTATATTGAGTATGAATGTGTTTGAAAAGTGCAAGTTGCAAATGAGGTCTACATCCAAAAGGAAAAAGAGACAGCAGAATCGACGAGGAAATAAATGTTGTGTATACATTTTGTGTGGCATTGTTCTATATTACAAAGGAAAAAAGAAGTTGGGGCGTATATAGGCGGAAAAAGGAATCAAGGGAGCTGGTTTTTTAAAGACATGGAAAACAAGAGCATGAGGGGAAATGAAAGCTTATTTAAGAAGAGCCAACGTAACGGTCCTTTTCGAGCAACAAGACAATTTCATGAACACCTTGGGCAATGGAATGCTTGCTGAGATCAATAGTAAGGTCGGCATCATCAGGTGTCTCATAAGGAGCATCAATACCAGTAAAGTCCTTGATTTCACCCTTGCGAGCACGCTCATAGACACCATCATGATCACGCTTGATGCATTCATCCAAGGGAGTGGAGACATGCACAAGATAGAAACCACCATACTTTTCAATGGCCTTGCGAGCATTCTTACGAGCCTCATCAAACGGAGCGATAGGAGCCACAATAGCAGCAGCACCTGCACGCGTCAATTCGCCAGCAACGAAAGCTTGGCGAGCAATGTTGAGATCACGATCCTTTTTGGAAAAGCCAAGTTCGGAAGAAAGTTCGGTGCGGACATTTTCACTCATGAGCAAAGACACAGAGCGAGAGCCTTCTTGGTTCAAGGATACTTGCAAGGCACGAGCAAGAGCATTCTTGCCAGAAGCATGCAAGCCAGTGAAGAAGATGGTGAAACCTTGTTGAGCACGAGGAGGATGGGATTGACGAAGGACCTTGACCACTTCAGGATAAGAGAACCATTCAGGGATAGGCAAACCAGTACGCAAACGACGGCGTAACTCTGTACCACTGATGTTGAGGGTCTTGACTCCTTCAGGAACCTCATCGGCAGGCATGTATTCATCCGACTCAGGGCAGTAGGCCACCATTTGGAAAGGAACAATTTCAATACCAATCTCATCCTTGTACTTTTCAACCAAAGCTTGAGCATCATAAGGACCATAGAAATCAACACCTTGCGAGTTCTTGCCAGGACCAGCATGGTCACGACCCACAATGAAGTGAGTGACACCATGGTTCTTACGGATCAATGCGTGCCACACAGCTTCACGAGGACCACCCATACGCATAGCCAATGGGAGCAAGCTCAACTCAGCCATACCATTAGGATACTTTGGCATCAAAGCCTTGTACACACGCACACGGGTATAATGATCAATGTCACCAGGCTTGGTAAGACCAACCACAGGGTGGATGAGCAAATGAGCCTTGCGAGCACGAGCAGCACGCACAGTCAATTCACGGTGAGCACGATGCATGGGGTTACGGGTTTGGAAAGCAACAACGCGAGTCCATTGAAGCTTCTTGAAATGAGCACGAAGTTCACTTGGAGTGACTATAAAGACACATAAACCCTTTAGTTTCTCTTTTCTCTTTCATCCAAATAATCCTCATGTTTATACTTACATCGGTTGGCGACATAGTCATAGTGAGCAGGAGATTGAATAGCTTGCAAAGAACCACCAACATAGAATTCCTTGGCAACGTTGTGAAGGTAATACACGGCAGGGTGAGCTGCATCATCGGCACCATAAACCTTGGCAGCTTCGTTGGACTTGTCAGGACGATACACATCATCCACGGTCAAGATAGCCAAGGGTTGATAATCACGAGGGTCCACAAGAGCAATACGGTTCTTGGGTTGGATTTTAGATTCATCGATTTCAGCTTGGTTCACATCAAGTGTAATCGGCATCGGCCAAAGTAGGCCCGAGGTCAAACGCATGTTTTCCACGACACTGGTAGCACAAAGTATCAATGCAATTGTTCCTTCATTGTCATAGATGATCCATCATTATCATTACCCTTCATAATCCTTTTGGTTAAGGAAACCTTCAAGGGGAGAGAAACCACCATTGAGGAGGAGTTCAAGATCACAAAGTTGACGATCGCTCAAGACAAGAGTAGGAAGGGTTGCTGCTTCGGCAAGGAGTGCGTCGTGCTTGTCAGCATCGCGTAAATGAAGGTCCTTGAGGACACCACCGTGAGGAGTATTAGACATGGTTGAGTTTAAAGGAATAGAAAAAAAGAGCAAAAAGAGTAAACAAACAAACCAACAGCTCTTTGTCAGGGCATTTTATACCATCGGTTGTTGCCTTGAAAGTGTTCAATTGCGCCATCGAGCTTGTGTCCAATTGGAGTAAGTTGATCCGAGCTCCGCATCTAACTCTATAACGATCACGAAATTTAGATATTATCGGCCCTCGGGACGTTTATCGCGGAGAATCGGTCAGTCCGGTATGCCGCCACCATCACCCACTGCTTATGATTATAACCTTTTTTTTTTTGTTCTCAATCAACACCTTTTTAATATCTCTGGGTAACAATGGGAAAGAAGACGATACAAAATGATGCAATAAAGAAAACATTGACTGATTTGCTCAATCGATAGAGGAGGCAATCCATGAAAGATGATGATGATGATCAGCTGAGACACGTAAAAAAAAAGTAGATCAACTAGCAGCATGACGCAATTTCGAGCCAACACCAGGTGGGCAGAATCTATTACCATCTGTAAGAGATTGTAGGAGCTGAAGGCAAATGTAACCTCACACATACTATGGAAGATGTCACATGCTAATTTTTGTTCTTGGTATTCGACGAGTTGTCATTGTTGCTCTCCACCTGAGGCATCGTCATTCCTCCAGCTTGAGCTCTGCTTACGATCTTGTTGGCCCATTTTACTACTGGCATATCGATCCTACGCGATAAAAGTATTAGTTTGGATGTATACATACATATGCATAATCGATACAAACATTTTTCCATCCAAGTTGAAAGCACCAACGCCTTTCTCAGCATGATGCTCGAAGCCTTCAAGAATCCTTACAGCATGTTCAAGATCTATCCAACAACATGAATGCTTTGTAAGCAACCGATCAAGAGGATCCATCCATCTATATACAACTTACCTTTTGGATCGGGTAAAAACATCTCTTGTATGATATCGATTTGTGATGGGTGGATAGCTTGTTTGCCAGTGAAACCGAATTCCCTCCCTTCCTTGCATTCTTCACGTAATACATCCTCGTCCTGATAGTTCACGCAAACCTGTGTCCGTATTGCGTCAATATGAATATGACTACCTTTTAATGACACTCCTTACCAAATCCAAGGATTGTAGACCATATGCACCAGCCGCATTGACAATCGTTTGCCGTGCAAAGAGCATTTCATTTCGACGTCTGGTACGAATCAAGCCTGATAATTGATTGTGAGTTTCCTTATCCTGAGGTAGCAGCGAGTACATTGGTACATACCAAGATCAGCACAATAGTCCTCTGCGGCAAACTAAGGATGGTTGATTAATTCACCATACATCTCAAACGAGAACCTTTACTACTCACAATCAATGCATCTAGACGAGGATCCGCTGTCGCAATTTCACGAATGTTCATTATGCCGAGTGCACTTTCAACCGATGCAATCAAACGAATGCGTTCACGTCTATTAAAGGCATTTTGAGCACCATATCCATCACCATCATCATCCTTAAACTTACTGTGACTCTACAGCAACCGAATCGATCATCCTGCTCACGAAATTGATGTCTTTTGCGCTCTGAACTTTGGGGATAACGATAGCTTGCAGCCGTTTGGAATGAAGCTAGTAAAATAGAAACATGATAAACATTCACATATACAAGGCGTGGTGATACACAGCATTGCCAACTTACAATGACATTCAAATCGTCCAGTTCCAGGCCTAAATCACATGTTAGAAAAGCGTATTGTGTGATGATGGATGTGCTTTACCAGTTCCAATTGCATTGATACGAACAGCCTTTTCCGCTTTGCCATGTTCGGATGCCTATGGGATTTACCCAGTTATTATCTTTTTGCCTATGGTTTATAATGCTTTTGCCCATGTACCTCGAGTGCGTCAATAACCATATGGCGTGCAGTTCCCTTTTTGTTCAAGGATACGCTATCCTCCAAGTCATAGACGATACAATCGGCACCCACAGATATGGACTTGTGGATTTTTCGCTCGTCGCTCCCAGGAACTAGTGTGCATATATGCAAAGGTCAATAAAGCATAGTTTGATGTTACCAATACCAATGTACCATAGAAGAGTGCTCGTCTTGACCTCGAAGAAGAAGAAAGGTCTGGCAATGCGCTAATTGCTCGGTATTGCCCAGTGCTCGTAACACGTCGCGTAGCTGGGATTACAACTAGAATACGGCCATTTAGATACAAGCCATGGAGTCACTTGCTGTCAATGTACCTTTTCGTAATGAAGTAGCTAGAAGCGACATGAGATTCAGTGTGTGAAAGAGAGAGAAAGAGAGGTGTGGAGTGAACGAGATAGGAAAAGGAAAAAGCCAACATGCGTTTTTTTATCTGCGGTGATTGTTCAAGCGCATGAGTTGAAGCGGAGGATGTAACATGCACTCTTCTGATACGTTGGATAAGTTGTTGGATATTAAACCATCCACACGTCATTTATTGATGATCGTTTTCTCAACAAGGGAGCCTCTATTGTAACTAGTTGTAGGACCATGATTGCCGCTGAATCGTAGAACGTAACGCACTGAAATGCTGTATTTGACTTATCCATTGGCGCTTTTGACTCATTGAGGGTGCTTTCACGGATATCACCTGATTGCCATATACCAGCTGGAACCCTGCATCTTCCGATGACACTATCCAAGATGTCAATACATGATGAATGGTGATTCAAGTCATATAGTACGTTACCTGTTGTACTACCAGAAAATGGAGCTTTGATAGACATTTGCTGTGGCAGCTGGCGGATGTTGATCCTATCCAGGTTTAACGGCTATAGGTTGGTAGCTCTATTAGTCCACTGCCCATATCATTTGAAATGATGACGATGATTACCTCCTTGTACAGCCGATGTAAATAACCTTCAGGGCTAAGCTCTCGTAGCGGTTCCGTCAAAATAAGCGTGTCATTGAATAAATAGCCATGCAATTTACGGCCGCTTTTGGCTTTATACAAGACTCCTTCCATGACAAATTCACGACCGTGCACCTTTAATTTCTATTGTGCTCATGTGAATACCCTTTCCGGTTCTTTTTTGATGGATCCCCCTTTCACTTACTGCATGCCCTCCCATATCCAATATCCTGCTTAGCTCATCCATCTTTTGTATATTCTCGTAACGTCTTGTTTCTTCATTCACATGCTGCAAGATGGATTCAGTCTTGATGAGAGCAGAACGTAAAAGGCCATAGTCCGAATGACGTCTTGGGGTGGCATTCAAAATCTAAAGATGAAGAAGAGATACGGGTTATTTTCCATGCCATACGACACATGGCGTCTTACATTTTGTAATAATAGCGGGTATCGGGTGATGCGTTGCATCGGCTCTAGTAAAAAGTGGGAGAGATCTAAGCCTCGACATTCTGGCCTAGATTGAGCAGTCTATCATCATCATCGTCTCATCAATAAATTGCATATCCACAAAGGTGGGGTATATATATACCTTCAAGAATACGTTGAACCACTGGTCTTGTTTCCTCTTATCCTGTAAGAGTCGGCTCGCAAAGGATTGATTTCGGCAGTATGTTGAATAACATTTGAGGTTGTCAGCCTATCTTAATCTATTAGCAAAATACGAGAGTACAACGCAATAGGGTAGTCAACTTGCATGTTTAAGGAATATATCTCCAATCTTGGATACAACATTCGCTCCCTCATTTTGGCGTGCTTCCATATCACTCAATAGCGCCGTGTTGGTCAATAACAAATCATCAATGTTGGAGAACACCACATCCTGTTCATCACGTGCAAGGTATTTCATGGATTCAGTGTAGAAAACCTATACATCTTGATGAATACAAAAGTCATCTCCGTTCATCATTTACTTACATTGGCAATAAGTTGAAGGTCACGCAAGTAGGACTTTTCAGTGCTGACAAGTTCGAAAATCGCTTCTTGACGTTTCCTTTCCTCAGGTGAAATAACAGCCAGCTCCGATGGATCCATAGTGCTTGCCCAAGTAACCAATCCCGGAGTTGCAGACATAGATGATATAGTAGATGATGATGGTGATGATGACGATGTTTGTCGATGATCAATAGGTGCTGATGATAATGACCCAGCCAATCCAACATTGCTTGTAGCACGTCGTCGTCGAGCTGTCTCTGATCTATTGGCGCTCAATGTCTCTTTCTTCATCACCGGGGTATTGGGAGCTGACATGTTTCTGGAAGAGTCATCTTCGGGTGGTGCTTGAAGCATGATAGTAACTGGATCAGAGGTAGGATGATTTGAATGAATGCTTGGTGTGTCTGTGGATGGTACTAGAAATGGATACATTTATGATTCAGTTTATCTTTTTTCATCCCCTTGCTCATATCAATGAATGCGGCACACAAATGATCACGGGTTTATTAAAGACTTGCAGCGCCTCTCTAACATGGAAGGTGCCGAATAAAAGAAAGAGTATAAACTTACCCGAAGGAATCACTTCAACGTATGTCTTTGGAAAATAGCCTGCCTGGTGAGTGTCCTCGTTTGTGCCATACCACCAATCGCTATCTTCATCTTGGAAAGGTTGCACCACAATAATCTCGTTCTCTGTAAATCCAAGGTCGTCTTCTCTCGTCTTTTGGAAATCATAGAGCGTGCGAACTCGGAATGCTATTACAGATAAACAAGTTGGCATATATACATAAAATGGCCATTTCTCTACACGCACACACACACACACACACACACACACACATACCTTGATCCACCACTTCCACATAAGTACGCGGGAAAAATCCAGATTGATTTGTCAACAGTGAAGTGCCATACCACCAATCACTATGGCTGTCCTTGTGCGGGTATGCCTTGATCACCTCGTCCTCTTTGAAGCAAAGATCATCCTCACGTGTACCACGATATTCATAGAGCGTCTTGACTCGATAAACTATTGCCCATTTAGTCATCATACCTCATCATGTAAGCATGGGTGCTAGACTTACTTGTGCCAAAATCGACTTCATCACTCAAATCAACGTCTTCAACAATGGTTGTTATTGTGTTGTCTTGTTGATCATTTGATGTTGGTATAGGCTCTTGTTGTTGATCGTCAGCCGAGGGTGTGTGCTCTTGTTTATGGTGTTCAGCGAGCCATTGTTGTTGTCTTTGTTGAGCCTCGATTTGTGCAGCTTCAATCTCACGTGCTTTACGTTCAAATTCCTCTTGACGCAATCGTTTCTCCTTGGCAGCTTGTTCAGCAGCAAATCTAGCACGGCGTTGACGTTGTTCTTCAGCAGCTCTTTCATCCTCTTCTTCAATCTCACGTTGTCGTTGTCGTTCCTCGGCAACTCTTTTTTCCTCTTCTTCAATCTCGCGTTGTCGTTGTTCCTCAGCAACTCGTTTTTGCTCTTCTTCAATCTCACGTTGTCGTTGTTGTTCCTTGGCAACTCTTTCCTCTTCTTCAATCTCACGTTGTCGTTGTTGTTCTTTTGCAACTCTTGTTTTCTCCTCTTCTTCCATCTCATGTTGCCGTTGTCGTTCCTCGGCCATTCTTTTCTCTTGCGCTTGCTGCTGTTGCCTTAATGCCTCTTTATCTGATTCCAAACGTGCCTTATTTCGACGCTCGCGCATAGTTTGTAATCGTTCTCGTGCATCAGCCTCCGCTTTGCGTAAACGTTCCTGAGCTGCTTTTTCATCCTCACTGATAGCCTTTTCTGGTGCACAAGTAACGTGTTCACGTCGTGCTCGTAGATTGCTCGTAGATTTGCTGTTCTTGCTAGCGAATAAAAGTCGACGTTGTTCGATTCGACGTTGTGCTTCGGCTTTGATGTCCACTGTTGAACGTTGAGAGTTGATAGAATTGGATGAATTGGAAATTGGAGGAGATGGTGGTAATGGTTGTTGCTTATACACAGTGTTGTTGTATCTGGGCGATGATGATGATGATGAAGATGGTGATGATGATGAAGTTGGCTTATCAAGAGATTCGATAAAACGTGCCAATGGTGCTGATACAAACAATCCCTTTTCAAACATTTGTCGTTCCTGTTGCTTTTGACGATCTTCTTTGGATGATGATGGTGATGATGATGATAAGCTGCTTAATTCATGCCGTACAATGTGATGAGCATCGTGTCGTAGGCTGTTGATATCCTCCATGATTCTGCCATCGTCATAATTCAATTGAGTCAATTCATGCAGTCGGTTGTTCTCCAAAGTCAATGCATCCAAAGTGCTTTGAATACCAGTGTTCACCATGTACTCGAGCTCCTTCTCCAAAGCATGACCCTCACTCTGTAAATCCTCCAACCGTTTCTTGTTCAACTCATATCGAGTTATCAACGTCTGCGTTGCTCCCGTAGTTGACCCATGCAGCTGTTCACTCAAGCTTCTAATGCGTGATTTCAGGTCGCTCACGTCGTGATGATGGTGGTGGTGGTGGTGTTGCCCATCGTCATCCAAGGCTTCCAAAAGAATGTGTTGCTCTCTGATGGCTTTGTGCAGTTGCATAATACGAAGGTCCATGTCGTTATCACTTTCAAAGAGACTCATCGAATGGCCAGCACCATTGACCTTTCCATATTCATTCATGGTGGAGTGCCCGTTTGCTCGAGATGTAGTTGTTAAAGAAGTAGCTCAGTATCTCAGACATACAATAAAGACCACATCTTTCAATGAATGACCCAGTGATAGATTCTAGACTAGGTGTGCATAAAATACAAAGTACAGTTGCTTATCCTTTACATACGTACACCAATCTCTTTATGTTACAAGTGGTGGTGGTTGATATACACAATGCATTTCCCTCTCCCTCCTCCTCTCCCCTTGCTTCCTTTGACAACAACCCATCATCCCAACAAAGGATAAATATCATCTTGCCGCCTTTTTAAAAGATATTCATTCAGTAGTGTGGGAGAACTGGCCGTTGCAATGATGGCATCAACCTAAAGGTATCACTCATTTATCCCACGAGCAGGATTCTGAGCCGATTGGTTCCTGACACCAACCACCACCATGATGGTTTAGCTCCTCAACAAAAAAGAATCCCCACTTGTCTCGACAACATCCAACTCAGAATTCTAAATCAGGATCTCCTTTTCGTATTGCGTGAGAACGTAATATTTCGTTAGTCAAGTGATGTGTATAATGAAGGGTGGGAACCTCCCAACATGTGCAACGTGAACAGCATGCTATCGTTGCCATAGATTCTGCTTTGACTATGATCCAGCTTCTTTTGTTTCTCTTTTCTCACCATTTTGCTTGGTCCTATTCACTAAGATAGTCTCATTCGTCCTATTGTGGGGAATACAAAGTCCACATTGACTTCCAATGGAATATGTAGAGCGCTGGACAATGCAGTGGTGCTTTGTAATCCGATGTGGTACGTTGCACAGGATGGTGCGACCCAATCAATCGTTATTCTTGGTGTTTCTAATCAAGGTGGGAAGAAAAATGAGCCCTCGGAATAATAAAGAAAGATGAAAAGGATCGTCGTTTTCTCTTCCAGACAACGTTATATGAACCCGGGTGTCACCTTTCAAATATCCATGCATAGCAGATCAGAAAATGCGATCGTGTTCATAAACCAAAATACAAAAAATGTTCAATACCCTAATCCAACCATGGTACATTGCTCATTAATGTACAAAGTCATGTAGCCCTTTTCAACGGGCTTGGCCTCAGCGCCCAAAAGTGGGGAATATGCAGCTAACTACGGGATGCTAAACCGGAAAAGGTATCCATGCAACCACCTCACCTACTTTTCACAGCTAGTGCCGGCCTGTACTATTGTTGCGTTTCTTTTCATCTATAGTAGTACGTCTGCATTTTGATCTCTCTCACACATTATTCTCAAAGCCCTCTCCCATGTTCGAAAATATCCCTTTTGTGAAAGACAACTTTGCCAAAACAATCAAAATGACACGGCATCATATTATTTTCACTGATTTTAGCGTTCCAACCATACAACATTTACACGCTCACGGTGGGAAACCATGATGATGAGACATATGAATACGCGCAGCATTCTTTGATCCGGACAATGAGATGCAAAAGAGCATACACCAAACGCAGCTGGTTGGCGCACAATGTTATTCCGACCAATCTATTGTAGATCTACTACTACTATTTTCATGATTCTCCCCCTCCTTCTCTAAAAGAAGAATCTGTCATTTTGTTTGTTTATACAACACGTGTAAGTCAAATCATTGTGCCTGTGCCTGATGATGTACAAGCATAGATGCAAGTTTCTTTTACCGCCGTATACATCCTATAGAATCAAAAAACCACGACCGGTCTCCTTTCCTTTTTTTGTATGTTATCCATGCAACCATTGAAGAAATGGCCAGATTGCTTATCCGATGGAAATACGAGATGAATGACCATGCAATAAAGTTGATATTGTGGCAGCACATAAAGAGATCATGGAAGAGAAGGGGGTGAGTATTTCACATGAGAACACGGTTGGATAGCTTTTTTTCTTTCGTTACCAAGACGATTGATATTAGCTTTGTGCGCCCATTGGGTATACCATCGTAACCCCAGAAGAGGTCCAACGACTGCAACGGTTGAACAAGATTTATTAAACGTATATCCTTGTCTGGCAGAGAAAAATCGAGTCTTTCATCTTCTTGTACCTCTCTTTTTTTCTTCTTTCTCTTTCTTTTTTTTTCTTCATCTCCTTGAACGTCTCTCTTTTACCCTCTTTTGCTGTGCAAAGCTGCTGCAACTGATTGATTCATAGAGTTGCTAGACATCTCCATTCTTTTATATCTCCCATTATCGCATGGCAACGCATCATTATCCCCAGCCAACGACGGGCGAGTATAGCGAGAGCCCTCAGATGCCTATCGCCACATCTGGGGCTGACGATGCCCGTTATTTCGATCAACATTCTCAAAACGATAGCGTGGCAGCGGGTGTCATGGAAGAATACGCTGAGAAACCACCACCACCACCAAGACGACGATTTTACAAGCAAAAGAAATACTGGATCGTTTGCGGTATTCTGACGGCCATCATTGTGGTGGTCGTTGTGCTTTTAATTGTCTTTGTATTCTTCCCCATGATTGCACAAACCATCATGAACAAAGCTGGCATCGAAGTTGGCAGTGCTGATATCACGTTTTCACCACCCAATGACAGCAACCTCGCGAAACGTCAAGAACAATACAACATGAACGAGACATTTTACATGTCAATGACCAGCAAATTGACTGACACGGGTCCATTCTCGGCAGACATTAAATTTCACAACCCGATCAACGTCTACTACAACGACACTATCCTCCTTGGCACACTCACTCTGCCTGATACCCATGTGTCGGGTGGTAGTGGTGAATTGAAGGCTGTCACACCTTTCATTATCAAAGACACCAACGAGTTTTCAGCATTCGCCAAAGAAATGTTGGCCAAAGAAACCTTTGTTTGGAAGATGAAGGGCAAACTTGACATTACTGCACTTTCCAGGTACATAAGCTTGCATAAAAGTTTATTCATTTTTAGCTATCAATGGTACTAATAATATTCCCCTTTATAGAACTGCCACCGTGGATCTTGAAAAAGACATTGTCCTTAACGGCAAGTACTAGTAACAATGATGTGCTAATGTCACAAAGAAGAAAAAGCTACTTGTGTATTAACATTTGAACCACATTTCCTTTCAATAGGTATGAATGGTTTCCCCAATGTTACAATTACCTCCTTTGAAATGCCTGGCAATGCACCTGAAGGCGGTATTCTTGTGGAGCTCGGTACGGCGTTGACAAGTCCATCTCCTATCGGAGTCCAGTTGGGCACGATTGCAATGCAAATTGGTTATGAGGGTGTTGTCCTTGGTCAGGTGACATCTGAAAACGTGACCTTGCATGAAGGTGTCAATGACTTGAAGCTCAAGGGCACGCTTATTCCACAAAATGATCAGGCGAATCTTGACAAGATTGGGCAATTGTTCTCCAACTATGTTGCTGGTAAAATGTCGACGACCACTGCCGTTGGTGTATCGGCTGCCCCTGATGGCCATGATCCCATTAATTGGCTCACTGAAGGCTTCAAGAGTGTACAGCTTAATGTGGGCTTGGGTCTTGCTGAGCCTATGAATATCATTCGTGGTGTCAGCATGGGCTATCTTGATTTGGCATTCAACAAGGATTCTCCTTATGCACCCATCACTTCCGCACCTGCTGTCGTTGCCGACTACTCCATTCCTTTTGGTTTCACTCTCGACATTACTCAAGTATCGCAAGACTTGAAGCTTGGCACCAACGACACCGGCGACTTTGCTTCCATCAATGTTCCTTATGTTCCTTCCAAGAGTGACCAAGCTGCCGGCAAGTTGCAGTTCGCCATGAACAACGTCGCCATTACTGCCATGGACGATAAGCACGACGCATTCGATGGCTTCACTTATGATCTCACTGCTTCTGATGGCTACACGTTCAATGTGGGTGGCCAAGCAAGCACCAAGACAAGCACTCCCATTGGCAACATTACCCTTTCAGGCATCACATTCAAGGTCCCTACCACGCTTCATGGCTTGCAGTTTTTGAACAGCACGCCGACCACTGTGGATGCTGTCGATGTCACGGGTGGCACCAAGGAGGCCTTGCAACTCGCTATCAATGTTACCATGGATAATCCATCCGATTTCAGTATTTCCACTGGTGATGTTACCTTTGCCTTCCTTGCAAGTGATACGCAGCTTGGCCAAGTCATGCTATCCAATCTCAAGTTGAATCGTGGTTCAAACAGCGTCACTGCTTCATCCACCTTCGATCCCAAGAGCTCAAGCGTTGGCCAAAACCTTCTCAGCACCTTTGTCATGGGCAAGAACAACGATGTCAATATCGCTGGTTATGATGGTTCTACGGCTATTCAATCATTGGCCAAGGCACTCGGTGCTATCAGCATCACCACAAGTCTTCCTGGTTTGAAAGATCCTTTGGTGCAAGGCTCCAAGCTGACCGTCAATGAAGATTCACCAAAGACCGGCATCGTTGCAGTTCAAGTGTCTATTGCCAATCCATTCACAGCGGGTCTCAGCATCACCTCTGTCAAGTCATCCGTGTCCTACAAGGGTATGCCAGTGGGTAACATTGATCAAGATATCAGCAGCAGCCCCATTGTCATTGGTGGTCACTCAACAGTGCAATCGAACCCATTGGACATGAAGATGAACATTGAACCTGCATCCGTGGCTCTGTTGTTGCGTACTCTCGCCAAGGAATCCAATTTGGATACGCGTGCTTTGGATGCTTTGCTTGGCATGGGTGGTTTACATGTCGCTGGCATGGAAGATATCTCTCCTGATTCAAGTCTCTTCCAAGGCTTCAACATCTCAAACTATGTCATGGAAGCAATGAAATCACTCAAGGCCGATCTTCAGTTGCAATCTGGTTTGACTATTGGCGAGTATGATGATGTCCTCGAATTCTCCCAAAACAGCGTTGCTGTTGAGACCGATGCAACAGGTACGTTACTTTTGTATTGTTTATTTATGTTTCTTTGATGCACATGCTAATGTTTGTCTACTTGCTTAGTGACACGTTTGATCCCTATTGTTGGTCAACCCATTGTGCAACAAATTGTGGATGGTGCCAAGCTTGGCTTTGAGTCTATTATCCTTTCATCGCCTACGGATACAAGCTTCAAGGTGAACATGTCTGGCAGTATCACCAACGCTGGTCCTATGGATGCTGAGATTTCGTTCCCATCGCCACTTACCATTGCTTGGGAAGGCCGTGTGCTTGGTACTGTAAAGATGGCAACCATCAATTCCAAGGCCGATGTGGGTGCTCAATTCACTGTACCTGGTGATTTCTCAGTGACGGATCAAGATGCCATGGGCGAGTTTTCTGGATATTTGATCAACAATCCTGATTTCCAATGGAACATTTATACTGAAGGTGTTGCTGTCAATGCTCTTGGCTATACTTTCACCAACATTAGCATGAACAAGTTCGTGACCCTTGCTGGTGCCAATGGTTTCAAGGATGCTGTCAAGATCACCAAGTTTGATTTACCATCCAATGACCCTGCTGGCGGCATCACGCTCACTGCATCGACCACTATCAACAACCCAAGTCAAGTTGGATTCAATTTGGCAGGTGCAGGCTTCAGCGCTTACTTTGAAGACGTGTTGCTTGGTCCCTTGGCTAGTGATGGACCTGCCATATTCCCACCAAGAGGCACAGCCAACATCAACATGAAGGGCCGTATGATTCCTCAAGATTCCCAAGAAGGATTGGATGCTGTTACCAAGGTGTTCAAGAACTATTTGAATGCAAGCGATAGTCCTTTGACGGTTGTTGGTGAATCTGGTTCTGGTCCTAATGGCCAAGTCGGTTGGCTCACCACTGGTTTCAAGACTATCAAGATTGAAAATGTGATTTTGCCTGGCCCTGATCAGAAGCCTACCTTGATTCCTTCCATCACCATGGGCGACATGCAGATCGATTTCGTAAAGTCCGAATATGAACCACCTGCTGGATCCACCAAGGTGTTGGCACAGCTCAAGAATCCATTTGGTTTCCCATTGGGTGTCTCAAGCCTTAACATGGAGGTGACAGCAAGCTATGAAGGAACCGATATGGCCAGCCTCAAGATCCCTGATGAAAAGGCAACCACCAGCGATACTGGTTTGGTGACTACCCAATTCAGCGACGTGCCATTTAGCACCTTTGATGATGCCCACAAGGTCTTTAGCGATTTCCTCAAGGCAACCACTGCTACTGGCAATGTCACATTTGGTTTAGCTGGTATCAGCAATGCTGTGACAGAGACAGCGATTGGTTCTCTCAAGCTTGATGGCATTGATTTCGACGTGGATACTGCATTGGCTGGTATGTATTATTATTGTACTATGATGATGCATGTTTCTTATTAACAAAAAAAACAATTATAGGTTTCAACAACTTCAATGGCAAGACCGAGATTTTGTCTATGGCTGTTACGGGTGGTACTTCAGAATACATCCTTGTCAAGTTGAGCATTGCCATGACAAACCCATCTCAAATCACAATCACGCTTGGTGATATGAAGTTGATTACCAACATGGACGAGTTCAATTCCGCTGTTGGCGATGTATTCCTCAAGGATGTCACTATCAAGCCTGGCAATAACACTATGGATGTTGAAATGCACATGGGCGGTGATGACAAGAAGGCATTGCAACAACTTTTGAGTGATTATATGACGGGTGCAACAGTGCCATTGACCATTACCGGATCACAAGACGCTACTGAAATCGAGCCCTTGAAGGATGCCTTATCCACCATCAAGCTTACCACCACCATGACTGGTATCAAGGACAAACTTGTCGACTCCGTTTATGTTAGCGCTGGCCTTGATGCATTGACGACCCATGAAGCCAAGACCAAGATCACCCTCACCAATCCCATTGGCACGGAGTTCTCTATCAACAGCATCGAAGCTGTGGTGTACACCACTCTCAATGGCAACCGTTTCCAAGTGGGTCATATTGATTACAAGCTGCCAAGTGCTTTCAAGGTTCCTTCTGGTGAACAAGCAACATCTGAGGAGATGCCTGTGACCGTGGATGCTGATATTGGCCAATTGCTTGAGCTCTTGTTCAACGCCAAGGATCTGAAATTCGACATTTATCAAAATGCTTCGGTTATCGTTGGTGAAGGAGATGGTTTTGCTTCCACCTTGTACTACTACCAGATGCAAGTACCTGCCACCCTTGATTTCAACATTCTTGGTCTTTCGCTTACTGGTGCAGATGAGCCTGATTCGGGTACCAACAACAGCAGCATCGCTGATTTGCCAGCAAGCGTCATTGATAAGCTCCCTAAGAGTGTTTTGGATCAGCTTGGTTATTCTTCCAAGGCACCTGAAGCAAGTGCAACATCATCCGGCAGTGGACAAGAAGCTTCTTCGTCGGCAACATCTTCAGGTGGTGGCGGCTTATTAGGCGATCTTACCGATAAACCCACGCCTACTCCTGAAGCAAAGGAATCATCATCATCGAGTTCGGAGGACAAGAGTAGTGATGATGGTGGCGACAAGACGGCATCCGAAAAGCCAAGTGAAACTGGATCGGGTGACAAGAGTGACGAGTCGTCCTCCAGCAGCTCATCAGAGGACTCTGGTGATGGCAAACCACATTGGCTTTGGCCTTTCCGCATGGCATAACCTTTGATTTTCCTTCACTTCTTTCCATAGTAGTAGTTATTACCAATCACACCTATTTCCCCCCTTCCCCACCTTACCTTGGTGTTGGATTTTTTTATATGCACGCAATGTTTTACACTGTAGTGATGTACTTTTATATGAATAATACAATATTTTTGCTCTCTACAACTTGGTCATTAATGCATTGGTCGATGCTTTGATTCTTATAAGGTTGCCGATAAAAAGATTTCAGTGGATTGTGTAACATGAATACAGTAAGGGCTAGGTCCTTTAAGGATAAGATCGATTGAACCAAAGGGCGTTTTAGGCTAGTCTCCTCTGCACACTTTTTTGACAGGTCCGTGCTTACCATATACCATGAGATCAACACTAGAACGCTGCTTTACAACCTTTGCCATTGTATCTTTGTGAGGTATTACTATCAACATTAAACCACTCGCAGCCCAGTATAGTACTGATTCGACAAATAAAGAAAAGGGAGGAATTTCATGTGCCTGTGTGTGTGTGAAAAGTTATACGTCGTGGTTTTGCGAGTACACGAAGCATGTACCTTTTTTTTTACACCGGATGATGGATTGTTGTATATTCATCCCTCAGGTTGTTGGGTGCACGAACGAAAAAGGAATTTGGAAAACCCATCTAAAAATGTGTAGTGTGTCACTAGCCATGGGCGGCAATGCTGCTGCTGCATTGCTACGGAGCTCTTGTAAGGAAATAGAAATCGTGACAGAATACACCAAAAGGATAAGATGTCCCTCGCAATCGCAATGCATCCACCCTCTCTTATGGGAAATAAGGAGAGCGAGGCATCATTCATGGTCACCATGGTTACACTCATTGTTGCAAACCTGGTCATTTTTCTCAATGTCATTGTCCGGTTGGACCATTGTGGTAACACAAAAAGGGACTCGCTGCATTAAGGGAAAAATCAAATCCACCCATTGAATCAAAGTGAGTTAACATAGCCCACACAAACAATGCTACAGGAATTGGCGCAGCATTGCTATGCGATGAAGTTAATGAGATAATTAGAACGATCGATCGTAAAGATGATTCCATTTCACCACCAAGCGTGCTTTTCGCATAGCATGCTCACTTTGTGCATGGGATAAAAAAAAGTGGATACATAGACTGAGTCAAACACAGGGATTCTTTTTCGTGTACTACAAGGAACAAACCTGTACCCTGCATGGAGCCAAATAAGGTGTGTTTAAGTAACCATCTTGATCTCGAAGCATACTTGAATTTGTCGAAGAATGATGATGGATACATATTGTTGATGCGAATAGCAGGTACGGGATGAGGGATGCCCATATACTAAGACATAGAGTGAGGCTTGATCGATTCCAGGGTCGCTTTGTAATTCAATTGTATAGCTTTAAATACAACCTTGTACATGATCTTGGATGATGTGATCGTGTTGGTTGAACAAGCTTTCCTAACAAATCGAATGCACATTACTGTCACCCATATGTGCTTGCTCGAGCAAGCTTGTGTCTAATGTATATAAATACAGTAGCACATAGCGAAAAGCTACCCAAAACCTTGAACATTTCAAAAGAGAAACGTATCATGGCGAGCCACAGCCCTACAGGACATAGCCCGCCTATCGAACAGCATCATGTTGTAGGAGTAGGCGATATGGGCAATGTAACAGCAGCAGACAATCACAACAACAACAACCCGGATCAAATCCAGTACTATGGCGAGGAGGCGCGCTATTACCAATCGAGTGTTGACGGCAGTGTCATGGAAGCATACGCTGAAAAACCACCACCGCCACCAAGACGACGATTCTACAAGCAAAAGAAATATTGGATCATTTGCAGCATTTTAACGGCCATCATTGTGGTTGTGGTTGTCTTGCTTATTATATTTGTATTTTTCCCAATGATTGCACAAAGCATCATGAACAAGGCTGGCATCAATGTAAACAAGGCGGATATTACGTTTTCACTCCCTGACAATGGCCAAGGTGGTGCTACTAAGCGTCAAGAAGCAACAACCTATGACATGAATACAACCTTCTTTATGCACATGGGCAGCAAACTTACAAACACGGGTCCATTCTCTGCCGACATTCACTTTCACAATCCACTCAATGTCTATTACAATGACACCGTATTGCTTGGGACCATCACTTTACCAGATACCCATGTTTCAGGTGGCCATGGTTCTATTGATGCCGTCACGCCCTTTACAATCCAAGACACTGCCGTATTTGCTGCATTCGCAAAGGAGATGTTGGCATTGGAAAGCTTCAAATGGCGCATCAAAGGCAAACTTGATATCCATGCGTTAACAAGGTACATCATGTCCTTTTTTTTTTACCAATGTTGATGATGATGTATTAATGTAATTCTAAAAGATCGGCCACCGTGGATCTTGACAAGACCATTGAATTGAAAGGTAAAGCGCTCACTACATAAAAAAGACAACCTTAAACTAAACACATACCTCATTTATTATAGGCATGAATGGTTTTCCTGAAGTTTCAATCGAGTCATTTGATATGCCAGCAAATGCACCTGAAGGCGGCATCCAAGTACAACTGGGAACGGTGCTTACAAGTCCATCGCCTATTGGCGTACAACTAGGAACCATTGCCCTTGAGATTGCGTATGATGGCGTTATGCTTGGACGAGTAACATCAGACAATGTGACGCTTACTCAAGGCGAGAATAAGCTGATGTTGGCTGGTGCGCTGGTACCACAATCCGAACAGGCAAACCTTGATAAGATTGGTGCACTTTTCTCAAGGTACATTTCTGGAAATCAAAGCATCACCAATGCTCGTGGTCTTTCGTGTGCACCCAATGGTCATGATCCCATCGGATGGCTTTCTGAAGGCTTTCAAAGTGTACAGCTCAATGTTGGCCTAGGTCTTAAGGAGCCAATGAATATCATCCATGGCGTTAGCATGGGCTTGTTGGACATGAGCTTCTCATCAGATGCACCCTATGCACCTATTGTCTCTGCACCTGCTGTCACAGCTGATTTTTCGATTCCATTTGGATTTTCGCTCAACATTACGGAGGTCTCACAAGAGCTCAATCTAGGCACCAATGCATCAGGTGACTTTGCCGTCATCTCTACGCCATTTGTACCATCACAAAGTGACCAAGCTTCTGGAAAACTTCAATTTGGAATGAGCAACGTATCCATTGCTGCCATGGATAACAAGCACGCTGAGTTTGACAAGTTCACTTACGACCTCACAGCATCGGATGCTTATACCTTCAATGTTGGTGGAAAGGCCAATACCAAAACAAGCACGCCTATTGGTGATATCACTCTTTCCGGTATTACATTCAAGGTCCCAACAACGCTTCATGGCTTGCAATTTTTGAATAGCACTGCCACCGTTGTGAATGGAGTCGATGTCATTGGTGGCACTTCGGATGCTTTACAGCTCTCTATCAATGTTACCATGGATAATCCCTCCGATTTTTCAATCACTACAGGTGATGTTTCCTTTGCATTTTTGGCGAGTGGCACGCAGCTGGGTCAAGTCATGTTATCCAATCTCAAGCTGAATCGTGGGTCAAATAGCGTCTCGGCTTCTTCTACCTTTGATCCCAAGAGTTCAAGCGTGGGTCAAAATCTTCTTAGCAGCTTTGTCATGGGGCAAAACAACGATGTTATGATCTCTGGTTATGATGGTTCCACGGCTATTCAATCATTGGCCACAGCATTTAGTGCTATCACCCTCACCACCACGTTGCCTGGTTTAACGTCTTCCTTGGTGCAAGGCTCCAAATTGACCGTCAATGAAGATTCGCCCACTACGGGTATTGTCACAGTCCAAGTATCGATTGCCAATCCATTTACGGCTGGGCTCAGCATTACATCGGTCAAGTCTGCTGTCACATACAAAGGCATGCCCGTGGGCAATATTGATCAAGATATCAGCAGCAATCCTATTGTCATTGGTGGTCATTCAACAGCACAATCAAGCCCGCTTTCTATGACCATGAATGTTGAACCAGCATCTGTGGCTTTATTATTGCGTGAGCTTGCCGTATCAGCCAACATGGATACACGTGCTTTGGATGCTTTACTTGGCATGGGTGGTTTGCACGTACAAGGAATGGAGGACGTTTCAGCTGATTCAAGTCTTTTCCAAGGCTTCAATGTTTCGAGCTATGTGATGCAAGCCATGCAAGCACTCTCAGCTGATCTTCAATTACAATCGGGGCTGACTATTGGCGAATACGTGAATACTTTGGAATTTTCGCAAAGCAGTGTGGCTGTCCAAACAGATGACACAGGTATGTTTGTATTTATGAAATGATGTTTTTTCTTCGTTGCACGTGATGCTAAAAAAAAGTGCTACTATTGTTTGCTTATATAGTGACACGCTTGATTCCCATTGTTGGCCAACCCATTGTGCAGCAAATTGTGGATGGTGCCATTCTCGGCTTTGATTCGGTGGTTCTCTCATCGCCTACGGATACAAGCTTCAAGGTGCAAATGTCTGGAAGCATCACTAATGCGGGCCCTATGGATGCACAAATCTCATTCCCATCCCCACTTACCATTGCTTGGGAAGGTCGTGTTCTTGGTACCGTTCAAATGGCAACCATTGATTCCAAGGCTGATGTGGGTGCCCAATTCAATGTACCTGGTGATTTCTCAGTGGTGGATCAAGATGCTATGGGCGATTTTGCTGCATACATGATCAACAATGCTGATTTCCAATGGAACATTTACACTGATGCCGTCAATGTCAATGCCCTTGGTCTCACTTTTACGAATGTCAAGATGAACAAATTTGTGACTCTTGCTGGTGCCAATGGCTTCAAGGATGCCGTCAAGATCGACAAGTTTGATTTACCATCCAATGACCCTGCTGGCGGTATTACTCTCACTGCATCAACTACCATCAACAACCCCAGCCAAGTTGGATTCAACTTGGCAGGTGCAGGATTCAGTGCCTTCTTTGAAGACGTATTACTTGGTCCATTGGCGAGTGATGGTGCTGCCGTATTCCCACCAAGAGGCACAGCCAACATCAATATGAAGGGCCGTTTGATTCCTCAAGAATCACAAGAGGGAATAGAAGCCGTTACCAAGGTGTTTGAGAATTACTTGGGTGGCAAGGATACGCCTTTGACGGTTGTAGGCGATTCTGGTTCAGGACCCAATGGTCAAGTGGGTTGGCTTACTAAAGGATTCAAGGCTATCAAGATCGAAAACGTGATTATGCCTGGTCCAGATGCCATACCATCATTGATTACATCAATTGAGCTAGCCAACATGCAAATGGATCTTACAAAAGACCCATACGCTCCACCTACAAGCTCCAATAAGGTACAGGCGCAACTGAAAAATCCATTCGGCTTCCCATTGGGTGTATCAAAGATTAGCATGGATACCATTGCTGGCCTTGGTGGACACAACATTGCCAATTTGGTAGTCAAGGATGAAAGTGCTTCCACCAGTGACACGGGCTTGGTCACTACACAGTTCTCGGATGTCCCCTTCAAGGTTTATAAGGACGCACATGACTACTTTGATGCCTTTGTCAAGATGCTCACGTCCACTTCCAATGTGACCTTTGAGCTGAGTGGCAAGTCCGATGCTGTTGCAAGCACTGCCATTGGATCTTTGTCGCTTGATGGTATTACATTTGGTGTTGATACTACACTTGCAGGTAACCTACTATCTTTTTATTTCTCATAACATTCTACGTATGCCTCTTCATGGAAAGCTAACCACCTCCCTTTCCTTATTTTAGGATTCAACAACTTTGGTGGAACATCACCTATTCAAAGCCTTACTGTCACAGGAGCAACATCCGAGTACATTATTGTCAGCGTTACATTCACCCTCACCAACCCATCACAGATCACTGCTAAGCTTGGTGATATCGTGTTGGATGTGATCATGACCGAATTTGATGCATCGGTGGGCAAGGTGTACGTCAAGGACCTTTTACTTGTGCCTGGTGCTAATACAGTGGGAGGTGAAATGCACATGATGGGATCCAACCTACAAGCCCTTGGACAGCTTTTGAGTAACTACATGACGAATGCAAACGTACCTCTTAACGTTCGTGGGTCCATGGATTCAACATCTATCCCATCTCTCAAACAAGCACTTTCCACTGTGAGCTTATCCACCAATATGCAAGGCATCAATGCTAGCTTGATCCAGTCGGTGAATGTCAAGGCCACGGATGAGATCTTAACCACACGCGTGGGCTATTCGTACATCACCATCCGAAATCCTTTGGATACGCCTTTTACCATTTCACATGTCAAGGCGGACGTCAATGGGAAGAACTATTGGGAGGTATATGGTACTTTGGGTCGTATGGATGCTGCCGTGGATCCACCCGTGACCATTCCTGCTGGTGGTAGTGCCGTTGCTGAGAACCTCAAGGTACAAATGGATCCTGAATTAGCTGATGATACTACGATGGCAATGATGCTGCTCAATGGTATGGAAGGCAACCTTGCTTTTGATATTGCTCAAAATGCCACTGTCACTATTGGAGATGGCTTCCAGACGATCATGTACTATTACCAAGATCAAGTCGCAGCATCGATTGAACTCGTGGTTGGATTTTCGGCTTCCTCTCTGAATCTGACGATTCCTGATAATGCTACTACAACCACGAATGCATCATCTTCGGTACCTGAGGCTTCATCAACAACATCGGTGCCTATATCTTCAGCATCAGAACAGCCACCACAGCCCTCTGATCCTACTACAACTACCGATCCTGTTGATAATGGTGATAGCAGTGATGCCGTCACACCAACACCCCCACCATCCAATGATGGCCAAGATACTGAGTCACCATCCACAACGCCTGATGAAACGTCCGATGCTGCTACTACTACCACTGGTGAAACCTCTGGCGATGATGATAGCAATCAAGATAGCTCTGACGACGGTGATCCACAACCTTCTGATAATATCCAGCAACGTCGTTGGCTATGGCCATTCTTTTAAGTAATCCCTCTATGACCCAATCTTTACGTTTATATATGTATTCAATATACAATTGTCGTACCATTTCCATAATAACATAGTAATCAGCAACACATTCTTCATATAAAAAACACTGGTTTATGACTAGTACGATTATTACTTTATATATAACGTCCAAGGAAAGGCAAAAGTAGAAACACCATTTCACGTGGATCAATGAGAGTAGTAGCAATAGGACATAAGATAATATAAAAAACACACATATATATATTCCAAGAAGGTGACTAAGAGAAGAAGCCGATTCTAGAGAAAAAAAGGTGAGTACTTTGTTTCATTACATCCAGCTGATGACATGCTTACTTGTTTTTCGACATGAAGGTTTTCGTAAGGAGCTGTAAGGTTTTGGAGACGTGAAGTTTGATATACTCGAGATCCAGTAACTGTACATTGTCTTGTTGTTTCTCCAATAGATCATCCAGCTTCAGATCGATCTCCAGAATAGGTTTATCACGCCCTATGCATGCATGCTATTAACAATCTTCTTCCTTCCTTGACACCCAATGAATATACATACCTTTGTAATGGAGTGAAATGATAAATGTACCAGGGATCGGGGAAATGATGGTCAAATAGATATTGCTTCGCCTAAAACTTCTGTTTAGCCAATGTGAGTCTTTTCCCATCCTATATCAAGTTACCTGTATTCGGGTACTTCAGTCTCGGCAATGATGCCTTCGCGTTCCAATTGCTGGTGCGTGAATTTGGCAGGGCCTTGGAAATGCTGTTTGCCCGATTTTTGCTTGACCTTGCCATCCGTGACCTGAACACCAATCCCAACTTGCTTCTTGTTGGATTTATCACCACCTCCACTCTGGATACGAACATTTTGCAGATACGCCTTGTAACTTTCCAGCTGACTCTTGAGATAGTTGTTGTGGTCCTGGATCGTCTTGTATACGCTTTCCAAAGATCGCATCTCCTCCATCACTTTGTGTTTCAAGTCGCCCAAATGTGCCAACTCTTGCGTGATTTCCTCCACCAGCAATCGATATCCATCACGTGCATCGGTGATCCCCGCATCTTCCAGATCCACAAGCATTTCCTTGACCTTGATACCTTTACGGACAAGTTGTGCGTCATTGGCGGTACCAGCCGTCTCTGCAATTCTCACCAAATCCAGTGGTGGTCGTCCAAGGTATGGAAGTGATCGAATCAATTGCACGAAAATCGCTTTTGCTTCCATGTACAAAATGTCGTTTTGTGTAATATTGTTCTCTGACATCAACGTTGTTGTCAAATCTAAAAGGTGGCTGTGAGCAAACCATACACTGTACTCTTTGTTTCCCATCATCTTACCTTGTATTGGGATTTCCCATCGACTGAATAATGGTAATTCAATTGGCTTGTTATCCTTTCTAGGCACTTGGGGAGGTGCAATGCCCACTTCAGTCACCAAAACTCGAAGATGATCAGTCTCCTTGGGTGCGAGGATGTCAATGTGCTGATGTAATAATGACTGGGTGTTGTAGATCTCATTCGGAGTAATGCTGATAACAATGTCCTTCTTGGATAGAGCCATGTACTGATCCATCTCCAAAGACTCATAGAAATCTCCCACTTCACATAGGTCATTTAAGAACCTGTTGATACGTTGCTTGTTTCGGTCGACAAACGGATTGGTTGGGATCATGTACGCCTCTTTTGCATATGTCGGCTTGTTGGCCAAGTTTTGCAGCATTTTGGCAATCTACAATAAACATGAAAGTGTTAGAGATGAATCATGTTTGTCGACCTACGCATGCTACTTGCCATAGTGAGTGTCGTTCGAGGATGGTTACTTGGGATACCATCCACCAGCATATATGCTTGTGGCGTCACAATAGCAGGGTTGATGAATCGCAAAAAGAAGAAGCCACCAATAAGAGAGCAAATGGCATACTCGCTTGCGTCGGGATACTTTCGCTTCGTCAAGGAACGAATCTGCTTGCATATCCAACGAATACCATAGGGCACCTGATCGAGCGAGTTGATGATTGTTTGTAGAAAAGAATTGGCGATATCCATCAAACGCTTCAAACGCGGCTCAATCAACGCTTTGACTTGGGGATCTTGAGCAGCTTCTTCTGCTGATGAAGCTTTTCGAAAGTTGGGAGGTAGTACGCCATCGTTTTCAATTGTCATTCGCTCCAATATCTCCTCTTGTACCTATCAACTGCATGATCAATACCTTATCAAGACATCCATCGTGTTGTCATGGTTACCTTGAGTGGATTGATTTGCAAGTTCATGTCCTTGTGTTCAATCAAATCATTGATCTTATCCGACAATACTGATTTGAGATAGGATTGACCTGGTCCACGTCGAGTATAGGTTGTCATCATACGCGAAACAGGTGTGTTGGCACGTAGCAATGATGTAAACTCGGCTGTCGTCTCGAATTGTGCTGCCAAGACATTCTGGAGAGACAATCGTTAGTCCTATGACAAGTGCCTCTTTTAAAGGTATATCTCACCTGAAACATAGTCAATAGTAAATGCTCTTCTCGACTCTCATATTGGTTGCCGTATAGTGTAAACATGACGGTTTGAAGCAAGGTGTCGATCTCTGCTAAGTTGACAAGTCGACAAAGTGTTGCAATATGCCGTGGTTCGCTTTGCAAAAGAAAGAACAAGTTGCCATATTGCTGCATCCTTCGATCATCTGGATAATGGTCGTCTGTGCTATCATCATGTTCCTCCAAATGAGATGCCATTTCATTTTGCTACATGTATGTATGTATGTACACCATTAGTTATTGTATGTAGCTCATTGCGCGCGCTCTCTCTCTCTCTTTTCATCTTATTACCTCATTCAATGCCATCCTGTTCTGAATCAATAAAGCGATGCGAGAATCCAGGAATCGTACGTCTCGTTCGAGCATAAAGTTCTTTTTGGATTGTGCCGATATCTTGGTTTTGAGCTCACGTAGCGTGCGTTGTACTATCGATATCCACGTTGGTTCATGTGCCTTTGTTGTCATTTATTCTTTACCTTGAGCTAATTCGTCCTCGACTTCAACATCCTGTTCAGCAGCCATGGAATAAAAGGCGGATACAGAGTATCGTTTAGAACCTCGTCCTCCTCGTCGCGTCGAATGATGGCTATTAGCAGCAGCAGCAGCTACAGCCCTGCTAACGATCGTGCTGCCTTGTGGATATCCAAGTGACGAGATCATGCCACTGCGACGATCGGTCATTACGCTGCTCTGTGCAGACATTGTGGACACGGCAAAGCGCACCGAGAAATTTCAGTTGCAGGTGTACGTTGTTGGGTGGTGCGTGTCTCTTTTCTTTCTCGTGCAATGGATCGAGTCGCGTCTAGGGGATCGCAAGAATGAGAGTGCAGGCAAAGGATGATGAACGAGATGTGAGAAAAGGAGAGGAGGAACCTGTATTGCAAGAATGGCGCCAATAGTCGATTATTCATGTCACACAAACCCGATAACAAAGTTAACACAGCATTTATACGCGCTCAAGTTATATAACTATCGTGATACCCTATCTATATAACTCTTTCTCTTACTTTTCTTGCCACACATGGTCCATTATGATTCTCTCATGCCCTAAAATATGCAATATGGTTATTAAAGTTTCATTGTATACCATCTGAAATCCTCTATAGGGTCTTTTTAGACTACATTTATGCGGTGTTTGAGTAACCTGGATCCCTATTCTTGATACTTAGATAGTGCTATGTAAATGACATTGCTAGATATGTAATAAAGTTGCTTATAGCTTGATATCCTAATAGTCAGTCATCGTGTGATCATAAGCCCATCCTTGGCATTTGAAGCACCAGCTGTTGGTGGTGGTTACCCGATGATTGACCAGTATATGGAATGAAAAACTAATACAATTGCACTACGATGAGCGACAAAGATTGTGATCCTTGGCTTATTCTTAAGACAATGGAGCAATCTCTAACACAAGAAAAGGCTCTTCTTGAACACAAAGTTCCACAAGGATTGACAAAAACGAGATTTTGGACCCATCTGACCAAGCGATTACACAACCCTCTATAAGGCTAGAGCTTTGGATCATTGGATCTTCGATATCTCATTAGCCCTCACGTATAAAACATCGCCTGACAATTGAATGGTGATCGTTATTGCTATGCCATCGAACCTCCATATGATCACGTGAATGGTGCAGGCGCTGGGATAATGTGTAGCTGCTTCTTTTACATTGGGAATCACCATCATGGTTGTGTGTCCTACTCGACCCAAGTGAGCCATCCACCATGAACAAAGTACCCGTAGATCCATATTGATGCCTCACTCTTATGTACTATGACGATGATCCATTACTGTTCCTCGACCCCTTCGCCAGCATCATGTGCCTTTATTATCAAGAAGGAGGATGACGGTGTATAACAAAAAAGGAGCTATGATTGCATCAGATTTTGTGTTTCACTCATCGAGTGAGCAAAGTTGTCCTTTTGACGTTGAAAGCGCTTGCAGTAATATTTTGATCCGCAACATCCCTTTATTTTGTATGTATGTGTTAGAAGCAAAATTGCTACAGAGTCGACTACAACTATGTCTTAAGCGACCAATCCAAAAATTTGATGTCATTTGAGAGAGATCATACTAATGATGGGATCAACGTCTAACCATGTAGCAAAACATTGAGACATCTCATTGCCTTTTCCTCGGGTGTAATTATAAAGAACGGGTATCCATGCAAGATCCCATGAACATGATAATAGTTTATGCATTCATTGATTGATCCATCCATCGCATCTTGCGGCAAGAGAAAATCACGTTCCAAAAGAGGTTCAATCCACTTTGCCTCGCTCGCTTTTTTTTTCGCGTACATACACACACCACACACCACACACGCACCCACTTGCTCACACAAGAGACGCGTGCATCTCGTTTACATGACTTTTTTCTGGACACTACGTCGTTGGATTATTCTCTTCCTGTTACGCATTGCCTTGAGCTGGCGTAGTCATGGACAAGCTCGTCGCATTATAAAGTTCTTGAGTTTCTTACTTCCATTTGACCGTTCCTGGGTCTGCAACCAAGATGATCGAGGCATGTGGATTGGTGAACACATTAGCAAGGAGAAAAAAGAAGCACTCGAGGATCGTGTAGCCAACAGTGATATTGTTCTATTATGGGTACCAGGTATGCACACACACACACACATAGACACACGGACCATCCAATCGATTCGACTCACACTTTTTTGGGGGGTTTCCTTAGGTGGAGGATTCCGATGTGATCTGAGCCCATTGTATGTCAAGACTTGGACTACTTGGATACGTGCTCTCGAAGCAGACAAGAATATGAAATGTACCATCTTTGTAGCCAAGTATCGTACGTATCGCATGAATGGGATGGTGATTGTATGAGAAACAATGCTCACCCATTTCTCTATAGGTCTTTCTCCAGAGCATATGTTTCCAGCAGCTGTGGATGATCTCAAGGATACTTACGATTGGTTGATCAATACAATGCATGTACCCGTCTCCAAACTCTTTATAGGCAAGTGATTGTTGTTGATGTTGTTGTTGTTTTGTACTTCCTTATCCCTTACATCTTTCATGACTACTACACAGGCGCCGATGATGCTGGTGCATCTATTGCTCTCGATTTGATGTATCTTCGTAATGCAAAGTTCCAAGGTGCCATCTTTGCATCCCCGTACACTGGATTAGAGGCAGGTGGTGAGTCATGGCGTGCGAATGGTGGAGTCGACTATGTCAATGCAGCAGCCGTGGAGCGTATGGAAGAAAGCTATATACCCCAAGATGGAGATCAACCGTTTCGTTATTTGCCTGCTGAAGCCAATCTTGCCCCTTGTCTACCACCCAACATGTTTATCACAGTGGGAGGCAATGAAGTCTTGCTAGATGAAGCAGGCTATCTCGCTTCACGTGCACGTGATGGCGGAGTACGTGTCACCTTGGTGCAATCACCCGAGCAAGTTCATTTATGGTCTATGCTTGCTGCTGCTATTGTGGATGACGTTCACATACGTCAATACGCTGTAGATCAATGGGTTTCTTTTGTGGAACAATCTGTGCGGATACCTCTTTTGAATAATAAACATCAATCATGATTATTTCCTCTTGGTTAGTCATCACCATAGCAACAAGAACCATAGCAACAACCATAACAACAACATATGACATTCTCATGCATTCAAATTAAACATCATTTCCATTGAGAGAATGAAACAAAGAAACAAAGAAACAAAGAACGAGGAGAGACTAAAAAGTAAGGGGGTGGGTTGTTGGTGATAGAGTGATAACAAGGATGATGTAGAGTGGCGCAAGTAAATAACATTAATACGGGCCTGGAAATTGAGGTCCAAGTACGTCGTTGTCGGTGTCCAGAAGTAATAATGATGGCGCTTCGCTCTTGCTCTCTCTCTCTCTCTCTCTTCTTAACCCCTTCCCTCTTTCCCTCTTTTATCTCTTCTTGTCTTGTCTTGCAATGCCTTTGCGAAAGAAACGTAATTTCAAAAACTTGACACTCGGCAATTCACCTGTTGTTGTAAGCCAACCAGAAGCAGTACCTGACAAACGACGGTCATCTGTGCGACGCCTTGAAGAAGAATACGACAGGCTGTGTGAAAAGATTAAGGATCTGGAACCTGGTCTTGAATTGCGACTGGATCTACGTCCTGACGACTTTGAGAATGTTGATGAGTTGGGTCGTGGTAACGGCGGCACTGTATGCAAAGTACTGCATGTAAGGACAAATACGGTGATGGCTAAAAAGGTAAGCAAAAACGACAAGATGTATGTATGTATGTATGTATTCATTAGCTCTATCTCTCTTTTAGGTTATTCACGTCGAGGCCAATATGAATGTTCGAAAACAAATCATGCGAGAACTTCAATTCATGCACGACTGCAACTCTCGGCACATTGTCAGCTTTTATGGTGCGTTCATGAATGGTGGTGACATTTCGATCTGCATGGAGTACATGGATGTCGGGTAAGATCATGTCAAACGAAAGCTATGATATCATTCATTCATTGATGGCCCCCGTCATTTTGCTTGTAGTTCACTGGATAGGATTTATAAGAAACATGGACCAATTCCTTTGGATGTGTTGGGCAAGATTGCTTATGCAGTAAGTTGAATTATTCTCGATCAAGGTGTTATAAAAAGAAGGCTCACGTTATTAGATTGTGGATGGGTTGATATATTTGTATGATGAGCATCGGATCATCCATCGGGGTAAGTCTATCTAAATGGGGATGTTCAGCACATTGACATGATGCAGATTTGAAGCCATCCAACGTGTTGGTTAATTCTCAGGGACAGATCAAGCTCTGCGATTTCGGAGTCTCCGGGCAACTCATCAATTCGGTGGCAGATACATTTGTTGGTACAAGCTCTTATATGAGTGTAAGTAATAGTAGTAGCATGTATGATACAACAATGGACTAATGTAGATTATAGCCGGAACGTATTATGGGATCTCCTTATTCTGTAAAATCCGATGTTTGGTCTCTCGGCATCTCGTTAATGGAATTGGCCTTGGCAAGGTTCCCTTTCCCACCCGATGGCAATGCATTATCAATCTTTGAACTCTTGCAACATATTGTGAACGAGCCTGTTCCATCGTTTCCACCCAACAAGTTCCCCGATGTATTGACAGACTTTGTGGACAAATGGTAATTAGTCACGTCTATATGGAGGATCATGGTCTTTTAACTCGATTGAATATGTAGCTTGGTGAAGGATGTCAAACTTCGAGCAACGCCAAGTGATCTCATGGTAAAGGGTTCTTTTGGTATGTGGTGGATCTTTCATCTTGCTAACAACCTTTTCTATAGAAACATGATTACCTTGTCAATGCAGCAGCAGCCAAAGTGGACCTCGTCAAATGGGCGTGCAATGTATCAAGTCCACCTGAAAGAATCGATCTCTCTAAATTGCAATCGTCATCCAACGCTACCAGCAGATCCTAAGATGAAATCCACCATTGCATTTATCCAACCACCACCCACTCACCCACCCACCCTTCTTGTCACTTTTTTTTGTCAACGTTACCCGTCCTCGAAAAGAATATCTCACATCACACGCTGTATATGCGTCTTATAACATATCCACTCGCACACAAAATTGAAGCCGTTCATTGTATATTTGGAGGACATTTTTATGAATACAAAATGACACTGACGGATGTGATGGATCGCTTTGTACTACACTATAGTAATCACGTGAGATGAAAATAGCCATACCAACAATACCTTCTACGTTTGTCCCCACATACACATATGAGTCTCTCTGTAATGATGTTCCAGAAGGTTCATGATTAAAATGTGTTGTTGTATTTATGTACGTTATGTTTTTGAATGAGTGGATCTCTACGGTACAATTCCATTTGCTGATAAAAGAGGTATATTTGCCGGCGATGGATATAAACGCCTACTAGACAATGCCACGTGCAAAGATGCAATAACCTAAAGAAATCGATGTTTTTCCATTAAGATACCATCCTTGACATGAATACCAGATACACAAACATCTTCCATAGTAGCCTTTGCTTGGTTGACAAAGAGGGATGACGCCCACTGGTTTTATGCAGCTTGATGAGTTGAGCATCTCACAGCGAGGCTGGTCAACAGTCACGGGCTTCTACAGGCATTATTAAATTGATGCTGGGTATTCCGAGCAAGCCCAATTTACTTTACAGCACGCACGCACACAATGACTCGGGTTGCTTGGAGAATCGCAGTACAATGTGCTTCTCTAAGATCAGCACCTCAACGACAATTCCATACTGTTCGACACGCTCGTGTGTTTAGAGGTGAGCTACAGAAAAGGACAACAACCTATACACACGCAACTCACAATGACTGACATGGAACAACCAAAGGCTATGCACCTGCATGTAACGCGACACCTGCCATGGAACGTCAAACAGTAAGTTGCTATGCACAAAAAAAAGAAGTTGGGACGTATGGCTAACCTCTTGTTATAGCGTTGCTTCCATGCTTCTGGTAAGGAGACGACACATAGCATATAGCATGTATATAAAACAGCTCAGCTCAACTCGAATGATCCACAGCTCCCAACCAGGCTGCCAAACGTGATCCATACGAAGTATTAGGTGTCAACAAGAATGCAAGTCAAGGCGATATCAAAAAGGCTTACTATGCGGTAATTTTATTGAATGAGCAAGAGAAGGATGGGATGACATGAGTAATAACACGGAGTATTTTGTATGTATTAGCTTGCGAAAAAGTATCATCCAGACACGAACAAGGAGAAGGATGCTCGTGAAAAGTTTGTTCAAATCCAAGAAGCATACGAGATCTTGTCTGATGAGCAAAAGCGTAAACAATATGATCAATTTGGCTTTGGATTTGAAGGTACAAGTGGTGAATGAAACAGTTTCGAGAAAATGCCATTTGACATTCCTTTTTTAGGTGCTGGCACAGGACCAGGCGGTTTCCATGGTAGCACAGGAGGTGGTGCCGGTGGTGGATTCCCTGGTGGATTCGATCCCAATGATATTTTCAGTCAATTCTTTGGTGGTGGATTCGCTGGTGGTTTTGGTGGTGGAGCTGGTGGTGGTGGTATGGGTGGTTCTCCATTCCGTAATGCACCCGGTGAAAATATCCAGGTATTGTACATACTTTTATCCACCCCCTCCTTTTGCTCATGATGATTATGGTAGGTTCCTTTGTCTATTTCATTTATGGAAGCTGTCAAGGGTACAACAAAGAGTGTCATTGTGGATCGTGTAACAAAATGTACCACGTGCAAGGGTTCTGGATTGCAACACGGCAAGACAAAGCAACAATGTTCTGTATGCCATGGCTCAGGTGTACAAACCATCAGCATGGGTGGATTCCATATGCAAACAACATGCTCTGCTTGTGGTGGTCTTGGATCAGCCATTCCCCCAGGTGCAGGTTGCCATACATGTGATAGTGTAGGCAAGGTCCGAGAACACAAGACTGTCAAAGTAAATATCCCAGCTGGCGTCGATCAGAATTCTCGAGTCCGTGTCCCAGGTGAAGGTGATGCTCCTATTAAAGGACAAGGACCCAATGGTGATCTCTTTGTTACTTTGAATGTAAGTGCCTATACATATACATCTATTCATAATGGTACTTTTAGTAATCGTCTTTTTGTGATATGATAGATCCAACCATCGTCGATCTTCCGTCGACAAAATTATGACGTCTTTGTTGATGCCAAGATTCCTTTCTACAAAGCTATGCTTGGAGGTCGTGTACGCATTCCTACCATTGATGGTGATGTGGAGCTTCGAATCCCTCAAGGTTCTCAACCAGGTGATAATGTCGCTTTACGGGGGCGAGGTATTCAAAGTCTTCGAGGATCTACACGAGGTGATCAAATCGTCACATTAAAGGTCGAGCTCCCAAGGTAAGCTTATCCCCATGCTCTATATATCATATGCATATTGAGCCAACATTTTTCTTTGTTAGATCTCTTCGTGGTGAACAACGTGACATCATTGAGAAATATGCAAGCTTGGTTGATCCAGAATATCGCAAGGATGACCCACCAGTTCCTCCTTCAACGCCTCCTCCAACCCCACCTCCATCTGACAATGATGCTCCTCAAGATAACAAGAACAATGATGAACAAAAGGAAGGCTTCTTCAAAAATGCTTTCGGCAAACTCAAGGATAAGCTTAACCATGAATGCGACGAAGGAGATAAAAAGAAACCCAAAGATTAGAGTATGGTACCCCTTTCCATGTATTAGAACTTTTTTTCCCAATGCTAAATATGACTTTGTTAATGCATTCTGCGACATCTTGCGGAGTTTTACCCATCATGTTTGGCTAACAACAATATCGTGCTTGGATCCCTAACGTAGTCTATCCTATGTCATGATGATGTTGACATTGCTTCTATAATTTATGGCATTGCTTATCCTCTTCTTTTGTTAACTGAGTATGGGACTGATACATAAATCACCATGGTGTATTACCCAATCTTTGAACAAGTGCATATCATTCTATGTACCTTTGATACCAGCCGAGGGTAAAGGTGTGATCTTGAAGATGATGTAAACGGTTACAGGGTATCATCCAGGATGCACACTATTTCACTACCAGTAACTTTTATCCGTCAATCTACCGGTGACGGCATTCGAACGATTGAAGCATCAACTAGTCGCTTTTATTAGTAGTACACAGGCTATAGGATCGATCTATGGTACTAGACAGCCGATCATTCATCTTGGTAATCGACACATTATAGCTGATTGGGAAGGGGAGAGGGCAAGTGAGAGGTGATGCATTGACAATGAATCTGGATGTGAGCAGTAATTGGCTGAAATGGGATTTGACACTGCAACATGCAACATCTTCCGTCCCTTCCTTCCGACTCTTGAACTCCCTCGCGTCTCTTTTCCACCCACCCACCCACACACGCGCACTCACACATACACGAACGCCAATGTATCGCCGACGATTCAAAAAGAAACAAGAGACCACCTTCCCCGATACCATTGAAGGCTTTGGCTATGTCGTCAAAGAGAATGGTGAAATCCGCCATAAAGAGAAAGGTACCCAAAAAGCAACGCCATGCGCTACAAGAAGATCACTGACTGTAGGCAATGCAGATGAAAAATACGAGTTCGAGTATATTCCCAAGGATCGTCCATACAATGAGGCTCGCTACAATGCTTTCATAAGCAAGTTGTTTATTCTAACAGCCAATGGTCAACACGTCAACTCACATGACAAGCATAGATCTCGTGGGCGATCTGGTCGAGCAAGAACTACAAAGCGCGCCACTCAACTTCCAAAAGACCATCATCCCAGTGAACGCCAATCCATCAACCGAACCACACACCTACATTTATATGACGTGAGTAGTGGATAGGGTCTTCTTGACTCATGACCACCACCCTAACGCCTGTGTATACGATAGACCGAATGCAATGACAACATCCGACAAGCTTTTATGCTTGATTCCTGGCAACAATACTCGGTATGTCGAACAATACGGATCTTTGTTCAACGTCTCATCTCTTTGTATAGTATTGGACAATGGACAAAGCGCGTCATGTGTGATGACAACATCAATGTAAGGGACATGGCATTGGTGTCGAGAAATGTTGCTAACTCAATGTGTGTCCTAGTCCGGATCCATGGTGGATGTATCGCTTCAAGCGCTTAAAAAAGGATACGAGGTGATGATATTGAATCCCAATGGTATCTATTGGTACGATAACCGAGCTCGGGTAAGAAAGAGAAATGTTATTGGACGGGATGTCTATAGGGTTGCTAACCATATATCATGAGCAGGAAGCACCTCCTTTGACACACATGAACTTTTCCATGGTCCCTGGTAAGGAAGCATTTCATCCAACAATGATATCAACATGCATGCTTACAAGGTTACACAGAAAATGAAGGACCCGAGGCACATTGTCTTTATGTTTTCCAACACTTTATTAGGTATGAAGGATCCATTCCAACAATCAACCATGCTCATCTTCACTCTTTTATTTTTAGCAAATGCAATGCAGCACGTATAGCGATGTTTACTCTTGGATGGGGAGGTCATACCTTGACTGAACTTTTGAATCATGATGGTAAGTTGACACTTTTGGCGTATCTATATGAGAAGCATCCATTGACAAGTGTCTGGAAACAATAGGTGACTTTTTCAAAAAGCGTGTACGGGCAGTGGCCATGGCAGATAGTACTCACTCGAGTGACCTTCTCAAGGGGGATGACAAGCGTGCATGGATGCGGAACGTAAGCAATGCTTTTTTATGTGCATGCATTTGACATGTGTGTGTTGACAAGGATTCGATATAGCATGTGGTGAATTGGGCAGTGTCATCCGAACCAAGAGGTCAGCCAATAACCGATAATCGATTTGGTTGTGATTGTCTATCATCAGGTAAAGTGGGCTCCATCATGTTGGTTTCCATCTTCCTTCCATCACTGATGCTAATTCTTTTTTCTTACCTTGACAGAGCTCGAGATTTCAGATTATACGTTGCCGACATGCCTTGATGCAATGTGGAAGTTTATTGATATCCAAATGGGGGACGCTGAACCAGAAGAAGTGGATGATGAAATCACACGACCAGAGCTATTGGATGAACAAGAAGCTGAATTAGAGGAGCACCTTAATGTTGTGAGCATCGGCTAGTCTATAGATACGCTGCTACTTTTACAGTATAAATACAATCGCTTTTTGATGCAAAGACAAATACGTTAGCTAATTGTGGTGATGGCTTTAAGAGAAAGCACGCGGTGGCATCGCATATACCTTTCTCAACATACATGTATTGATGACTAGCGGTCCGAGTTGCTCACTTAGCTTGTAAACTTTTGACTTTTCGATGAATGGCTTTACGCTCACTATAATAAGCTGATACCTTTGCATAAACACATTACAATCTCGTAGTATTCATCTTTACAAGAACTGGTAATCCTTTACCATTCACGTTGACGATAAGAGACTTCCTCTATTGTATGCTACCCTGGTGCAGGGAACCCTCCCATTCCACATCGTTACACCATAATGAAGTATGAAGTCTTTATTAGAACACACTTAATTAGCATGTGCGAGAGCATCTTCTGACTAGGCATGAATTCGGGATGGGCGATCCCAATATTATCCATGTAGTTTATGGGATCATAAATTGCCAGCTAACAGCCACTTCCTGCCATTAGAACTTTATTCAAGTCTACTGCATGTGAACGATGCTCCTGCTCTAGACATTCATTTTCACGATTCAATTATCTTGATCCGAGTTGATTTGGCTGAGATACGGTCAAAGAGAGGGTACATCACTCTACACATACAACATGGTCGATCTACCTCCACTGATGTTTATTAGTTTGACCGTAGCTCGGTCAAATCAGCTCGGATCAAGATAATTCAATCATGGAAATGAATGTCTGGAGCAGGAGCATCGTTCCCATGCAGTAGATCTCGCAACAATGATGACTGGATAAAAGTGGCCGTTAGCTGGCAATACATGCCTGTTCCTAGATGATCCATAAAGTAGTTATACATTGACCCTTTCATTCATGTAAACGTAGCTGTGTTACACAACACGACCCTCTGCATCTTTTGCTCTGTCAGGGTCCACCTACTTGACAATGAACAAACACCACTCTTCTTATAGCATCACGCTTACAAACATAAAGGTGCCTGTATCTCCGAACTTTACAATGAAACGTGGGTTTTTTATTAGAGCAATGTGCTCGGCTTGGCCAACAGCACCTTGTGTGAAAGTTTCGCGTTCAATGTCGCAAACAGCCCAAAAAATATTTTTTTGGTCGTCGTCGTCGAAGAGGTCGACCCCTGGATCCAGTTTGGCTGGTGGCGACATTGCGAAATCTGGGATTGGCAAGCTTGATCGTGAAACTTGCACCCAAGGTGCAGTTGGCCAAGCCGAGCACATTGCTCTAATAAAAACCTCTCGTTTCATTGTAAAGTTCGGAGATACAGGCGTCTTTATGTTTGTAAGCGTGATGCTATATGAGAAGTGGTCTTTGCTCATTGCCAAGTAGCTCGACCCTGGAGAGCCAAAGATGCAGAAGGACCTCTTTGGGTAACTCAGCTAAAAAGTCAGGACTTCAGGGACAATGCATGATAGGTACGCAACCCTCATATTCAGGTCATACATTGGCAGCTAATAGCCACTTTTATCCAATCAGCATTGTTGCGAAATCCACGTGATGGGAATGATGCTCCTGCTCCAGACATTCATTTCCATCATTCAAGTAGCTTGATCCGAGTTGATTTGGCTGAGCTACGGTCATACAAAGTTACTTCAGTTGAGCAACATAGAGCATGGTTAGATGTGTGGATTGATGTAATCCCTCTTTGGCTGTATCTCGGTCAAATCAACTCGGATCAACATGATCCAATCATGGAAATGAATGTCTGAAGCAGGAGAATCGCCCACATGTCATAGAGTGGACAACAGTGGCTATTGTGAAGAAATGGCTGTTAGCTCGCAATGTATGGGATATTGTCAATAGTATACAGTATCATCCTTCCATCCTTCCAGTCATGCAAACGTAGCTGTGTTACACAACACGACCCTCTGCATCTTTGGCTCTATTATAGTCATACTACTTGACAATGAACAAAGAACTCTTTTCATATAGCATCATGCTTACAAACATAAAGGTGCCTGTATCTCCAAACTTTACAATGAAACGTGGGTTTTTTATTAGAGCAATGTGCTCGGCTTGGCCAACAGCACCTTGTGTGCACGTTTCGCGTTCAATGTCGCAAACAGCCCAAAAAATATTTTTTGGTCGTCGTCGTCGAAGAGGTCGACCCCCAGATCCAGTTTGGCTGGTAGCGACATTGCGAAATCTGGCATTGGCAAGCTTGATCGTGAAACTGGCACCCAAGGTGCTGTTGGCCAAGCCGAGCACATTGCTCTAATAAAAACCCCACGTTTCATTGTAAAGTTCGGAGATACAGGCACCTTTATGTTTGTAAGCGTGATGCTATATGAAAAGAGTTCTTTGTTCATTGTCAAGTAGTATGACTATAATAGAGCCAAAGATGCAGAGGGGCGTGTTGTGTAACTCGAGTCATTCAGCACAGGCGATGCATGATTCTTGTACACTGTTTAGGAATAGTTCAAAATGCCAGCTAATATCCTTAGTCCTCCCATTCCCCATTGTTGCCCAATCCAATGCATGTGAACGATTCTCCTGCTCCAGCCCAGCATGCCCATCCTTCAACTTTCTTGATCCGAGGGGGTTTGACTGAAAAACGCTCAAACACAGAAGTATCATCCAAAATCAGAGAAATTAATTTGATTGATTATATGTAAACTGCTACTTGATAGCCCATTCCACCCAATCATCTTCTTTACCCAAAACAATGCATGTGAACGATTCTTCTGCTCCATCCCAACATCTCCATCCTACAACTTTCTTGATCCGAGCCGATTTGGCTGAGCAACGCTAAAACAAAGAAACACCATCCAAGCATCAGAAAAATCATTTTGATTTCCAGCTCTTCCACACCCACCTTCTTCCCTCTTCCACCCATTCTCTACTGTTACCGCATTCAAGTATACAATTACCACCTGCGAACGATTGTCCTGCTTCAACCCACCATGTCAATCCTACGATTGCCTTGATCCGATTGTCTTTGACCGAATGACAGCTTCATGGCGTGTACACGGCTTTCTTGTCACTCTACTCCAACACATGCCTTCCTTGATACAACCCAACGTCTTGCACATTCCTCTGCCACGATCAAACTTAACAGCATTCAATCCAGCAGTTGCCATTAGCAAGGTGTTTACTCCATTGTCTAAAACAGCGTTCTTTACTTGCAGCAACTTGACTTGCAGTCTCTTTTTTACGTGAACAGCAGATAGCCATCGTATAGGAGCAGCTTTATTTACGTGTAGCAACTTGTTTTCAATACATACGAATTCTTATGGATATGTATTTGAATACGCTTTGGTTTGTGTATGGGATGGAAGGAGTTAGATGTGTACAACGCGTGGAAAAAGAGTGTATGCATTGTCAATTTTACCTGAGCGATTGATGCCTCCAAATTATCGTGTTTCCATGGCAGCGACGTTCGTCATTCTTTGTGCAAGCTATCAGCCATGTACAATCATTACCATCCAACTGCATAAAACTTGCCATCACGCATCAAGTACCACCTCACGTCCATCCATTCACTTTTGCACAATGCAAGCCCAACGGATAGCTAATTCGCAAATCGATGTATCCCTCCCATTTCGGATCAATATAGTCGTACCTCTCAATCTATCTCTTGTGAATGGTGTTGGATTAAAGGTTACTTTAGTGAATACGGCATTGCGTTGGCCACACTTCTATGCTCCTATAAGAGACCTCATTCTTCCTGAGTTGGACGCCGCCGTGTGTAGGCATTTGATACATTGTATTATGGGAGATTTATGGGATGGCAACTGCAAGACTGTAGTAGAAGTATATCCACTTGTGAATGCTGCAATAAAGAAGGAAGAGAAAGGGCCTGATTCATTCATTGTATCTTGCACAAAGCTGCATTCGGTAGTATAGTTCGCCTCCTTTTGTTGTTAGATCTTGTCAATTACGTTGTAACACACATCCCTCTTTTGTGAGTTGGATCTTGTAGGTAGTTACCTTATTTTATACATGGTCTCTTGAAAATATGTGCCGGATACGCATACTTCGTACCTCTGCAAGCAATAGGGAACTTCAATTCAAAGTAACATTCAGTGCCTGTTTTGTTAGCCTCTACAAATGTACCTTGCTTCGGGCTGGGCTGTGTGAAAGAGGTGCGCCACCACCTAGTCTTAGTAAAGGATGGTCACTTTTCGCTGAAAGATGTATAGCTAAATACAAGGGCTATGTATACGCCATATATGACATGATACGATGAAGGTGTCAAAGGCAGGATGTTGGTCGTCATGGCAATGTACCAATTAGCCTTTCTTTGGGCATCTATAGCATCATCCTTCAGCATGCTGTCAATTTTATTCGTTTTGTTTCGTACATGTTGAGATGCTTCTCTATACATAAACTATCAGCTTAGTAACCTGTGTTACAGTATTTACATTATATGCGCATGGAAAAGCAAATGTATGCGCTTGTCATATGCTGGCAGGTGATCATGCATGATGTAGCTTGTCATTGAGCTATATAATGGTGCTTCTCGAATACAAAATTAAAAGGGGTGAAACCATCCATGTACAACAGTGGGATTGATGTGGTCATGGTTGCATCGCACCACACCCAAGACAGTGGGATTTGTAGGTAGCACTCCTTATCTCTATCCATTTCTTCGGGGAGGGGAGATGTGGGGGTGCAAGGAAATCGTCCTGTTAGTGGCCAAGTTGGCTCTTGTGTGCGCTGGTTGAAAAGGAATAGTAGTGTCATTAAGTATATGCTGCAATAAAGGAGGGGGTGGGGGGCATCAAGTTCTTGCATTTTATGCTGTTGTGTGATGCAAACATGCTGCAAGTCCACCTTTTTCACAAACAAACTAAAGCAAACTTTTTATTTCTCCTCTTTTTATTTGCCACTTTTTGCATAAGTATTTATTTGTGCACCTGATGATGATGATCCAAGAAGCACCAAACCATGGTGGCCACGTTGTATAAAGAAAACAATACCCAGCATCAAAGATGCAAGAGATGATTATTTGCAAAAGTCCGGAAGAAGGATGGACACCATGATCGTGGAAGACGCATGCATATGTATATGTGGGTTTATCGTGCCTTGCTGCTGCGCATGCACATTGTCGAATCGAAGACCCCTGAATATTGTAAGCAGGCGCAGATCGCATATAAACTCGCAGAACTAACCCGGAATCACCTTTTTTCCTCTTTTTCATCAACATGCTTGGGGATATCCATCATAGTACTAGTGCAATGTATTCAACCGCCACCGGAACATCACCGATTCTTGGCCGACCACCCCCACCACCATCATCTTTTACATACAAAGAGCAACAACATCACCACCATCATCAACATGCTCTTCACCCACCACCATCATTATACCACGACCACGGTTATACCCGCCATTATGGCAATAGTGAAACTCATCGCACACCACAGTATACCCCTTTATCCAACACAAGTCTACGCGAAATACCCAGCCCAGTCTTTCCAGACCACCACCGTCATGGCCATGAACATTCCGATCCTAGCTACTATGCCCGATCAACAACAGGGCGTGGCAACTCTAGTTTCTCAGGTTGGAATTCAAGTCCACCATTGCCGTCAGCAGCCATTCGTCCTTTAGAGTTCTCTGATGGGAGCAAACAAGTCGGAGCGACACGATCAGCAGGAGGTCCTTTTGTTGCTACAGCTTCTGTTGCTGCGACTACTGTTGGGAAGCCACCACCACCACCACCGCCATCATCAACATCTCCTTGCTACGGTTCTTCACCTCCTGGACTCCTTGCACGGCCCAAGCTTACAACTACGGCTTGGGAGGATGAAGGAACCTTGTGTTATCAAGTAGATGCTAAAGGCATTTGTGTGGCTCGCCGAGCTGGTAGGTCATGTCTCTTTTTTCTTCATGCATGGTAGTAGTAGAGTAGTAATAATAATCACTATTGTATAGATAACCATATGGTCAATGGTACTAAGCTACTCAATGTGGTTGGCATGTCAAGAGGCAAACGAGATGGTATCTTGAAGAACGAAAGAGGACGTGTTGTCATCAAGGTGGGTGCCATGCATCTTAAAGGAGTATGGTAAGTTCTCTTTTGCTTCTATTGCGGGGGTGTATACATATATTTATACATCCAATCTAGGATCTCGCTTCATCGAGCCAAATTCTTAGCAAACAAGTTCCGTATTGCAGATTTGGTTTATCCTCTCTTTGAAGATAGTCCCAGAAACTTTGTATATCATCCATCAACAACATCATCACCACCCATCATTGCCGATCGACCGGCATCCATGTTTGAAGCAGATACAAGGACATCCCCTTTTATCACCAACAAGCGTTCTTCATTGCCATCTATTCTAGATACAAGTATGAAAAGCAACCCACTTTCCCCTTATTCCTCTTTCAATGGCTAACACAGAGTTTTTATAGCTGCATCCCGCCCCTTATTGCATGCAGGTTGGTTACCAATCATTGGTATCGGGGGAAAGCATATAACATTGAACATGGTTCTTATGTATAGATTCCAAATCCTTCAGTGACAGCAACAGATCACCCACCTCCATCCTACCGCTTCCACGTGCCTTGCAGCAGCAAACGAATTTTCCTTGTCTAAACTACAATTATCAGGAGCAACGACAACAGCCCATGTCACACCATATGGAGCCTCAATCAGCTGCACTACGAGCATTACCACATCCGGCTACTACTGGTATTCAACAACCTGCTGCTACTACTGCTATGAACCATGATCAAGTAAGTAGAAGGTCTCGGGTGTCAATATATATAGAGAGAGACTCATGTTGCTATGTTCCAGTCAAAGGCGAGCATAATGGTTAGCAATGACAACCTACCAAAAGATACTATCCAACCATCTACTTGTGGAAATGAAAGGGAGAGGAGAAGTTATGGAGATGCATGATTTTGATACTAGATACAACTATAAAAAATGACTCTTGGGTCGAATCATTAATACCACAATACAAGACTTGTTCATGGTCAACGTATACTATAATAAGCACAAATCTATGGGGGAAATGTACTCCTAATCATGTCGGCAATGTTTCATGGCATGGAGATCGATCTGGATGATGCGTCGTGAGTTTTCAAATGTACAAAACCTTAATTTGGGCCCGATGTGTTTACGAGACAAAGCCACATGTATCTTGTCATTGTATACATAACAACCGGATTTGTATTTCTTTATCTTGGCATAGTAGTATAAAGAATGCATGGCGATTCAAGGAGTTAGCTACTAGTTTCAATGATGTTAGCTCACTCTCATGATTCATAGGCAAGTATTTCTTGGATGAACTTCAAGAGGTTTACTATGTAGAAAAGGATTCACACATGGTTGAGGTTTTATTTAGAGTGATGTAATGGATGAGAAAGAGACTAGCTAGCCTGTGTCTAAGATGCGAGTATGTACCACAAAGTCCTCGTATGCAATGCATAGGATTGGCCAATGCAAGCCGTCACAATGCAAGTAGTGAGAGAGAGGTCCAGGAAAAAAATTCGGAGGCCCATCTTTGATCCTTATCATGGCTGCTATCATGGACGTCAAAAAAGAAGAGCTCGAGGAACAACAACAACAACAACCCTCCATTCAACAAGACCAAGATTACGACGACTATGAAGAAGACTATGACGACTATGACGATTACCTAGACGACGAACTCAATGACGCTGACTGGGACAATGCAACAGGAGGTGAGTGAGATTATGCGCCACCCACCCAAGAGAACACTTACTGATAAAGGTTATAGATTTCACAAAGCAATACAATCGTCTTCGTCAGCAAGTGAATGCAGTCCATGCTCCAACAATGTCAAAGCCCATTGTGCCAGCTGTCAACCACAAACGACCCGAGCTTAAAAACAACAGCACAGCAGCAGCAGCATCGTCGACAACCACCACCACCACACAACTCGAGGATAAAAAACAAGCGCTTGATACACAGATTGAAAGTCTTGGTCATTTCGCCAATCGTATCCATGTTGCCGACTATGTTCCTGGATCCAATATGATGTCAGGAAGTAGGAAAGCCAATGGTGAAAGGTAAGCATCAGCGTATGAATCCTATGTCGATGCGTACTTATGGGGATGATTCAGATCGATTCAAAAGGACAAGTCCGATCGAGCTACAGTGGAGCAAGTATTGGATCCAAGAACACGTATCATTCTATTCAAGATGTTGAATCGAGGCATCTTTTATGAGATCAATGGTTGTGTCAGCACTGGCAAGGAAGCCAATGTGTATCATGCTACCACAGAGGATGGGACCCATCGAGCCATCAAGGTGTACAAGACCTCTGTATTGACATTCAAGGATCGTGATCGTTATGTCACTGGTGAATACCGTTTTCGACATGGTTACAGCAAATCCAATCCACGCAAAATGGTCAAGGTGTGGGCTGAGAAGGAAATGCGCAACTTGAGACGTCTCAAGCAGGCTGGTATCCCTGCTCCTGAAGCCTTGGTATTGCGTATGCACGTGCTTGTCATGGAGTTCCTCGGTGATAAAAATGGATGGTAATTGGGATAAAGAATCCATGGGTGCATGCAATAGGGATACTCATTGTTCGTATGTAGGGCTTATCCTCGGCTCAAAGACGCACAATTGGACGCATCCAAATACCCTGTATTATACTATCAATTGATCAAGAATGTTCGTACCATGTATCAAGTATGCAAGCTGGTTCATGCCGATTTGAGCGAGTATAATATCTTGTACGTACAAAGATTCTATATCGATATGGCTTATTAACAATCCTATTATCAGGTATCACTCTCGAAAGCTGTACATTATTGACGTTTCTCAATCCGTTGAACACGATCATCCTCACGCCTCCGAATTTTTACGTAAAGACTTGGCCAATGTGACCGATTATTTCTCCAAGAAAGGTGTTCGTGTCATGAGTCTTATGGAGCTATTCAATTTTGTTACGGACCCCTCTTTTGGTGATGACAATGAAACAGTCGATCGTGAATTGGAAAAGGCAAGTACAACAATCGATTTTCTCCACCTTTAGTCTTGAACAGCTAATGATTGATGTTACTATAGATTCAAGAGAGGCTTAATGCAGAACCTGAAAAAGAACGCAACACAACAGAAGAAGAGATTTTCATGAGATCGTATATACCTCAGACACTCGAAGAGGTCATTGATGTGGAACGAGATACTTTGCGTGTAGCTGATGGTGATGGAAAAGATGTAAGTTACAAGGAAGCATTGATTGGGTATTGGAATCCAAATGCTAACGATGCATCCTGTAGCTTGTTTATGCAAACCTATTGGGCGCATCTAATTTTGAAAACACGGCAAAGACGGTGAACAAGGAAATTGCAGCATTACGGATAGACGATACAAGCAGTGAGGATGAGGATGAGGATCAAGAGAATGATAGCGACGCTCAAGACAACTCGGATGACGAGGAGGAGGATGAAGATGAAGATGATGATGATCAAAAGCCACGAGGCAAAAAGTTTGAAGACAAGGAAGCCAAAAAGCTCCGTAAGCAAAAGGTCAAGGAAGAGGCAAGGGAACGCCGGAAACACAAGTTGCCCAAGGCTGAGAAGAAGCGTAAGATTCAAAATTCTAAAAAGAGATCAAAGAAATAAAAAGACCACTATCTACTACAATAAAATTCATGCTCTACTACCACCACAATGCCATGTCTTGTATCATAAGCGACAAGGTCACATATACCATATTGGCTCCTATCATTACCATGCTTCGCATAGTATTTTGGAATAGCATACAGATCTCACATGAATAAATCATCTCTTGCCCTCTCTCAGTAAAGAGCACTCATCATATCCTGGTGGCCATTGACAAGAAATTACATGTTTGAAATCTTTTATGAGCATGTATCATTACAAACATAGTACTAGGTATAGGTGATAGGCAAAAAGATGGATGTCGCACTATGAAAGAGATACCTCTGACTTTAACCTGGTGCAACATATATTACGTTAGCATGTCATCAAGAGTGTCATCCTATCGAACAAACTTACTTTCGCATATAATTTTCAGGTTTGGTAACCCATTGCCTTCCGACGGACCATAACCCCTGCTCAAGGTCGTTTGCCAGAGTTTTCAGAGCGACTTGTGTAAGACGATTCGGCGCAATGATATTACGCATATGCCAATCCTCGATTTCAACCGATAGGCGACGATAAACCATGATGAATTCTGTTGTAGGTAGGTTGGAAGCAAGAAAATGGCACGAGAGTCGAAAGTTTTGAAGTGGTTGATAGAGTTCGCTTGATAGCTCATGGTCTTGGTCGTCATCATTGTCACCATTTTCCAACATTTGCCATCTAAAAAAGAGCGCGCGGGAGTCAACAGCCTTTTTCGATAGTACATGTATACACATTTACTAACCTTCTAACGTACATCCGAGCATCCGCAGCCCATTCTTTCATGATAATCCTTGTCATCAAGTTCTCTGCACGCTCAGTCAAATGTTGAAATGCTTCCAATGGTTGAGCAAAGAGTGATTTATCAGCAGCTTCCACGCCATCCAAAAACGCAAGTCCAGAATCGAGGGCCTTTAACTCATTGGTTACTTGCACCGCCAAATCAACATTGTCGCGTAGTTCGAATTGTAGCGTGAGGAAAAACTAGATTGCAACCGTTACATCCCTATTGACTTTGTGTGTGTGTATGTTGTCGTCGTACTTACATCATCATCAGCCAGCTCTCGTAAAGTATCACCAATCACACGAGCGCTTGCCCACCAACGACATAATCGACGTAGTGCTGCAATCGATCCACCTGTTTCCGCCGATGTAATAACCCCCGTGACAGATTCGGGTAATCCTCCTGGTACTGGAACAGATCGCATCAAACTCAAAGCTTCAAAAGCATCCAAAGCAGAAAGAAGTCGCCCATGATACTGGTTCAATAGCCACATTTGGATCCCCATAAAGAAGCGTAGTTTCTTTTCAACGCTGGGGATAAGCTTGTATGTGTCTATTGGTCTTTATGAGAACACACGCATGCCTGTAATTGTAATCCATTCCCTTACCAGTGATACTTTCAAAAAGATGGATCAACTTTGCAGAGGACTTTGTCGATTTGACAGTGTCATTCGTTCTCTTTGATTCACGTTCATCCTCTTCTGCATAAGGCTCAAAAGCTTGGCTATCCACAGCAATCTCGTCGTAACGTTTTTGTGCAACTAAAAAAAAAGGAGCCGCATGAATCATTTCCATCCATACACTAACCACTGCTACTTACATTTCCGCTCCGCATCAAACCATGCTGTAAACCACTTCTCGTTGCCAAGGATAACATCACCCATGGCTCCTCCTTCATATGGATAATAGGCAAAATCTTTGCTAAGCGCATTGTCGAAATCAAGCACTTGGTGGATGGTGTGGCTCATCAAGTGGGGTTTGTTTGTCATCTTGGGTACGGTTGTACGTAGCTTGCGTGCCACATTCTCGACGAGACCACGGATAAAGCAATCTTTGGCGGAAACAGAGCTGCTGAGATTCCTCTCGATAATCGGCTGGATCGTACTCAATAGTAACGGCACATGCGATGCAATCGTGCTTTTCGTATGCGACAAGTACCATTCTGGCTAATGGACCATGCTTTAGCATAATGCATCTCGTATATATGGGCAATGATGATTACCTTATCCAGTCGATTTGTGGGTTTTGAACTCTCGAAATGAAACTTGAATCGCATACTCAGAGCCTCCAGCATGATGTTGATGGGTAACAGCGACATGGTTTGAGGGTCAAACGGCTTATCCATATCTTCCGGCCTAAACACGCCATTGAGTATACATACCATGGGTACCTTATACCACTCGTTCGTATGCTTACGTACCTTTTCAACAATAACAAGTTTTGAAATGCTGCTTCAAAGTCGTCTATCTTGGATTTTACTTGAGGCCCAAACGGTGGCTTGATTGGGGATGGCCATTGAAGCTTTTCTAGAGAGTTACGAAAGTTGCTTGATAACGAATTGAGTATTTCATGCGACCGAAGGGGGTGCTGCTTCATACCTTGACATGACGTTGAATAGCTCTTGGTACAGCTTGTTTGAGGTATAATCCAAATGCGACATCAATCCTTGGAATTGTGCTTCAGCTGTCGCATCATAAATACAAGAGCGTATGGAGGCTGCCAAACGAACAAGTTGTTGATATGGGTCGATAGCTTGTGCAGGATCAGATTTGACAAGCGACGTCGTTTTCTCCCTATGGATGGAACATCCATGAGTAACTTTTGTATCACGTTGATGATATGCGGCTTACTCTAGATCAGATGCGACGAGTAATGCTTTTAGATATTGCTTTGCATGATCGAGCGTGGTGAGCTTTTGAGCAAGAGTGCCTAGTTGATCGAGAAGAGGTGCGTGTGTGGATGTTGCAGCTCCGGCACATGTATCAAGCGCTTGCTTGGTGTCTTCAAGGGACGTATGCAGGCTGTCAAGGTCGTTCTTTTGTGCAGTGGACTTGGCCAACAGCTCCTTGAGCATTGCTTGGGTGGACTCCTTGGTCTCGAGTAACTAGAATACACGTTCAAGGTTGGTCTCAAACACCTCCATTGCTGCTCGTTGTCTATTTACCGTGCGATCAAGCTGTTCTTGGTGACGCTCCTTATCATTGACAAGGCCATTGACGCGGGATCGTCCAATGTCGTTCGTTGTTTGGAAGGTGGCATTGAGGAAATCGGTCAACGTGGGATCGCTCATCAGTCTGAATGAATGGGAAGGATAACGAGGTGTGGGACGGACCAGCAAGCTGCACAGCTTTAATTTAGCAACAACCCCCACCCACCCATCACCCAGCCAAGCATCACATCCAAAAGGAATTTGATAGATCATGCAGCTATTTTTTTTATTAAACCATGGATGATGTTGTATATACAAATGTCTTTTATTCGAGGATGATTACGAGTAGGCAACACACAGAGGTGTGTTTAAAGAGAGCAAAAAGAAAGGTTTCACCACGACGCGTTCAAGTTCCTAGGGGGGATAATTTCCATGACGGGATCCTTGCATTGTTGTTTCTCTTTGCAAAGCATTAAACCCATGATTTAGTATACAAATATAAAAAGCATAGGATGCCTTTGAACAGTAATAAACCACGGTTTTTTCCACCAATTTACTTTTACTCCATGTCCATTGACGAGCGCTGTATCAACACTATTCGCACTTTGGCTGCCGATGTCGTGCGTGGTGCCAACTCAGGACATCCAGGCGCGCCTATGGGATTGGCACCCATGGCTCAAGTGCTCTTTACAAACTTTGTTCGTATCAACCCAAAGAACCCACATTGGCCTAACCGTGATCGCTTTGTTCTCTCCAACGGCCATGCTTGTGTTTTGCAATACATCATCCTCCACTTTATGGGCTTCAAGGTGTCCATGGATGATCTCAAAGCTTTCCGTAGTGTTGGGAGCATGTAAGTACTACCATCACCACCACTTTGGCATGTGATTAATAATACTCATGTTGGGTAATATACAGCACACCGGGTCATCCAGAGCGTACCCACACACAGGGCATTGAAGTGACCACCGGTCCTTTGGGTCAAGGTAGGACAAAAAAAGCGGCATTGTACATTATGATCATCATCATGACGAGGCATTGTTTTAGGTATTGCCAACGCGGTGGGATTGGCCATTGCCGAACAAGAGATGGCTGCTACATTCAACAAACCAAACTATCCCATCTTTGACAATTACACATACGTCATTCTTGGTGATGGTTGTATGCAAGAGGGCGTTCAATCGGAGGCTTGCTCCCTTGCTGGGTAAGTGGTTCTTTCTTTAGGGTGGTTGTTGAGTTATGTACTCATTGCATGGGTTGACCCACCCCAACAAAATTGAATTAGTCATTTGCAACTTGGCAAGCTGATCGCATTGTATGATGACAACCATATCACCATTGATGGTGACACTGCTGTCTCATTCACCGAGGATGTTGTGAAGCGCTTCGAAGCCTATGGATGGCACGTGCAAATTGTCTCTGACGGCGACCATAATATGCAATCCATTCAACAAGCTATTGAAAAGGCCAAGACCGTCACTGATAAGCCATCCTTGATCAAGGTGCATACCACCATCGGCTTTGGATCTTTGAATCAAGGTGAAGAAAAGGTGCATGGTGCTCCTCTTGAACGTAAGTATCCCAATCGTTTCATATGCATAGCATTGTAGTATATTGATCCCATCTCTATTGCAGCCGATGACATTCGTCAAGTGAAGGAAAAGTTTGGCTTTAACCCTGATGAGAAATACGTGGTGCCCCCCGAAGTAAGTGGCATAGGTGCCCAAGTTTCATGAGCATGCCTATTGATATGTCTTTACAGGTTTATGATCATTATCATAAACGTGCTGCTCAAAATGCCCAATATGAAGAAGAGTGGAAGCAGCTCCTCCAAAACTATGCAAAGGAATATCCAAATGAAGCAGCCGATCTCAATCGTCGGCTGACAGGCAAGCTCCCTGATGGATGGGAAAATGCGTTGCCACGCTACACGCCTCAAGATCAGCCTGTTGCTACTCGTAAACTTTCGGAAGCTGTCATCAACAAGCTCAGTGAAGCAATTCCAGAACTTATTGGAGGCTCAGCAGACTTGACTGGTTCCAACAACACGCGATGGAAAAACGCTGTTGATTTCCAACCGGTATGTACACATGTTTATTGTAATGTATGCATTAGCTCTAACTACTATGCAAAATCCTACAGCCATCCACTAAGCTTGGCAATTATGGTGGTCGCTACATTCGATATGGTGTTCGTGAACATGCCATGTTTGCTATCATGAATGGCATTGCTGCTTATCAAGGCCTGATCCCATTTGGTGGTACATTTTTGAACTTTTTGACGTAGGTGTCTTTTTTCCTTGTTTTTCTTTTCCTGTCTCTTATGAACATCCTATTCTTTTTTAGGTATGGTTGGGGCGCTGCACGTCTGAGCGCGTTAAGCGAGCTGAGGGTGATGTACATTATGACGCATGACTCGATTGGCCTTGGCGAAGATGGTCCAACGCATCAACCTATTGAGACTTTGGCATTGACACGTGCTACACCCAATATGCTCACTTTCAGACCATGCGATGGCAATGAAACTTCAGGAGCCTATCGCTGTGCATTGTTACATAGCCACATGCCATCCATCTTATCGTTGACTCGTCAAAACTTGCCTCAATTGGAGGGCACTTCGATTGAAGCCGTTTGCAAGGGTGGCTATGTACTCCAATCAGATGACAACCCCGATGTTGGTATCGTGGCTACTGGATCAGAAGTGCCCATTGCTGTGGAAGCTGCAAGCTTCTTGCGAAAAGAAGGTATCAAGGTCCGTGTCATCTCGATGCCGTGCACAGAACTCTTTGATGAGCAACCACGTGATTATCGTATCTCGGTATTCCCCAAGGGAGTTCCCATTGTCTCTGTCGAAGCTTTATCTACGTTTGGGTGGCAAAAATTTTCGCACGCTCAAGTTGGCATGACAACCTTTGGTGCTTCTGGTCAATATCCCGATGTTTACAAGCACTTCAAAATTACCTCTGAGCATGTACGTGATGTGGCCAAAGACATCATTCAATACTTTAAGCAGCATGGCAATGTCCCTGAACTCTTTCCCCAATACGCCCCCGCTTCGTAAGCTGCTAATGACCATTTGAAAACAATAAAAGGGCTAGGTTTATTGAATCACGTAAATTGTATGATCCTTTTCTAGCTATCAGAGTTGAGAGTACTATTTGTAACATCACGTATCCCACCCGCTTCTTACGCCATCCCCATCATCTTGTAATCACCACCATGATATCCATAACAACCAAGAAAAAAAACCACAACATCAACATCATACAACAATGAAACAAACCAGTATTCTCTTCCTGCGAAAAGAATGTGGAGCTGTGGCACTTTCGTACCCAATTGATGGAAACCCCCCATTGTTTTTTTATCCACGAACATATTTAACCTTTTGTTTCTTGGGCTTGGTAGGCATATTGGGCATGGGATTCTGTGCTTGCATTTCAGCGAGTGTTGGTAAACCTTGAGCCTTTCGTTGTTCATCCACAATAGCTTCCACCTCGGCCAAAGATGTGATGGGCGTGACAACATTCTTGGGTTTTTCATGCGACTTTTGCAATGCTGGTACACGTTCTGCAATGGCAGCGAATAATTCTTTGCCTATAATAGAGCGGGATGATGAGCGTCGTTGCCATGGGTTACGTGTTGGTTGCATGGTTGATCTTACGATTACGAATGTTGGAAATCATGGGACGATGATTGTCATCAAAGAGCTTGACCTTGACACGACCTGGATTGGCCCAATCACGAGGATGGCGCTTTGTTTCATAGACAACTGACAAGCCAAGCATTTGAACAGCTACTGCCATATGATATGCATGAGGATCCTTTACAGCCTTGCTCTTTGCAATCTTGCGTCCATCCGCCACACTCTTGTCCACATCAATGTAGGTTGGATACACACACACCCAGCTATGATAGGGGATTGGTATCAGGATATGGGTTTGTCACAACGATGATGATCCTTTGCTTACTCTTTGTACTGTGAAGGCTCCAATCGACGTACACCTTGTGGCGTGTTGGCTACAGCAATATGATTCTTGGATCCACTTCCACTACCACCAGCGACTGAACCGATAGAAGGGGAGCCAGCAGAAGTACCAGCAGAGAGATTCTTCATGAGCTTTTGGATCTCGTTCATATCAGGCATGCCGCCAGCCGATGAAGATGAACCAGCGGATGGCAATGGGAAGTCCATATTATCGATATCGTCGTCATCGTCCATGAACACCGGGTTCTTTTGAGTCTCTTTGAGTTTGTTGAGCATTGACATGGTGCCAGTCTGGGGGTGGGGGTATGTACAAAAGAAAGGTGGAGGTGATGGATTTGTTAGCTGAGATTTACTTGCAGTCATTGGCCACCCTACAACGCCCCGCCTCCTCTCTCCCTCAAAGATAGCTTCATCCATATCAATATGCACATTTGAATAAATATACAAACGCCCATGTCAGGCAAATATCATTGTTTTAAAAAGGGATAGGAAATAGAATATCTAGGTATACTGCTTTTACAGCTTGGAGATGCCGCGAGGGTTCATGCGCTCGTAGGCACGCTTGGCAAGATAATCAGTAGGATTGGCCACAAAGTGATCCTTGAGATTTCGGATATCCATCATCTCAGGCTTGAGATCAGCGATAGTAGGAGCACCAATCAATCTCATGCACATCACAAGTTCATCCTAACATAATCCAATGAGTACTTTGTCCACTTCTCGATGCAATGAAAGCTTACCTGTAATAATTGCATCAAACGTTCCACACCAGCTTGGCCATAGGATGACATGGCAAACTAAGATTGTGCGTGAATGAGTGAGTGGGTGTGAAAACGATAAACAATGTTGTCTACGACATACCAAAAAGGGGCGACCAATACCAACACCCTTGGCACCAAGTGCAATTGCCTTGAGAATATCGCTGCCACGACGAATACCACCATCAATGTAAACCTCAAAGTTCTTATCGAGACCCTCACGTCTCAAAGCATCCATGACTTCGGGAAGGATTTCAATGGAAGAAGGAGCAAAGTCGAGTTGACGACCACCATGATTGGAAAGCACCACGCCTTGACAACCATACTTTGCAGCGAGAACAGCATCTTCAGGGGTTTGAACGCCTTTGATAATGATGGGCATTTTGGTGATACTGCGGAACCAAGCAACATCCTTCCAGCAAAGCGATGGATCGATAAAAGAGCTGATGGCACGAGCAGCACCTTCATCACGTTGAACGGTGTTATTATCCATTTCATCGGGTGCTTCTTGCGAGTACTTTTGACGCATGTCCTTTTCACGTCGGCCTATAGCATCGGGGAATTTCGTTATTACATCTCGGTGGATTTCTATCCAATAGCAACACACTTACCAAGTTGAGGAGCATCGGCTGTGATGAAAAGACCCTTAATACCACGCTTCTCGGCATGCTCAACAAACTTTTGAGTCACCTTGCGATCGGAATTGACATAGAGTTGCAGCCATTGGGTTTGACCATCCACACTGGCGTCGAGGATCTCGTCGAATGAGCACGATGCGAGGGTTGGGATCATTTGGATCACGCCCTTGTTGGCAGAAGCACGCGTCAAGACCTTTTCACCTTCTGGATGGCCTAGTTTACCAAGAGCCGTGGCAGTGACATAGATTGGGAAAGAGACCTTGGATCCAAGCATGGTCGTCGATGTATCCACCTTGGCGACATCCACCATCACACGAGGTCGCAACCAAATACGATGGAAAGCATTGTGATTCTCACGCATCGAAATCTCATCATCAGCACCAGATGAATAATACGCCCATGCATCACCCGTCAAGGTTGACTTGGCAACAGCTATACACCCCATTTAGTTCTTGATTCCACCATCATCATTAAATAAAGAAAACTTACACTCAAAGTCAAATGCGTTGTACATTTCATCCAAACGTGGCTTTTGTTCATGGGCAATACGAACTCGCTTCTCTTCTTCGGTCTCAACCTTTTCGGCAGTAGCCATCTCGGCAGCATCCACTTGGCCCATACACACCTCAGGTGATAAAAATCGATCAATAATATCAGGTGGATGAATAGGTTCAAATGCTTTGGTAGCATCCTGGCCAGCGTATTTCATAATGATCTTTTGGCCACCAGGGTGCTCTGGCAAGAACTGTGTCAAGTCGTATACTTTGCCGTGAATGATGACCCAAATGTCATCTAATCGATGTCTCAGTATCGTCATTGTACTTTTGTTGTTGCTGCAATTTACCTTTGGATGTATGCTTTGCTACTTCTTTGAGTGAGACAGTCTTCATGATATGTGTGGAAGTGAGAAAAAGAGAGAGGGGAGGTGTGAAAAGAGAAGGGAAGAAAAGTGTCAGGTACCAGCGAAACGAGTGTGAAAAAATCCATCGGTCTTAAATATACATCTCTCTCACACACACGCACGCACGGCATCTCTCATTGCTCCTCCCCCCGACAAACGATCTCATTGGTGTATAGCACCACACACGCCCACTAGGTTTGATTCAACAGCGCAACTTACCCCACACACTAGATCTTGGTTCTCACTGTGCGTGTGTGCACCGATCGCAAAAAGACCAAACCTTTTTTCTGCTTAAACCAAAACAGGGATCTATGGCGGATGAGCCAAGAACTTTATATCTACGTGCATTATCGTCCATTTGTTGTTGCTGCTGCTGCACAGAAAACCAGAATCCTTATTGCATTCTGCATACCTTTTTTTCTTTCCTCAATCCCCCGCACAATCTTATCTTTCCCACCATCCAACAAGTTACACAATCTAAACCAAGACTTGGGTATAGATCAACACTCATCATTCTTTGTTTTTCACCCTTTCTAAATACACAATTGCATCCTCCCACTTTTGTCTGTCACATTCTTATCATGACGCAGCTGCATGTTCCAAAACAAGTATTGCATGAAACAAAAATCCCCCATTGGAGATAAGGGCCCAATCAACTATCTTCAGTGTCACCCGGATTTCGGAAAAGGGTGGTACCGCTGAAAAGGGGGGAGGGGGGAGAAGGCGCCGCATTAATCATTACGTAACGAACGTAAAACAACTCTTTTTTTTCATTATTGGCACAACGTGAAAGGAATGAAGACTAACGCACTGGACAAACTCTGCAAGACATATTTCAAGTAAATAAACACGGGCTTTGTGTGTGTGTGTGTGTAATACAAAAGAGGAGGAATTACGCATGTCAAAGTATGAAGAAGAAATAGAATGACTCAAATGTCCGCGTATCATCACAGACAGCAGCAGGATATAACGAGGGGAATGGAAAATGAAAAAAAAACTAGAATGCTAGATGGGTGGTGGGGTGTGTGTGGGGAGGGAGAGAATATGGATGGAAGAAAGGGAGTAAAAGTAAGAAAACGATGAATGGGATATACATCGAGACAAGGGATGGGGGCCAAAGAAGAAGAGATACAAGGGGATCTATTTTACCGTACCGGCAAACTGGCATCAATGTTGTTATCCAGCACCATGGTGACATCGTCCACCATTGTCAAATCCTCAAGAAAATCAACAAGGTCACTCAACTCCGTATCATGTGGATCACTAAACCATGTCGACACAGGGACAGCATTCGACGTGTGGAATATATAACTTGCTGGTGAATTATCGAGGATCAAGGTTTGGGTAAGCTCGCGTCCAAGTTGAGAAAGGTCCTATATAATGGCATCCACCATCAATATCGCTATCAAGCTACTACTATTACTCCTCCTCCATTTACCTTGACGTAAGTGCCTTTGTGGTTATAGCATGATTCTCTAAAGAGTCGATGGGTCACCACCTTGTGAATATCCAGCATATCCAATACAGGATCAGCATACTAGGAAAACGACGTAATTAGGGAAGGAGTCCATGTTAGGAGGAGGAAAAAAAACAAACAAACAAACAATCAAATTACCTTGGACAAGCTGGCTGTAAACACCACAATCTCGTAAACTTGTCCCATCCTACGCATAAACTCGTCGACGCCTGGGCGTTTCAACACGTAAACATTGTGATATTGATTGTCGATCTCCACGGGGACAATGAAATCAGGATTAGGAATGACCTAGTAGGATGACTCGATGAGCATGGGCATATGGCAAAAAGTGGATCAATATACATACCTTGAAAGAGCTGTGCACCAATGTTTCATCCAAATCCAATACCAAACATTTACGTCCAATATGATCTGTAGCCAAGGGCGGCAGAAGCCACATGATCTGACCCTGTATAAATATATGAAGCCAGCAAATAAGAATACGATTCATGCAAGAAATAACCCCTTTTGGTGATTCCTCCCTCCCCCTTTTCTTCTTTTCCCCAATAAACAGCGCTACTACCTACATCAGGTGATTGTGGAGGTATAGAACGTGGTGTAGCTGATGTGATGGGAGGATCTTCTTGTTGATCGGGTGATGATGTTGTGCTTGTTGCTGCTGCTGCTGCTGCGGAGGATGAGAAATTAGCCAAATCGGTTGGATGGGTCAAGATCTTGGGTAAAGCAGGAGGACAAGTAGGAGGTGAGGGAGATGATGATGATGATGATGATGGTGCAATATTCTTCTCCACAACAGGTGAACGAATATCAGCGCTTGATGATGTTGTTGTACTGGTATGACTGTGGCGGTTGTTGTTGTTGTTGTTCTTTTTCCTGTGTCGTGTAAAGAATGGAGCAGACTTGTCGCTATTATCCAACAATGAGCCGGCACCAAAGGTGCAACATAATAACAAGGAAAGAAATCCACCGCCTTTCAATGGTCCCTTGAAGGATCCTGTTCTCGAAGCAGGTCGGCTGTTGTTGTTGTTGTTGCTATGAGATGTAGTATTCGTACCCGGAAGAGGTGATTTTACATGATGAGGATCGTTCGCCGTTTCTATGATACACACACACATACATGGTTGAGTTGTTTATGTTCCATGATCCCCTTTGGATGATGATGATGATGATGTTGATCGAGTCCTAAGAAACTGACCTTTACTTTTGGAGGTTGCTGTCTTTGGGGAATGTTGAGGGGCTACTTGAGTATGGTGAACAGGTGCAGACGTCTTTGACAGAGAGTCGCTAGGTGGTTGAAGCGTTTGTGGTTGAGACATGGCGAGTGGGAGTGTAATTGCAGATAGGAATGTTGGAATGGAGTATGGGATGGGCGTGTGTGAGAGAGAGGATTTAGTCCTGTTGGTTTCCCTTGTTCCTGGTCAAGCACCAACAAGTCGAGATCGTTCTTTTCCGAAGTAAAAGCAAGACCACCAAGGAAGAGCGAGCGGATGAAAGGAAAGGTGTCGAATGGACGGTCGTTGATTCACTCGTGTATTCTTATCTCTCTTCTCTCTCTCTCTTGAACTGCGTAATGGCGAGCTACAAACGTTGCCTGATTCGTCAAGCTGCTGGAAAGGCAAACCAATGTGTAATATTAAGTTGAGTGAAATGCTACTTTTGAGGATCACGTGTTCCCCCAAAATGGTATTGCTGGGAGAATATACGCATTCCAATTCCCCCTCCCCCACCCACCCACACACACACTCCTTGACTTGTTCCATGTCGTTAGGTACAACAAGTTCCCCCATGTCAAACTACTACTTGTAGACCAGGTGATATCGATGTCATTGACAACACCAGTTACATGGTGGCGACATTTATGCTTGATTGTGGGCTGTCTTTGTGTAGCATCAACTCGGGGATCATTGTTATGCAGGCATGAATGGTTTTACTGGTACCTGGACCCAACTAGCACATACGCCAGGTTACGTGCTAGCTCGTACGACCTTTTCTTTGATGATGAAACCTTGGATGAATTCCCGTATCCACGGCATTAAAGGCTCAAGTCACATGACCCAACGACCTTCCCACCTTCACAATTGGACGATGTTATGCAAGGTTTCCATGGCAACAAGCATCGAGTATTATCCATTTCCATGTCAAATGTTGAGTCAAATAAACTTTGCATTGTTTTCATGCTGCTTGTCATAGTGAGGAATTTATCCGGGCATTTGTCAGTTGTACGAGACATCGCTTACATCAGCGGGTGAATTGTTTTTGATCCGCCCTGCTACGTGTGATACATGTATATATAGGATCACTATTTTGCCATCTCATAGTGTATCTTCACCCCCCCACCCCAACACAATGCCACCCCTCAAGCAATACACTCGTGAACAAGTGCGTTGCCATGCAACCGAAAACGATATATGGATCATTATCGATACCATGGTCTACAACATGAGCGACTTTATTGATTTACATCCTGGTGGCGCGTTTCCCATACTCGAATATGCAGGAAAAGATGCAACGGATGCATTTTACGGTTTACATCGACAAGAGGTGTTGCTCAAGTATGCTCGATACCAGATTGGTACCATCGTCAATGAGACACCAAGTATTCCATTGCGTCAACACGGTGATATTTCAACGGTGCCTTATGGTGAGATCAGTGCTTTTATGGGATACAAATCACCCTACTACAAGTAAGTCATCCATAAGCTTGTTACATCATCTTTAGCATGCTGATGATAAAGCTCATTAGTGAAACCCATTTTCGATATCAAGCTGCCCTTCGCAAGATCTGTGATGAGCTCAAAGAAGAGGCACAAGCATGCGATTCAGCCGGTGATAGACCATCGGATGAATTTGCAAAAAAGCTCGGCTCCTACCATTTATTGGCAGCACACATTGGGCCTGGTCCTTGGTTACATGGCTTGACCATGCCTGGCAACATCCGGGGCGAAGACTTTGACTACTTTCAGTGAGTACAATCGATACCATAATACAAGGGGATCTTGATTGCTTATATGTATGCCCCCAAAAAGTGATATGATCACCCATCAAGAATTTGCACGTTGGAGTACGCCTGGATTGGTTGCTGGTCTCACGGGTGGTATGACCATCTCCGTGCCAACCGTACTTCATTTTGGAAAGCCTGCATTGAAAAAAGAGGTATATAAGGAGGTCAAAATGGATGATGGCTTGAAAAACAATGACACCTTCTTGGTTCTATGTAGCTTGTTCCCAAGATGCTATCAGGAGAAAAGCGCATGGCATTGGCAATCACTGAGCCCTATGTTGGATCAGATGTGGCTAGTATCAGAACAACAGTTACCAAGGCGACCGATGGATATATTGTGAATGGTGTCAAAAAGTGGATTACCAATGGTATGTATACAAGAAGGTGCATTATTGGACCTACTCGCTAAAACGTGTCAATGCGATTATGATTATAGGTCGATTCGCCGACTATTTTGCAACAGCTGTTCGCACCGAGAAAGGTATATCCATGTTGCTGATTCCTAGGTGCGATGGTGTCGAGACAAAGCCAATCAAGACGTCCTACTCTCCCAGTGCAGGCACAGCCTATGTGACATTTGACAATGTGAGCTATAAAAAAATCTTACTCATCCATACCAGCTATTCACTCATCATCCATTTTGGCAGGTAAAAGTACCATTTGAAAATCTGCTTGGTGTTGAGGATCAAGGATTTCGCGTAGTTTTGTGAGTATTTTTGAAAAGGAAGATAGCAACACGTCATGAAACTAATAGCCATGTAGATCCGTAAGTAAAAAACACATCAGCTATATTGACAAGATATCGGATCACTGATCATGCTGCTTTTGATTACTATACCAAATATACACAGAGTGAGTCTTTCTTCCCAGTGACACGTGACCCTGGTAGAAATGTGTATTTATGACAACGTATGCATGTAGATTTCAACCACGAGCGTTTCATGCTGATCTCACAATCCGTCGCTGTGGCACGCTATGCAACAGAGGAATGCTTCAAGTGGGCGAACCAAAGAAAGGTGTTTAACAAGCGTTTGATCGATCAACCTGTTATACGCAACAAGCTTGCAAGAATGGTAAGCAAAGACGATGCCCCTAACATAGGCCAATGTAGCTTATTATGATTTCAATGATATATAGATTGCAGGTGTTGAGAGTGTGCAGTGCTGGGTGGAGAACATAGCCTACCAAATGTGCCATATGGATTACGCTGAGCAAGCTGACAAGTTGGCCGGCCCGATAGGACTCTTAAAATATCAGGTTTGTTGTTACTATTCAACCGATGGGATGATGAGCTAAAACATGGTACACATGTAAACAGGCTACACGGATGATGCATCATGTCTCGGATGATGCTTGTCAAATTTTTGGCGGAAGAGCATTAACCCGTACTGGAATGGGACGCTACGTTGAGGATTTGCAACGAACCTATAAATTCAATGCCATTTTGGGTGGATCGGAGGAGATCATGGCTGATCTCGGTGTACGACAAGCCATCAAAAAGTTTCCTACGGATGCTCGCCTATAGACTTGTACACAATAGTTTCTATAAATCGCATATAGAAAAAGTGTACTATATGCCCCGATTAGTAACTTGATGCACTTTTTTTTTGGGATCACCCCATCTGATGTTGTACAACAGGCAGCTGAATTGGCTTCATCACTTTTGAGTAAAAAGACAAACCATGATGATGGGAAGGTTGTAAAGAGAATGATACTACACGTTCTACCACTGCCAAATCACCATAGTCCTATATTAGAAGTTCTACAACTCGCTCGGAGTAAAGGTTGAATGGGATGATGTCATGAAGGATTTATACATAGCTTCATCATTATCGTTTTACAAACATTGAAGTGGGTGATAAGAAAGAATACATGTGGGTGGGAGATGTCTGCATATGAAAGTCATCGGTCAAACATAGGTATACTCAGATCAGGGACCCGTTCAACGCGTGCGGTCCATAATTTGAAAAGTGCGCGCATTCTAGAACGAGACCCTTCAGGGACGGCAAAGCGCTAGCAGCTGAGTAGAAGCCAAGAGATGGCGGCCATCATGCTGCATGTCGCCGAGTCAGCCCTATATTATGTCGCAAACCACCACACATTGTGCTTCTTTTCCCATTTACATTCCTTTCAACATCACTATCATCATCCACCCAACCTTTAATTGATAATGGAAACGAATGAGCAGCACGATGAATACATGCTAAAATTTGTGCTTGTTGGCGACAGTGGTGTAGGAAAAACAAGCTTGATTTCACGATTCATTGTACGTATTCGAGGACATGTGTGTATGTGTGTGCCAATTTTTCGTTAACGCATGGGACACTTTGTAGTGCAATGAATTCAATGCGGAAAGTAAAAGTACACTGGGTGAGTTTTTTTTCTTGTCAACAAGAGAGGTACACACACGTGCTCCGCTTAATCAAGAGAAACACTCGTGTAGGGGTCGATTTCGGATCCACATTCGCCCAGATGGTGAGCGATTTGCGCTATTGGGTGGCATACTTGCTACAATAACTCATCCACCAGAATTATAGAAGGACAATCGCCGCATCAAGTTGCAGGTTTGGGATATCAGCGGCAAAGAGCGATATCAAGGCATTGCACCAACGTAAAGTCTTTTTCTCGTAGCATGAATTAAGGGATTAAACTTCTTTGTCTTCATAGGTACTATCGCGGAGCACAATGCGCATTTTTACTTTTTGGTAAAAAAACACCATGGAAAAGGTTTACAAGCCAATTTCATAGCCATTTATTAATGTCCCTCCAATATCATTAGATCCAACAAGCTTATCATCCTTTGTGAATCTGCAAGTTCATTGGCTTGAAGAAATAAGGCGATATGCAAGCCAACGTATCAAGCTAGTGCTCATTGCAAACAAAGCTGACCTTGTAAAAGAAGGCCAACAGCAGCGGGAAATCAGTATACAAGCAGCTGAAAAATATGCGTCCGACCATGACATGCTGTTTTTTGAGACAAGCGCATTGGAAGACAACACACATATCGCCGATGTTTTTCAATCAGTAGCAGCAGACATCTATGATACGCTTGTCAGTCCCTCCACCGACGATGGGTGATCCATCCATATTGACCCCCAACTCTTATATCATCGTTACCCTTATTATCCTTGTTGTCTTATTGTTTTCCTCCTAGTATTTGTCAGCAGCAGCAGCAGCAGCAGCAGCAGCACCAGATAGCTTCAAAGTGGCTCCATGTTGCACAAGCTATATAATCGTTTTTATTCCTACTATAGCACGTCATACATTATCACTTTTATCTTTTGCATACCCGATTTTGCTGCGTTCAAACAATAGGCGAATCAGCCAATGATGCTGAAATTCGTGTACACCTTCCGTTTTACACAGCATGAAAGCTCTCGCGTAGTAATGCCATTTCTGGGTCGTGAGAAAGTGCCAAGGCATTAGGCTGAAAAAAAGTGACTACAGCGACCGGGGATGTGGTCCGGCACGCATGATTTTTTAGTCTGGGTGAGAAGAAGAGTTGAGCTAATAGCATCATCCATCGAACGCTGATGCTACATAGCTGCGGGGCTTTGTTGGCCTAGGTGAGCATATACAAGACCGGCAATGTGGTATCCATGGCAACCAGGCATATAGTAGTATGATATCTTGGTGACGATCATTATCATGATGGAGGAAAACAACACATTTTTATCATGTAGTATTGATGAGAGACGTCCATGCAAAAAACACAATGCAGATGCGTATCGTTTTCTTTATCAATAGCGTATCTCAAAATAGAAATCAAAGATGAGACACCCACAGGGGTACTTTTTTGGCTGGCGTCTTGTCCCAGTTGCCATGATGCTTCGATTTGCTGCTGAAAAATGTCAAACTGGATTCACGTGTGACAAGAGCCATTGTTACACATCTATGGTATCTTAGTGGACGTAATGGTACGCATTATTGTTTGCTCATCGGTGGCTCTTGACCATCACAAAGTGCCATTTAAATTTGGCAAGTATTATCAAGGCAAATGTTGTGTTGACTCTTGAATCATGTACCAAGTCTCATATCTGCTTTCATCCGGTAGCAGGATCGTGATCATGGCTCCATGTTGAAGCATTCGAGAATCACCTTTGTGCCATCCACACTATCCAAGAATCCAAATCCATCGTTTATACATTGAGTCAATCTGTTTATTAAGAGGTGAGGCAAGCGCAATGAGGCCTATAAAACTAATTTCTGTTCATGGCATCCAAGATCTGCAAGATACGGAGGAAGAGGTTGATGATATCCATGTAAAGGCTGACCGAAGCCATGATGTAATCCTCTGGTGAGTAGCGATTGAAGATCAAAAAGGTATCAAAGACAATATAGCCCGAGAAAATAATGACACCAGCAACAGCGAGTGCGAGTTGGACACCTTCAGAGAATGGGAAAAAGATTTGTACGATCGACACGAGGAAAAGGATGCTGATACCAGCAAAAAGGCTATGATAGGGGTGTTAGAGGATATCAAAACCAATACTTTATCCACTTACAATGGTCCCATTCCCGAGAAATCCCATTTGGACTGCAAGGTGAAGAGGGTCAGACCCACAAAGACACCAAAAGTAATGATCAGTGCTTGAAGAACCAGGGTTTGTTCATAAAAGGTGACTGATATGGGGAATGTAAGTCATATGATATCCCATTGTGCCCATCAGAGAGAGAGAGAGAGAGAAAGAGAATGATGCTTACCAATTGTGCCAACAAGATGACCTTCCAAGAGCGTGAATAATGCCAATAGACCGTAATTCAAAGGAGTCGATCGAGCCTTCCACATCAAGGCAAAGAGAACAATCAACGAGCCAATCATGGATCCAAACATCATCCAAGCACTACAAAAAGTAGACGCAAATGAGCTCTCTTGTGATAACATTCTTGGCGCTGTCGTTGACATACTTGGATTGCACCCACGAACGGACACCAGCATTGTACATGTATACAGCCGATAGGACTACGGTACTGAGGATTTGGGTGGATAAGATAGAATACACCTTGCGTACAAATTCTAAGAGAGGGAGGGAGGAAGAAAAGGTGTGGGTTCTATACCATTCCATGGAACACATTGCCAAGCATAGGAAGTAGTAGGTCACTTACGCATTCTGACTTCGACAGGGCTGTTGGCTACAGTTTCCTTGTACATGTCATCTTCATCGCTTGCATTGCCGAACAAGGGCTGACGAGCCTCTTCTTCATACGCTGGAGGAGGTGCTGGGTAGTGTTGTTGTGGCGCGCCGTACGACATTGGGGACACAAAGAAAAAAAACTTGAAAGAGGTGTTGAAGGTGTGGGTTCCCTCCTCCTCCGACCCGCATGAAATAGAATTGTAACAGGTCAGCAGCTTAATGCTCAGCCGCTGTTTTTTCTCTCTTTGTTTCACACCCGCCATTCGTCATGCCAAAGGTCAAAAAGCCACGATCACGACAAAACGATAAGGCCATTAGCAAAAAGAGATCAGTAGAAGCTCCTGAAGCAGTGAGTGGACTCGATTACGACCCTGTTGTTGTTGTAGTTTTGTATATTTATCGTCGTCCCTTACCTTTGTAGCCTGTAATACCAAAAGACCAACGACGAAAACAACGCCATGATGCTTGGTTAGAAAGTAAGAAAGGAAGAGGAATATAGTGGATATGTATGCGTATTGATGGGAGAATAGAGTTGGATGCTAGATACGCCCAAAAGAAACGATCCAAGAAACAGCTCAACACCGATTTAAGCGACTTTAATGACATTTTGGATTCGATTCATGCTGATACCGTTGCAAGCGATAATGATCCCAAGAAACGATTGCCTGTAGTACCATCCAACAAATTGCAACGCAACAAGAGTAAAAAGCGAGCCGAGTAAGAATCAAACATGGGGGAGGAAGGGAGGGAGGGAGATGACAAACAAGAAATTTATGATTGGAGTAGGATGCAAGAGATCGTTCGTATGCAAAAGGTGATGAATCTCTCAGCGTTCCAACAAAGTCCATTGGCAGCCATCCGTCAACATGTGCAAAATACATTCGGCAGTAGTAGTTAATTCTTATCGGGTACTTGCCAGATTTAGTCTTGACACAACCTAATTTGGCTTTGCGATTGTTTACATTGATATTAAAAGACTCTCAGGACACCACCACTATACGTTCATTTTCCTCTTTTCCATCTCTTTTGTGTGCGTGTGTATATATATAAACTCTTTCTCTCTCTCTCATGGATCTTCCAGTACAAGACTTTTCGAGTCGATATTATTGGGCTCGAGCAATAAGTCCTTTGCGATGTTGTGGATGCTTCAGTAATCGTCTCGGTAGTGGTGTCGCATGTCTTATATGGGCGGTAAGCAGCATCATCACAATAAGACATCTCGAGACAACATCATCCAACCAATATCTTTAGGCCCTCAGCTTTTATTTCGCGGTACTTGCATTCATGAGTCGTAGTCGTGAGTCATTTTAAAGCTCTTCTTTGTCCCTGTTGATTCGCTTATTTAACATCATCATCATTACAGCTTTCTATTCACATCTTGACGACGTACCTCTCATTGTTTTTGGTGTAATCAACTTGATATTCGGCTGCATCACACTTGCTGGATTTGTGATCATATTGGTATTAACGGTAAGTTGATTCTTGTAAGGTCAATGTCAGCATTACTCACGAGGGGGGGGGGTTCATAGCCTCGGTATGTGCGTGTACGAATCATGGTGTACATTATCGGTATTGGTGTCGTTATGGTGCTTGTCGACATGCTGGTGAACTTTATCCTTTTCGCAGCCAACCAAGATGGGTTTCAATCATGGTGCATTGACCACTCGAAAATGATTGTCCAAAACAGCTTACAGCAACAACAAGGAGATGGAGGAAGCGACAACTTGAATTTGCCGAGTGATATGGATTATTACAATTGTGATCGACTATTTGCAAACCAGATGAAATGGTCTCTTCTTTCAGTATTTGCCATGTTTTTGGTTTATGTAAGTTTCTCTTTTCTTTGGTTGATGAAGTAATGGATAATCGTTGACATGGCAACGCTATCCCATAGATCCATTGGATGCTGGTCATTACAGCTTTTGCTGGTACATCCTTCTTCCTTATTCCACCACGCGTTGCAGCACCACCACCACCGCCACCAGCAACTGTAGGGCCTCCTCCTTCTGATATGGCCGTTCCTGGAACTGAGGTGTTGGGCAATTTGCCACCATCAACCAAGTCCTACAAGGGTGTGAGACCGTTTAGAAAAAAGACGGATGCGAGTATCTTGGCTATGCTTGGTCTCAAGATCAATGACTCTGGGCGTATTATTCACATAGCAGATGAGCACAATTTACCATACTATGAGGATCGTCCTCGTGATAGTAGTTACCATTACGCAGATGCATATTCCAAAGAAGGGTTACTTTGATAGCTAATCCCTCTCTCTCATTCATCTTGTACATACACCTTCCTTTATTATCTTATACCTGTCCATTGTCATGATTGATAGTAAACAATCAATAGAAAAATGTTCATTGGGATATAGGAGAGCAGTGGCATCTGATTCGGGGATTGTAATATAAAAGGTGTATTAATACTGCCACTGCTGCTTCCAAGGATACAAGAAAGTACGGGAAGAATCCAAGTGCAAAGCACATAACAACAAGGTATAGCACGCGTTTTTATATGCAAGTGTTGGTATGAATGACAATAGAGAGAACTAGGTGTAAAGTAAAGCTATGTGTGTAGGGCTGCTATTGTCCTCGAAAAAGAAAGAGGTGTGGGGCTTTCGTGAACACCGTGTTGGTGTGTTCCTTTTTCTTCTCTCCGTATCATACTATGGCTCAAGAACCCAAAGTCAATATCTTATCTCCACGATCGACGCGCAAACAGCCATCGCAGAAACGTGCATTGCCTCCTCGCCATAGTTTCCTCACTGAAGCCGTTGAAGTGGCTCTCCAAAAGCAGCAACGTACGAGGGGGGGGTGATCTTGTTTATGGATCGACTTCGACCTTTGTTATGGGAATGCTAAAGATGATCTTGTCCATTGTGTAGAGGTGCCTAAACCACAGCTCGACAGTAGCACGATTCTGCTTGTAACCAACGATGAGAACGCCCTCGTCAACTTTGAAGAGAAGGAACAGCTTCCAGCAGCAGCAGTGCTTGGGGATAAGGATCTGGTACCCAACGTCAAGCCCAATTTTACAGTCTTTGAGAAACCTCCACGACGACAAAAGCGAGTAGGTGAAGTTGCTATTGCAGATGTTGAGGTAAGGGGGGAGGGTCCAATATAGACATGGGAAGGGTAAAAAAAGAGAGAGAGATCGATTGACATGATATTGTACTACAGCCAATCCCTGAAGAGTACTACTTGAGACGGCATCGAAAGCATGAAAAGGAAGAAAAGAAGCAAAAGAACAGGGAAAAGGAGAAACTACAGCATGAGATGTACCAGCAACAGCAATTTGTGGAGCGTATTCGGCACACTGACAAATCCATTGTCATGGCAATTGCCACAGCGATATGTCAACAACAGCAACGATCGGTGCCAAATGTGGATTCTTTGTATCGTCAAGTATTGCATGATGCCGAGGAACAACTTGCTCGTTATGAGATGCTGGGATTGACTTTGACGCGTAAACCGCGGAATGGTGCTACTCCTACTACAACCACAACAACGGCTTCAAGTCAACAGTATCCATCACCATTACCACAACCATCAACAACAACATCATCCTCATTAGCGCCGCTATCCGATTCTTCTTCATTATCGCCTGCATTATCCTTAATATCACAATCATCATCTGCATCACAATCATCATCCCTTAATGTATCACCAACAATATCCAAGAAATCAACTTCCCCCAATCTTAAACCTTCTCGGCCTGTCAGACGTAGTGTTAGACACACACTTGCCTTTGGACACAAGATCCCTGTTATGCCAGAAACAGAATTCCAATTACCCTATGAGACATTTGGTTATTTGATGGATCGGCGAACTAGAGCCAAGACCACGAGGAGGAAGTAGTAGTAGCAGTAGCGGTAGTAGTACAGTAGTAGCATAGCCAACTTAATAAAGTGATTAAACACACATACAGTTATCATCCTGCACTTTATATTTCTTTTTGGATGGGAGGGGAGGGTAAGTAAATAAAAACGTGTTTGAAAAAACAAATCACGACAGCAAAGGTGCTGATTCGCCGTTACGTGCATTACCACTTGCATGGTGCGACACGTATTGTCGAACACACGAAAACACGCCATTGAAAACGAAGACACCGAGGACCAACACGACAAATCCTGCCAACTGCAACCACGAGAATGTATCCCATCCATAGTGAATAGCAATGACCCAAATAAGCACCGTTCTAAATAATCATCAAGTTATCATCTCATCATGTCCACCTTTTTCTTTTTCCATTTACATACCTAAAAGTATCAATGACGCTTCTTCCAGGTACACCGACACTGGAGCTGACAGCGAGACCGAAAAAGTTGAACATGGCGACCATCAATGCCAACACCAAGGCGGATTGCCAGAGGACGTAGGCATCAAAAAGCTGCATCATACCTTGACGCATGTCACCCAAGTTGGCTGCTGTGGCCACACCCAATGCAACGACCAATAAGACGGTACCAAAAGCACCTTCAATACCCATTGCCTTTACAGGATCGAGACGATAGCGATCCATCAAGTACTCCTCAAGCACAAATTGACCAGCGACGAACAGCTGGGCAACACAAAGATACGCAGGGCCTACCCAGTCATCTTGCATACAAATCAACGTGGTGCCAATAAGAATCGCTGCTACAGCACCCCATTCATGACCCAAGAAGCGTCTTGATAAAAAGATCAACGAGAAAATAGCCGAGAATCCCACAATGCTGCTTCGCACCATTTGAAAGATGGAGGCTGTGCTATAAATAAGACCCAGGTTCATCAACTAAGATGACCAAGGTATTAGCAACAAAGACTTAAACAAAGGATTGTGTATGTACGTACGGTGGTGGCAATCAGGTCACAAGCACTCGGCACGATAAACCAAGTTAATGCCCAGCTGCTCGTAGATCGGCTAGTGACAGCCGCCCAATCGGGATGATCACCAACACCTTGTGTCTGTTGCTGTTGTTGAGAGGAGGGTTGTTGGTGGTTGGATTGTTGCTGTTGCTGCTGTTGTTGTTGTTGGGGTGCCACCGCTTGTAACAAAGATCGATCCAAAAGTACAGGTGTCTTGCTTGCCACTTGAATAGCAAGAATACACACAATCTCACCCAAAAAGATCATGGCTGTTTGCAAAAGTGGTTGTGCAAAGTATTCGGGAGGGTCATTGGTAGACTGGTTGACAGGTTGATGGTTCTGGAATGTCAGTATAAGCGGTATAGACACGCCTGAAACGTGTGTCAGATAAGGGGGTGGGTGGTTAACGACTTATGCAGCTGAGCAAAAAAAAAAAAAGAATGGGTTGTTACCTGAAGCCAAAAGACCCAGTGTTAAAAAGAGGGTATATACGGAGCCCATCTGGTATACACACACGCACTTTTAAAGAGAGTGGATAAGAGAGAAAGAAAGAGAGAGGAAAAAAAAGAGACCACCCAGAAAAGGAGACGACGGAAAAAAGAGAGAGAGAGAGAAGAGCGTAAAAAAACAAGGGGGACAATTGCAAAGGGGATGCGTGTGTGTGTGTATGTGTGTGTGTCGCACCAGCTCTTGACTCTCACATCGCCTACATGACTAACCAACTCCGCCCTGCTACGACGTCTAACAGCTTACCCATATCCTCAACCTCCTTCTTCATCAGTCATTTTATCATCTTGCAGTAGACTTGTCGTTAGCCTGGTATTCTATCAAGAACCACAGCTCTTTGGCTACTGCTACTTTGAAAAAGAAAGAAAGCGCCCTTTGAAGGGTGCGGGTCATGCGATCATCTTTGTGAAAGGTTGTTTGTCCTACTTTGGTGAAAAGCTTTCATTTGATAAACGTTATTGTCTAATGATGATGCAAGTCAGACAAGACTTCAACGCATGTCATAGCGATCTTTATGATTTTTCATGCAGCCAAGCATTTTCTTTTTCGGTACGCAGTTTTTATTGTTTTGGGTACGATATCAAATGGGAAATGTTTACAGAGCGTGTGAGCGTGCGTGACGACAATATATGTATATAATGGATGCACTAAAGGGTGGCAGTGTATGTGCGACAATGAACATTGGTGGATATGTGTGATTGAGTGACGATGCGTGTGTGTGTGTGTTGTGCTGGTGGTGGATGTGACAAATGATAAAGAAAGAAAACAAGAATCCTTAAGCAGTAGCTTGTTGAGGAGCTGCTCCTCCTGCTGCTGAGGAAGCTGCCGCAGCCGATACACGCTTGCTCTTATAATCCTTGATAGCTGATTTGATAGCATCTTCAGCCAGCACTAGAAAGAAAAAGAAAGAAACAAACATGAATGAGCCAATGACCTTGAATAGATGAATTGATGATCAAACTTACTGGAACAATGCAGCTTAACAGGGGGCAAGCACAATTCCTTGGCAATCTCAGTGTTCTTGATTTGACCTGCTTCCTCCAATGTCATACCACGGACACGCTCAGTCATGAAGCTTGACGATGCAATAGCAGAGCCACAGCCAAAAGTCTTGAACTTGACATCCACAATCTTGCCAGTAGCATCATCCACCTTGATTTGAAGTTTCATCACATCACCACAAGCAGGAGCACCAACCAAACCAGTACCGATATCTTGAGCACCCTTTGGGAACGAACCCACATTGCGAGGGTTTTCATAGTGATCAATCACCTACGCAAATGGCAAATGGGATGAGTCACCATGCTACTGTTGTTGTAAAAGAGGGTCTCTTACCTTTTGGTGGTAGGATCGTGTGTTGGAGAGAGGGCGTTGAATAGCACGGGTTGATCTCAACAAAGCGTTACGAAGCATCATTTTATGTGTGTGGTATGAAAGTGAAAAAGATTGAAACTGGGGAAAATGAAAGGGATTTAGCGGCTTTTATAGGGTTCAGTCTCATCTAGAGCGATTTGCCATCAGATACGTCCAGGTGATTGGCTTATCAGATGCTTATGGGGGCGTCATGTATTGGCTCCGAACATCCGCGAGTGACGCATTTGCTTGAATTATTCATCAACTTGTTAGGTTTCGGTTAAGCTATTGATCAGGTTTTGCTATATAAAACATCTCTCTCTCTCTCTTTATCTCGTCGTCATATCAACAGAAGTTTTATTAGATTGAAACACAACAACAATAGGATCATGGTCCCATTTCATCTCTCTCTCTCTTTTGTTCATTTTTTTCAATGGTTCCACAAAAACCTCAGTGACTCGGTTCTCGATGCGATGCTACAAACTTTCCGACCAATGGATGAATGGATGACCGTGTAAAATGAAAAATGCAATGCATGCACATGTCAAACGTAAAATAGGCAAATTCAATGGGATCATTCGTTCCTTGTCATTCTCTCTCCCCAGCTCATTCAGGATCACAACAAAGAATAAAAGGCGCGGAAGAACGGGGGAAGAGCCATTATCATTTTCCCTCTTAAAGGAATCCACGCTCGGGTAACATGAACCGAAATCCCCCGCAGCTTATCAAAAACAATGGTTTCTCGCAAGAAAGAGCCCTCTATATTTGTCGAAAACTTTTTTTTTACATCTTGTCTCTTCACATTCCACCACGACCAGCTCGCAACTTGGCAGCAGCTTCAGGATATTCTTGTGCGAACCTATGTGTAGGAGAGAAAAGGCATTGAGCATAAACGATCCATCTATCTATCTCAACCCCATCCGCCCCCCCTGTGACGTTCATATCCTTACCTGATTTGAGCCTTGGTAGCTTCAACATACGAAATAGCATGCTCGAGTTCAGGTTGTGTCCGTGCCAAACCAATAGCCATCTCATAGTAGCCAAGTGCTTCTTCAGCCTTGCCAAGTTCCAAGAGAATTTGAGCAAGCGAGGCAACAGCTGCATCACATGCAGGGTCGACTAAGTATCACAAGAAAATGCGTGTGTCAGATGATATCACAAGGATTCGTGGTTTCCATATATATATACTCACATTCCAATGCCTTTTTGCAAAGGTTGGTAGCTTCAGTAGCATCACCCATGGCTTGGTACATAAGCATGGCCTTGTTGATGTAGGGGAGTGGGTTCTTGGCATCCAATTCAATTGCTTTGCTGAATGCTTCAATGGCTTCAGAGATCTTTTGTTGATCAACCAAGAGTTCACCATAGTAGTTTTGGACATCGGCAGATTGGGGGAATTTCTTGAGTGTATTGTTGAAGGTCGACATGGCCGATGAGATGGATCCAAGCTTATATTGTACAACACCCAATTGAATGTGAGCAAAGACAAAGGAGTCATCAAGCTTCAAGCTTTCAGTATAATCCTTAGCAGCAGCGTCAAAGTTGCCACTGATGTAGTTCACTATATCCGACCCCCAATGTTAGTTTTGTACCATCAACGTCATTGCACCCCCTATTTTAGTGTTGTCGTTTTGTTGTAGTAATTACCTTGACCACTATATAGAAAACATGGCGATTAGTGTGTGACAGGCTATGATGTAGCCATTTTGCTTACCGGTGATAATAAACATCAGGATCGCTTGGGTTGATGGCAAGTGCATCGTCAAATTGCTTGAAGGCATTGGTAATATCACCTATATGTATATTAATGATATGCCATCCTTTCCCATCCCATGATGATACCACGTACTTTGTTCCATGTACAAGCTCGAGCGCTTAATGTAGCTTTGCACCAACTTGGAATCGAGCTCAATCGACTTGTCCAAAGCTTCCAAAGCACCCTTGTTGTCGCCCTTCAAAAAGTCAAACGTGCCACGAAGGTTGTAGGCATAGGCTTGATACTGAGATGAGCAGCCGAGCTCAATGGCCTTCTCGCAAGCTTCCAAGGCTTCAGTAAAGTTCTTTTCCTTGACAGCATTGTATGCCTTGACAAAGTAACCATCACCACTTGATTCATCCACGTTGGCAGGAAGCTCCAAGTTGACTATGGGAACAGGTTAGTTACTTTGGTCTCCATGCATAACGTTGTGCTAGAATCCACTTACCAGGGCGGAAAGACTCAAAGTAGGCATTCACAAAAGTGGAAGAAGGAAGACGAGGCTTCTTGGACTAATGACACGTGTTAGTTTCCAATCGATACAACATTCACCATCCTCCAACAAAAATACCTTCATGATTTCCTGAGCCTTATCTTGGGAGACGCGTTGTAACATACGTTCCATTGCCTTGGCAGCATTTTCATTTCGGAAGCCATCCAAGATACAAACGCAAGTGTAATCTAAAATGTGCGTATGAGCATCCTTGTCACACCCATCATCATCCCATATCTCATCATCGTACCATAGAGCGAGTTGACGAATTCACCCTTCTTTTCAAAAGCCAAAGCACGTCGATTGAGAGCCTTGACGTAGACAGGGTCGAGCTTAAGAGCAGCGTTGCAGTCTTCAATCACATTGTCATGCTTGCCAAGGTTAGCAAAGCAAGCGGCACGGTTGGCGAAGAAAATAGAGTCGGCCTTGAAGCGGATAGCTTGAGTATACAAACGAACGGCTTCTTCGTAATTCTTGCTAGTGAACAAGCTGTTTCCTTTGGCTTTGAGGGTCTGAGCAGCCTCGGCACGTTTCTTTATGCAAGAAAAAAAGAGTCAATGACCCGTGTTATTGATATCAACACATCCATACACCACCTACCTCTTGGCTCAATGCTTCAATGGCTTCATCCGACATTTCCTCATATTGCTCCTCGCTAACGGCAGCAGCAGCCTTTTCAGCAGTGGCAGGTTCCTTTTCCTTCTTGGTCTCGGTAGCAGCAGGGGAAGAAGCTGATAAGAAAAATAAACAACAAGGTGCCTGTCAGTTGAGAGATTCGAGCTTTTTTTATGCAATCCATGTCGCCCATGCGCAAGCATTACCAGAGCCCTCCTTTTTCATTTCGCGTTTATGCTGCTTGGGCTTCTTCTTGTCGCTGCCAGAAGAGGAGAGGTAGTAAGCACCAGCACCTGCAGCGGCAACACCAGCGGCAACAGCACAATAAAACTTCCAATCCTTGTCCTCCAAGAATCGCTTCATGCGCTCGGTAGCAGAGTTAGTCGTGTGTTCGGAAGGCATTGGTGGGATATTGAATCTCTCTCTCGCTCAAGAAGGTTGGTCCAAGTAAAAGGGTCGCGAAAGTGTAAGAAGAGAATGAGAGTTTCCAAGCACGGGCTGTGAAGGGGAGGGGGGTGGGTGTTCCCCGACCCGATTGAGTCCAAGCTATCGCAAATGGCTTGTCGTGACGTTTTTCCTTTGTGCGAAACATCTCGTGATAATCCACTGCTTGGTCACACACAATAATGCAAATCTATCTGGCATTATACAACACATACCATCCCTTACATCCATACCATATCTCGAGAAATCACATGATGAATAATGCATCTTGTCCCAAAGATCATCATTATGCATATACACTTTAAATGATAGACGCCCCCTTTGTTCATACTATATACATGTATTTGCAACACCAATACAACTTTACAATGCACCAATCTTTTTACTCAAAACATCCCTATATTGGATATGTATCCATCAGCATTGAAAGAAAACATCAGCATGTTGTTGTTGCTGTTGTACTTACTGAACAGTCCTAGCGATGATTTTATCATCAGGGAAGGCGAATTCTTCTAGATTCCCGGCATAAGGAGTAGGAACATCCGCACCAGCAACGCGGATCATAGGAGCATCAAGATAATCGAATGCATCAGCTATGTATGGATGATGATGATGAGTAGACTATAAATAAGGAGGATGATTCCACTTTCTTACATTCCATAATGCAACCCGCTATTTCAGATCCAACACCAAACGAGGCCCAAGCACCTTCCACCGTGATGATGTGATTGGTCTTTTTGACAGAGTTTGCAATGGTATCCATGTCCATTGGCTTGATGGTACGTAAATTGATCACTTCGCATGAAATCCCGCTTTCCTTTTCTAACTTTTCAGCTGCTTTCATGGACCAGCCTACAAAACGCGAGTTGGCCACAATGGTGATATCCTCTCCTTGACGCTCAATCTTGGCTTTTCCTATCGGGAGCACAAAGTCATCTTGCATGGCAGCGTCCGACATGGGATGTGAAGCGCCGTATTCGAGCTCATTTTCCAAAAAGACAACAGGATTGGGATCACGGATAGCAGCCTTGAGAAGTCCTTTTGCATCTTCAGAACTCCATGGCGAAAGCACCTTAAGTCCTGGAACAGCTCCATACCAAGCGCTGTAATCTTTTTTATCACACATGTTAGTTATACATAGTGTGTACATACGAGGATGATCATTTACTTGCCTTGACTGTGTTGAGCAGCAACACCTGCAGCAGCACCATTGGGACCACGAAAAACGATTGGACAATGCACAACACCACCCGACATGTAATGCGTTTTGGCCGCCGAGTTGATAATTTGGTCAATAGCCTTTTGACAGCAGCATCATGAGTCCATCATCAAGCTTTACATCCCAATCTTTGTAATACTATACATACCTGCATAGCAAAGTTGAATGTCATGAATTCACAAATGGGTTTTAGACCACTGAAAGCAGATCCCACAGCCAAGCCAGTAAATCCCATTTCTGTAATGGGTGTGTCAATGACGCGACGTGATCCGAATTTGTCCAAAAGACCACGTGTAACCTGCATAATAATTTCCATGTCAACCGATTCATGCAACAACAATGACTACATGCCAACAAGCTTTTACCTTGTATGCTCCATTGTATTGAGCTACTTCTTCACCCAAAAGATATACTTTATCGTCGCGCGCCATTTCTTCTTCCATTGCTTGGTTCAACGCATCGCGTACTGTCATCTGCAATTGAGCATTAGTCAATGGGCAACATTGTTGGAGTGTCGTGGTCAGCCATTTACTTCGTTGCTGTTGTCTGATGAGTTGAGCCGTTTCTGGCAACCAGCACCAGAAGCTAGAAGGAATCTGCTTGATGCCAAAGGTGCAATACGACGTGTAGCTGCCAACATCATTTGTACGAGCTATAAGGGAAATCAATAAACACACGAGAATAAAACGTCATTTACAACATCAGATGCAAGGGATATATGATGATGATGGTGATGCGTTAAAACCCCAGTAGATCAGCCCAATCATCCACCACCCCTTGTTTACCCACACCCACACGCTTCTTGTTCAATCCATTATCGGACATTTTTATCATCATCACGCATTCGCAAAGAGATAGGTCATGAAAAATTGTCACTTTACTCTGTTGTTCCCATGGTGATTTAGCTGGTGGTTTGAATAAAGCAAGGTGTGTATTTGAGGGATTTTGTTGATACTATCTTTATGGTACCAAACAAGCCTTTCAAGAGCCATTCATCGACAAGGCACTTTTTTGGGCTTGCATGTTGGCATAGCCATACCTACGCAACTACGATTGATTTCTTTTTGCTCATTGGATCTTCTTCCTACATGACAAAATCAATGCGAAGGAAGCATATTGGGTTCATTGTCGGCTGAATAGCTTTTTTTTGGACATATTGTTTTCGCCGTCGTCTCTTAATAGAGATGGATCATCGCCGGCCATGATGCCTTTTATTTCCACAAACGCCGTAATGTTTATCATGCAGGAGATCATCATTACGGTGGAAAGAGGCCATTCATTCTTGCTACATCATAGCGTCATTTGGCTTTTACGGTGTATGGCCTACCAATATACGAGGTTGTTTGTGGATGAAATTGAATGAGTGGGGTTTTTTTGTCAACGATGCATTTGTTGGATCACTGTGAGAACGCCAATTACATGTCTTCCCCAAAGGCGTGTTATGCACATTCGGCATCTCACATCGACACCACTATTTGGTCCTTGTATATCATAGAGAGAGGGATGTAAACCTAACATGCGCCGCCGACATGGTCTTTTGGCGTAACGGGCAGTGGTAGAGCATACAATCCAAAAAGATAAGATTACCGAAGAAGGAAAAAAAGTCTATTTAAATGTGTGAGAGAATGTTGGTATTCATCCTTACACACAACAACAACAACAACAACAACACCGTTCTACTCTACTTCAATGAAATTCGCTGTGCTCGTCCTTGCCATTGCCACCGTCCTTGCCACAGCGAAGGCCAGCTCCCAGAATCAACGCCGAGCACACGATTGCAATTACGCAACAAGCCAAGAGTGCGCTAATGATGCAGGCTGTTTCTGGGACTCTGGTAAGTTATATGCAGTGATATCTCTTCCACTGTGTCTGACCTTATTGCAAATAGACTTCGGTTGTGACGAGATCTATTAATATCAGAAAACCACACACCGGATATCATTCTTGCATCATCCTTTCTTATTTATGAATATATCTGTGAGCCTTTGGATATGATAATAAAGATTTTGGTTTGATGGGATAAAGTGAACTTTGTTATTAGAGAAGGGGGTACATGATGCGTTCAAGTAGTAGAATGGGTTGAACAGAATGCGTGGGGTGTATGTAGTAAAGAGTAATAGATGCTACAAGGTAATGAGATACCAGGTTGTCACAGTCGTATCACACTGCCCCTTCACAATCAATGCTGAAGACCGTGATTTAGGTTTCCAAGTAACCAGCAACAACAAAGATCCAGGTGTTTATATGAAAAAGACAAGTTCAGTATACAAAGACAAAGGAAAAGGCGTTTATTGTAGTGATGAATGATGCTACATTGAGCAGATTTTGGGTCGCCAAATAGCTCAAATCAGTGCACAAACATGCTCTTCTCCCGATTTATGTTGGTGGTTACTCTTTGAGGGTTGAAAATAGTTGGCTTCATGGAATGGGGGACGCCTTGTCATCTACAAAAAGTTTTCTTTCTAGTTCAAGCGTGATGATGTATATGGTGGTGTGGATGAAAGCACAAGCACACAATTCCCTGCTAATAGGATTCTCAACATTGATCATTGGTGAGGTGTAGGGCTTAACAGGAATTTGTTGTATTGAGTATGTAGTATTGAAGAATAATGATGCTATCCTTGATCTGTTAATTTGTGGCGATTACGACTATGGGATTATCCGAGGTGGTTTAATACAGTATTCAAGCCCATGCACTTTATACCTGAGACATGTAAACGATACTCCCAAATGATGGTACATGTAATGTCCAAGGTATCCATGGCGACCGTTGCCATAGCATTACTTTAATGCAATACAGATCCGCTAGTCGTTTGACTTTGTGGAACCGAAACTAGCAAGCGGGTTACTGAATCAGAGCTCAGCCTAAAGGCTTAAATGGTAATTGCGGGCTACTACCACACACGCCTTACTGCTCGGGTTTTCTACCTTTTTTCTTACGTCTCTTCTTGCATCGCTTCATTGCTCTTTCTCCATTTCTGCATTTGTCCTATTCATCTATACTTCAGAGTCACATTCAGAGCATGGAATCTTCAAGCATGGTATGGTGGTTTCACCCTGGTACGTGTAACAGTGATAACAACGCTAAGTGTGTGTGTGTGTGGGGGGGAGGTGATAGGTAGTGGTTGACATGATGTCTCTTTTTCTACTATAGAGGTTCAAGGTGTCCATCTACTCTTTGAGTCTTTTGTATTAGACAATGGAGGAAAGCTATTTCTAGCATACATCTTTATCGTTGCCATGTGCTGGACAGAGCGTGGCATTTCATATTACCTTGATTACCGGACACGCCGGCGAGGATGGAAGGATATCTTACTACGAACAGGACTCTACGGTGTTGCAACGACATTACGGCTATGGTACATGTTGATCACCATGTATTTCAATATAGGTCTTTTCATTGTTGTGGTAAGTTGTAATCAAAAGATCGTTATGATGCTGAGTATGTATCACACTCATCCGCATAATCAATAGGTGGTGTCGTTGACAAGCGGGCAACTAGGCGTCGAATACTTAAAAACATACAATGCACCCCCATCAAAGTGAGTTGCTGTTTACTGTTGTAAAAAGGGAAAAGGACTCAAAGTTTATTATACAAGGTTATATGACGAGCGTGGATATGCCCAGCCAACAAGCAAACAACAAAGATACTCTCACGAGGAAGAACAACAACAGCTCTTTGCGGTGACTGATGATGCATTTGAGCTCTCCAGGAATAGCTACGATCAGCGAATGGCACGTGAGATGAAATAAAATAGCACCGCTTTCTTGTTCTTTGTCCTTTTATCATGTTCACAGCGTCTCGTCTTCTACAACTACCACGTGTTATGACTCGATTCAACTCTACTACGACTGCTACTACCATTAACCGACCTGTTGCAGCTGTCATTGTGAAACGTGGTCCCTGTGATGCTGTTGCCAATGACGCCAATGACACCTTGCATTCACTCCATCGCAAACCGAACAGCTCAGTATACCTCTTAGTCAAAAAGCCACGCAAGGACCATGCATGGGGCTTTCCTCAAGGTGGTATCGACCCAGGTGAATCGATAGCAGAAGCAGCACTTCGAGAATTACGCGAGGAATGTGGCAATGATATCAAGGTACGCCTCATCGACACCGTATCACCCAGCTGTGTATATCAATATCGGTTCCCAGATGAATTCATCAAGAAGAGCAAACGACCTTTTACAGGTGCAAAGGTATTAAAAAAGCAGCATTGGTTCTTTTTAAATGCGTAGTGACTTTTTGATTTCTAGGTGGAATTCATGCAAGCTGAGTGGGTAGAAGGCCAATGTTCACCAGATAATCACGAGATTGTGGACTTTGCTTGGGTGACACTTGAAGAGTTAGAAGGGTATATAGAGGACAAAGGTTACAAAAACGCTATTTTCAGTGCTTTGAAAACATAAACCCTTTACTATTCATTGGCCAACATGGTGCCCACAAGTGATATCTATGCCTTACAAAGACTGGGGAGGGTGATGAAGGGATGGAATTGGGCTTGTAATCGATAAAACATGTACAAGATGGCAGGAAGAATGAATGGTTGAAATCTCAAAAGTGAGCAATGGTAGAAATACCACTTTTATGCAAGATGTAAGTTTAACAAGCGTGGATGATGGATGCATTTGGAGTGGGAAGGAATAAAAAGTCAAGAACACATGACATGAGGAAAAAAAAGTAAAAGGGATGAATGATACTAGTAGTAGTAGTAATTAACCAAGGCTCCATTGAGTGGCCAGCCAATCGTACTTTGCAAGAGCTTCGGGCTTGGTGCAATCAGGTGCACGGGACTTTTGTGCATTCTAAAGAGATAGATAGGATGAGCATCCTGTGTGTGGAGGATGTGCCTTTATACTTACTCTTGGTAAAGAAATGGTGGAGTTATCGGATCGTGAATGAAACGCTGCTAGTTTGCCATAGCCTTGAGGACTGATGATTCTGAAATCCGCATAGCTGAGAAGCCAGTTCTCAATCACAGCACTGTTGACGCCAGGTGTCATTCTCGCCCGAGTCACCTCCACAGGATTCTCGACATGGATGTATTTCTCTATTTGCTCTGGCTCAATGTGTTCTACTGGAAGGCCTGTCACCACCGTGGATGTTTCATCATAATACTCTCCAAGGAATTGCTTGGCCAATGTCGTGTTGGAGTTTAAGGATTTGAATTCGTCACGTAATCGAAGCGAGTCGGTGATCATAAAGTACACGACGCGTTTATGGTGAGGTTTACGTTGCACACTAGCGACTTGGTTGGCACACGTCAAGTAATAATCCCACATTTCGAGCGAATTCTGATCCAGCTGTGGGTTGGCTAAAGCATTGTCATCCGTACGCACCTAAAATGCATATATACATGAGCATGATGATGTTGTGGGAAATTATCCATAGACAAACAAAAAACAAACCTGCATGCCAATACTCAAAACACTCTCCATTTGAAAGAGATCTCGATAAGCATTGATGAAACGGCGCGAGCCAATGGTTGGTCGGAAGAGATAATCCGTAAGACATCCAAAGGTGTTTTCTTTGTCCAGGCCCATTTTGGCTAACGTCTCTGGATAAATGGATGACTCCTTAAAGGTTCGAATGATGTAGGCACGATTGGATCTTGCTTCAACAAACTAGAAAATATAAGATCAACCACCCATTCTCTCTCTTTCTCTTTCTTCTCGGGTGATGATGGATATACTTACTGTGCCATTCCATAAATCTTGAAAATCTTGCGTAGGACCATCAGGAAACATGGTATTACCAAGGACATCATACTTCTGATTCAGGGTGTCGACTTGTTGATAGGTGATGCCTTGGTCTGGATGGTTGAATAAAGAAGGTACAATGGAGGGATCGTAGGTCCAATCGATGTTGGGTTTTTCAAAGAGGATCTCGAGCGGGATGGGATTCTCGTCAGCCCAATGAGCAAGATAAGCACGATCGGTAAGGAGAGCGTAGAAAAAGGTCGATATCATGCCTGGGATTTGAGAATCATGTGAGTGTGTATTATGCAAACAATCTATATCTTTTTTGTCATACATACCACTCATCCGATCTGCTAATCCACCACATCCACGGTTGCCAACGGTAGCCACTTCACGACAAAGATAAGAGATAAACCGAGGTGGTTCTGCAAGCTCATCAAGCTGACCCTGTTGCATCATCTCGAGCTCTTTTAGACGTCGTTGATGTAGCTCACGATATTGCTGCTGCCAATTTCCACACTCGCCGTTTGTATTGTAAGGTGCAGTATCCACAAAGCCGGCGGTGCGATCGTAGGTGTTGCGGCAATAGTTCTCGACATCACTGGGTGCTGCAAGTCGAATAGCTTGTAAAAGTGTGGGATCAGGATGAGGTGGGGTGTAGGATCCATCCTCGCTTTTTGCAATGAAGAGCTCGGTCGGTAGTTGACATTCAGCATCAGCAGTAGAAGCGTCATCAGCCGCTGTAGATGGAGGAGCCATGGACAGGTCATTGGTGGTGTTGCTGTCATCGGTTGTCATGTTCCACCTGGAGGCTGTATTTCATAACCCAAGCATGAGATGGATGGGATACACTTCAGGCACACACGTTGTCAAGGACGTTGTTTTACCTGGATACACAAGCGAACCTATGGCCATGACTATAACAGCAAGCAAGCTGACGATTGTTAATGCTTTGGCAAGCTTGTACTTGAAGAGTAAACCATCGGTGGCAGTGCCCAAACGCTTATAGCCTGGACCGGATACCATGATAGTTTAAGAAATGAATGAATGAAAGAGTGATAAAGAAAAAGAAGGGAGAATAAAAAAAAGGTTAACCTCTTGATCGACGAGTCGTTTTCTTTTCTTTATTGACTGCCTAATTAGGAGCCTTCATGTAACACCCCGCCATGTTGCCAAGTTACACATGTTCGCATTCATCAAAGCAGCACTACAGTGGCGGCGACTTAATGCAAACGGGTCATTTCTGCTCCGTTTTACTGCTTCTCCATCATCAACACGATAGGTCATTGATAAGCATCAACATCAACTTTTATTCACATAGCATTGGAGATGAAGGTTTCATAGTGGGGGCATATGGGCTAGTATGATAGTCGCTGCAGGGATAATGATCAGGTCCTCACACACACACACACACACATAGTCATCATGCATCCAAATCTGGGCAGTGTCGTAAAACGGAAGCATCAGCCACTTTTTTCGAGCACTTCTCTTTTTCCCTCTCTTCCCCAAAACTATTCCTCGGTCGTATGGCAAATCAGCTGCAGTGTGAATCCGACCATTCGTCTTGTACCAACAACAACAACAACTATGACACTCATGACGATGCGGCAGTGGAAATGGCGAGTCCTGCTTGTTACCGCGGCATAATACCCAACGCCAATGGGTATGCTGACGATGGCTTTGACCGCTTCTTGAAGGAGAAAGAAGATATAGCACCATCCAACACGTTACAAGCTGAACATGAACATGATACGCCGTCGTTTGCTGCATCTGGGTCAATGACATATTCTGCAAGCTCAGAACAAGATTCTTGTGGCACACTATCGCGAGACGGAATGGATGCCGTTGATATGGACGACGACGACGACGATGGTTTCGGTGACTTTGAAACGTTTACATCACCTTCATCTTCTACTATTGAACAAAATGATGTAGGTATTATCATTGCTTGGATGACTTTTGTTCTTATGATGACTTTTTCAGGTAGTATTCAGTACAATGGATGAAGCACTCGATCAATGGAAGACGCTGCTAGCAAAAGTATTCCCTGGGTCTCCTTCACCTAAAGTGGATGAAGATTGGGTTGGAAATGATATGACCAGTATTCGTCGCTATGTATTGGAGGAGGCACATGAGTAAGTAAAAGGATCGTGTGTGGCAATGGAAGGCTTGGCAATGGAATGCTGATCAAGGTGGCGAAAAAAAAAGGTCTATTCACAGTCGAATAACATGGACAGCTGTTACACATGCCATGGATGATGATACAGGTGTACCCAAAGTGAGATGGAACCATTCCAAGATTGAGGATATGTATCTATCGGCTTTGAATTGTAAAAGACAAAAGGTAACAACACACCGATCGGGTATTTGGATGGCAATTCGGCAAGGTGGTTGCTAAAGAGACTCCCTATTTTTGTTACATAGGATCCCGTGCCGTTAGTCCCCTCTACACTTTCCATTACTGGTGAACCCGATCGGGATGATATTCCATCAACACCCCCTCCAATGACAGCTCCATCCACTTTTCCTGATACCCAGCAGGTACGTAAGAGTAAAACATTTCAATGCCATTCATTCATTGGACATCCATCTCTTCATAGTCAAAGCAGCCTACGACTCCTTCTTCCTCTCGACGAAGCAGCTTTGGTTTCTCATTTGCCAGATTTTTACCTCGATTATCCACCAGTTCTCTTCCACGTTCAGATTCATCAGCGCCCACATCCGCCTCTTCTCCAACAACAAACAAACGATTTTCTTTGTCAAGTCATCCAGCACGTATCAGCAATGATATTATTGGACGCACGTCACCAACACCATCCTCTCCTCCACCTCCTCCTGAAATTGCAAGCAATAGCAATCCATTATCCAAACCAACAATGATGCATAATATACATCATTCATCCGCCACAATGAAACGACACAGCATGCCAATTACTACAACTAGAACAACTACAATGAAGATCAATACATCACTCGCCAATCAAAATCTTCTCGATCTCGATGATGATGATGGTGTCACCATCTCAAGTCCACCTGCTGCACGCTCTTTATTCTCGTTTACACCCCTTACACCTACCGCAGTGTATCATTCAATACCACCAGCAACCACTCAATCTTCAATACCTGAAAACAAACAACAACAAAATCTGGAGGAGGATGATTTTGGGGACTTTGAACAAGCTACCATGGAGAACGACAACAAGGCTGGCTCGGCAACGACGGCAACAACGCATGTACAACAATCAGATACCACCAAGGAGGATGACGATTTCGGCGACTTTATGCAATCTCACGATACCAAGAATGATGACGATGACTGGGGAGAATGGAGTAGTGCATAATTCTGTATCCAAATTAAAAACGACTATTACAAAATGTGATACGAAGAATGGGAGACGCATGGTGTGTGTGTGTGTGTGTGTGTGTGTGTGTGTTGCAACAACAGCAGCAGCCAGCCGATCGATCCTTTTTAAAAGGAAGCACAAGTTTATCCGTTTTACTTGACCCGATTAGAGTTTAACACCTCCCCTTTTTTATCCACCATGGGAATGTTTGTAAAAGGCGGCATAGACTACGTTAATGTCATTCACAGCGTGTGTGTTGCGCATGTCTTGTTTGGGTGATAGTGGTGGTGGTGGTGGTGGTGGGTTCATGTTGTGGCACGTGCACACAACACGTCATGGGGCCTGATTTCCTTTGCACACACAATCTTGCGAGAGGGGGGGAGGAGACAAGGACGTTATCCATAAAAGGCTCCAAGCCGCTTTGTGCTTCAATGATGAATGAGACAACCACGCCGTACGTGACATTATCATCATAGGAAGAAGAAGCATGATGTCGAACGATGATGATGTTACATACATGCACGCATGACATCCACCAATGAAAAAAAGTCTCCTTAATGTTTATCATGCTGCTACCACCATTGACGTAGAAATGGGATACATCCGTCACGATCGTGGATGATTGATCTTTTTCCTTTTCGTTTTATCTTTTTGATTTCCAATAAAAGCTTAAATTGATAGATGGCTGATCATTATGATTCAATGCATCCTTTACCCCACCTTTGTACTTTTAGGTTGCATTACATAGCAGGTGTACGTGTTCGCGTCTGACCGACGTTTACGCAGCAACAGTAGTGGTAGCAACGTGTTGTTCGTTGGCATGGGAACGAGCCTGGTGATCTAGAAGCACGACAAACAGACAACCCTTTGTGTATGCTTAATATAGAATATGCTCCATTTGTGTGCTAGAGGAGAGGAGGGATGACAGGCCCTATAGAAATGGAATGATGTGGGTTGCCAGAGTAATAGGATGTCCGTGCCATGATTCGTGTAACATTCAAACAAGGCGGCTGGGCCCGTGTGTTTGGGGGACTTCCTACAACAGCAGCAGCAGCAACAGCAGCAGCAGGGTCACCCACCACTTGCACCACCGGGTGCCGATCCATGCGATGGTCATGCATTGTGTCTCCATTCTGCTTTTAGAAAAATCGCATAAATGCATTAGCTTGTAGAAACTTTACCACTTACCACGGGTCCGTTTTGTAGCTATTTGAGGTTAAGCTTCTTTCAAAGCGAGGACGCCGCCGCTTGTATATAACATGCTTGCATCAAGATGTATGTTCTGATTTCATTCCTTTCACTTGAACTTTTTATCATCATGCACTATAATCTCTTTGAAGATCTTTGGACTGAGCTTCCCTTTTGGATTGGTGGCAGCAATTATGACACATTGGCTCATTTAGCTGATGTTTCCTCCACCACCACCGATCATTTACAACAAGCACAATTACAACAGCAACAGGATTTCTTTGGGCTTTATCAAGATCCATGCATAGCAGGCATTCAATGTACTATGAATGGTATGTACACATGCGATACATATTGCTCATTTGATTGTATCATAACGAATGTATAAAGTAGAACCTAATAACTTGGCAACGGATCCATTCGCTTTGAATTATTGCAATTTGTCAACGTTACCATCAACAGCAACGACGTCTGCTGCCTATAATAGCGCTAATGATAATACGTTCATGATGGCAGCAAGCTCAAGTACGCCGCTCCATTTGTTGAACCAACAACCACCACCATTGCAACAACAACCACGTAGGCGAGTCAAGTCGATGCCATCTTCACAAGATGATTGTATTCCACGACAACAACAACTTCGATTCAAGGATGATCAATACAGTCCTAAATGGGTGCGTTACTCTGGTCAGCTCAAAGAAGGCTATTGTGACACATGTCCCGAGGGACGATGGCTTCAGCTGAAAAATAGTGCCTACTGGTATCACAAGCAGTTTTATCATGGGATCTCTTCGGTCACGGGTCGTCCTTTTGCTGAACCGCTCGAACAACGTGTCGGTCCAGACGGCGTCTTGCAGGGTTTGTGTCACCAATGTATATGCTTTGTACCCATATGCAATGGAAGGAAGCGACGAAACAGCCTTCTTTGGTACAAACATGCTCACAAGGTACGCGTTGTTATACAACCCAAGCCCATCTATCTAACGCTTTCATCGAATGTAGTGTCACGCTTATACCAAGCCTGAAAAGTTCCCATCTCCTCCTTTTTAAATCTTCCATCATCTGCCTGTTGTTAACTGATATCATACATACATAGCCGCATTTATTCTTTGTATATGTAGTATAGTCTTTTCGTGTTCATTCTTATATGCCTATTCCATCCTCACCTACCTAGCATCCCTTTTATGAAAAATCTTCCAACATCATGCATACATATCAAATCCCATGTCCTTTGTCTGCAGTTTCAATACATTCTCCCCCAATCGCTTGCCTCTATGATGTGGATGACTTGATTGAAAAGTGATATATAAATATTATTATGTAGATTTGCGGTATATTCTATTTAGCTGCTGGCTCGCTTGCGATAGAGATTCTTTCTTGAACGCTGCAATCGAGGTCGAGCTTCGTCCCATGGACCATGGATTTCACTGTAAGAGGATCGTAAGCATCTCCTCCATCATCATCTCATCCCACTTGATAGACTTACTTTTTGTACTTTTGAATGAAAATCAACCACCAAGGACATATGAAGGTAATAAAACAAAAACTGAGGATGTATAAGAAAACGACGGCTTTGGAGATGCGAATGAACATGGCGACAGAGGTAAGAAGCATGAGAATGGTCAGCATGATTTGAACTTTGGGATTCATGTCCTAATAAAGGGGAGAATGAGTCACATGCCCTCAGGTACATTGACAATGGTACAAACCTGCAGGTACCGCCTGAAAATGGGAAATAATGCAAACCATTCCACTGCAAATGAAAGTAGGCTAAAGACGTCAAGGTTGGTGTCAAATCGTGATGCCAAAAGGACCGAAGCAAATATGGCTGCATTCGTTGATAATGAACCTGGGATCCTACACGCACCATTCTTGTTAATCCTCCACTATGAGCCATCCTCTGTAACACACACACACTTACTTTACACGCGCTCGACTTTGTGATCCATAATCATGAAACAAGACATTGGCCAAGAAGCAGCACACTGTCAATGCCCAAATCGTATCATCGCTTGTTTGACTGGTTAATGTCTTGAGGATGGGAGAGAGACCGAGCAACGTTGCAAAAAAGAAAACAGCACTCTTGGCGACGCGTTTACCTATTCAAAGGAGGTCAATGCTTTCCTTCCACATCATGGGGGGGGATCCATTACTTACGTTCAAACCCTCGATGAGGAGCCGTTTGTTGGATCATCACCAAGTCCCAAATCACATAACCAATCCCTGTCATGAAAGATCCGGTCCATATCAAGTGGTTGGCCACCAAAGCACCCATTTGCAAGTAGATGAAAACAGCAATAAAGATCACCACGCTGCTGATATGTTGCGTTATGACACCTGACTCATAGACCATCTTCCAATAATCATAGGTACGAACGTTGACTACATAGTATATAGATTCAGGAAAGCGTAGGGGAGCCATGGCATATACATACATACCATTCTTTTGCAGCTCATCAAGGAAGGTGCTATCCACATAGTTGTCAGGGTAGTTTTGCTTCACCCACAGAAGCTTTCGCCATGGCGGATTCGTAGGGTTGTACTGGTAACCAGGGCTCGGGAATTGATGAGCCACTCGTGCATCCATTGACCCATCGGACACAGGGAGAGAGAGACGCCTGGTAGGGAGGAGGTGCAAGAGAGAAGGAACGCGGATATCAAATTCACTGCAGCAGTCGGCGATAACCTGAATTTACCAAATACGACATGGCGTTGAATCACGTGATATGATGAGCGTCCAGGTTTTTGTTTCACTCGTGGATCATGGTAAATAGAACAATGAAAGCAAAGTTTGGAGAAAGAAAAGTGGCATTTATTCAATCAAGATTGAGAGGTGCTCACGTATATAAGGAGATCGGGTTCATTGGCGCACAACGTATGAGTCAAAAGCCGGTTCTTTATCCCATGTTACATATGACAGTTGTAAAAAAGAAGCACTTTATTGTATTGAGAATCGAGTCTAGGTGAGTATGATCCATGCTAATCATGTTGTAGCCTATTCCTTCAATCCGCCAGAATCTATCTATTGTCGGTATTTCAATAAATATACAAAAGTAGTATACAAAGAAAAGGGGATAGAAATAACAGTAATGGGGAATAGCAAGTAAAGAAAGCCAATAAAGGAAGGGCCAGCAAGAGGATGGGAAGGAGGGCAGCCAAAGGATTGGATTGGTCAGAGTGAAAATGTTGTTAGTATTCATATTAAACTTAATCCTTCATCATCAACTTACCTCGTATTGCATCAACTACGCTAACTCAGTGATGACTGATGGTGGCGATCTTGCAAATGTGCCATTGTGACTACGGACAAGCATGAGGGCGGTTTACTTGATATAACGCACCATACCAGCCGACAAGGACACAGACCACCAAAGAGAGCCAACAAGGCCTTGAGAGAGAGCAGAGAGAGAGCTTCAGAGAGAGCAGAGAGCTTGAGAGAGAGCAGAGAGAGAGCTTCAGAGAGAGCAGAGAGAGAGAGCTTGAGAGAGAGAGCAGACTTGAGAGAGAGAGAGAGAGAGAGAGAGAGAGAGAGAGAAAAAAGAAAAGAAAAGAGATAGTAAAAGAACGCAAGATTTGGGGTGATCAACTTTTATTTCTCAATGTCACTATTGTGTGAGTCAACGTTTATTCCACCAGTAAGGAGACTCCTGACAAAACAGTGGTGGAAAATGGCGTGCTCATGAGACAACATTCCTTGTCGCCGATGCATGATCGCATTGGTTCGTTCGGCAGGAGATAAGGATGGCATGTGTGTAATTGTTGGTGCATGAATCTCATCGACGTGCAGGAATTGACAATGCGGTCCACATAGCCACGTGTAACAAACAATAAAGAAAGCCGTTGGTCTCTCATAGACTTTCAATCAAAAGAGAACTCTTGGTACAATAACGCAAACGCAAGAGCGTCACATCGAATGCAAAAAATGAAGACGATTGAGATAGTGTGTGATGCACTAAAAGCAGAAAGGACCAAAAAAGAAGCTGCGTCAAAATCTGCATCTTGTCTCAGATAGCCACGTGTTGAAGAAAAAACGGCATTGTTTATTCGTGAATGTATTGGTTCCCACAAAGAGATAATGGTCGTGTACATAGGGGTCTTTGCATGATTGCTTTACTTTCCAAGCACCAAGGGATAAGGCGGTCGTATTATATTGACACACGAACGCTTGGATCAGTGAGCAGGAGAAAAAGAGCACTTTGAGGACATTGCATGACGTACCAGAAGCAGAAAGGGGAAAGCGAACGTGGCAAAACCAACATCACGGCTCACATGGCCACGTACAAAAAGAACCTGATTCGTCATTGGTTCTGGAGCAAGAGATAAGAAAAGCGTGTCATTGTTGATCGTGTATATGGTATGAAGGTGTATCATTGGCTCACGGGCAAGAGATGAGTGCGCCATGTCATTATCTACAGCTGCCACATCTTTGGTTATCGCCCTGTCTCGTTAACAAGCGTGCCGTCAAGCCGTTTCAAAGGATTCTTACTACTCCTACATTGTTCTCGAATCCCAAAAACAATAACGGCAGCAATTATTTGTTGATACGCGAGTACCATCATCGTTTGATTGATATCATTGCAGTCGTGTATTACCCGAGCATGCTTTTGGAAAAGATTCACCATGTCGAATACGTCCAATTTCTTCATATCATGAAGTTCTTCAATGGATATAGGTGCAGCATATCCTTGTGGTTTTAGATTATGTTGAGAACATCATGAAATGTTCTGGCTGATTTAATATAGAAGAATGGTGCACTTTACTGCAAAGATCATACCCAGAAGAGCACAATGATGTTTAGCTGGCTGTGATCTAAGAGACGGCATATGGAGTAACACCGTAGCAAAGTCTCCATAGTGCCTGGAATTTGGGATGTTGCAGCTGTTGCTTTGGTCAGCTTTGCATATGCTTGTTTCGCTCTTATCAGGTTCGTGGTGAGCTCAGAGGCTTCATCCTACGTTTGTTGACAATAAATGCATAGGTTTAAGCAAGATCAAGGGTTATTGGTCTAATCCTTCTTCCCCTTTGTCTACGGCAAAGAGACACCCCTCAAATACAATGTCAATCTTTTAATAACGGTTAAAGGTAATTGATTGTCACTCAAAGGTATCATTAAATGCTGTAACCAAGCTAAGAAGTATACTAGATTCATGTTCAAATCTTCGCCAGGTCCGAGCTGGTCTCACAGTGTAGATAAATACAATCTATTTTTGGTTAAAGTCAATACTCCAAGTCGCGACTCCAACTTGTTAAGCTCATCCCAACCCGCCCTTTCACTTACTCACCACTCAGCCTTATCTTCCCTTCCAATGTCGACAAACAACGTTACCATTCGTAACGGCGTAGATCAGATTCTTCGGACGAGTACGTCTTGAAACGCCTCATCATCAGCTCAACTCGTCGACTCAACACCCCATTGTCTTCTATGCATATGTATAGGGTTCCTGGACATAATCAAGTCCGTTCAGCCGAGTGGACGATGGAAGCTCGTGGTAGTCGACAGTCTCTCGTTAAAGATCCTCAATTCAGCGTGCAAGATGTATGACATTCTCGAAGAAAACGTGAGTGCTCGTATGGTGTGGCGAGATGAGAAACATGTGTATGGTCACCCTATCTAACACTTATTCTCTCTCTCTCTCTCAGGTTACCGGCAAGTAGCAGTAGCAGCAACAGCAGTGGAGTTGTATAGAACTGACAATGGATCACTTTTACAGTCGTGGAGAACATTGAAAAGTCGAGACAGCCGTATCCAAGCGTAGAAGCAGTTTATATCCTGACACCATGCGAGGATTCGTGCCGACGTTTGATTGATGATCTTGCTCGTCCCGAAGGTCCAATGTATGCAGCCGCTCATATCCATTTCATCCAAGGTAAAGTAAAAACACGCCGCTATCATGATGCATATCCTTCTAACATTCCCCATTCACGCAATAACAGCTATGGAGAACGACCTTTTCAAGGATTTCGTCCGAAGATTGAGAGAGAACAACGTGATGGATTCTGTAAAGAACCTCAAGGACATGTACATGGACTTTGTTGGCAAGTATACATTAGGCTTTATCGTCATCGTGCAGCTCTATTGACATTTTTTTAATAGTACGCGAGCCAGCTGTTTTCACCTTGGATGATGAACAAAAGTTCTTTTCTCTCTTCAACAATGATGGTGATTCCAGTGCAGGATCGACGATCTTGGGAGATGTGGATGATATGGCAAAGCAGGTACGACGCGGCATAGGGAAAGCGATGATGGCATCTATTTACATGTCTCTGTTTTTTTCAGCTACTTTGTGTATGTGTGGCACTGGGTGAAAATCCATTGATTCGTTATCATCGTCCATTGGATGTTCCTGGCACGATCAATCGCAACATCCCTCTGCATCTAGCCAAGGCACTTCAAGATCAGCTCGATGCCTTTATGGAAATCAATGGCAACTTTCCAGTGAGTACGAATGACATGATCTCATCCCCTTACTAATCATCTCCTTTGATAAAGCCACCCAAAGATCCACCCATGCCTCGAGGAACACTCATTATTCTTGATCGCACCATTGATCCTGTTGCACCTTTATTGCACGAATTCACATACCAAGCCATGGTCGCTGATTTGTTGAATGTCGAGGAAGCAGCCAGTGGTATCAAGTACACATACGAATACATCCAAGAAGATGGCACGACCAAAGATCAAGAAGCCGCTTTGAATGATCAAGACGCTGTCTACACATCCATTCGTCATATGCACATTGCCATCACCACCGAGCAATTGATCGATGACTTTAACAAGTTCATGGCTGAAAACGCAAGCGGCACTGGATCAGGGTAAGTAAAATGATCATATCCACCCCTTTATTTCGTTCTTGGCTGACGCCTTTTTTCCTTTGGGATTCATAGACAAGCTTCTGTAAAGAGTTTGCATGATATGAAGAACATGATCGCTAATCTGCCACAATACCAAGAAATGAAAACAAAGGTACGTATACATCTAATGTGGAATGATGAGGAGATCACTCATTGTGCGCACCCATTTCTAGTTTTCGGCCCATATGACGATCGCTAGCGATTGTATGGCAGAATTCCGTGATCAAAACTTAGATGCTATTGGTCTACTTGAACAAGTAAGTGATTTAGTAGTAGGGGTGGATAGATGAGCAAAGGCTAACAACAGGGATCAATATTAGAATATGGCTTGTGGTGAGACGCCAGAGCATCAAGTACCCAAGCAAATTGTGGATGAGCTGTTGCCCATTTTGGATGATCCCTATACCAGGTAATTCTCTCTCTTTTCTCTTTGATGCAACAAAAAGTGGGTTCATTACTTATCAACGACATGTAGCCAAGCCATTAAGACGCGTCTCATTATGATTTGGTTTGCCACTTGCGACAAGGTGGATCCTGATGAACTGGAACTGTTACTGGCACATGCTCGTCTCGATAAGAAATACAAGGATGCCATCGACAACTTGTCACTTCTTGGTGTGCAACTCTCAAAGTCAGCAAACAAACAAGGCGAGAAGTCTTCTCGATGGCACAGAAAGAAACGTGAGAGCGTTGTCAATCAGCAGCAAGATGTTCCTTTTGATTTATCTCGCTATGTTCCCATTGTAAAACGCGTGGTCGAGGTATGTATAACAAGTTTTGTATTGGATCCATCTTACTTATATGCGCTTGAATAGGGTCATGTCAAAGAAACGATTGATCAAAGCTTGTTCCCATTACTGCGGATAGCACGACCTGAAGATTTGAGACGTGATCCAACACAATCACCCAAGGAGAATTATCAGCTCCGAGTATACAAGACACAATGGCACAAGAAATCGGTTGGCAAGAATGTAAGTTTTTGGAGGGGGAGAAATAGTTGGATGTAGTAGACTCAACTTTTGATTGTAGGCTCAACCCAAGCCAGCTTCGGGTCCTCCTGTCATTATCTTTATTGCCGGTGGTATGACCTACTCTGAAATGCGATCTGCCTATGAGCTATCCCAAACATTTGATCGCGACGTGTATATTGGTAAGGATCACCACATTATCTTGATTGGACGAACATGCATTTGACTTTATGTTTCTTTGTGACCAGGCTCGACCCATATTATTACACCCGATCGATTTGTGGATGATCTTTCAGAACTTGACAAACCAGGCCATCCCCCAAAGGAAGTTGTGCCCCCCTATACCGGTAGTGTTCACGCTAAAAGTTCACCCTCTTCTCCCATGCCAAAGACAAAGAGAAAGTAAACAACGCTGTTTTTTCGATATTGTAATATACGCTTGTGTCAAGTAGCTTATCTATTACATCTTGTGTATCTTTCCTCTCTCTCCCTCCCTCTTCAATACAATGATGCCTTGACAATAACTGATGTAGATACGAGCGAGAATGATAATTGATTGTATCACGTGAAACGGAGTCCTCATGGGCCATACTATGTCACTTACCAAACATCACCTTTTAACCGGCAAGTGGATTTATCAATGGTTGGTTTTCTATCACTTCCAAGATGCTTAACCACTTTATCAGTTTAATTAATCATGACAACAATTCTCACGCCAACCCACATATAAGCAAGGCTGTTTGCATCAACACTATCATACGCCCTTTCTTTCGGCTTGAAAGCGTACCATCATCAATGGCCTTTGGTAAGTCTCAAGGATAGTTTTTATGTGATCCCCCAAAATGAGGGAACTCATGCATCCACCTATGTAGCTCATCATTGCTTTACAGCACTTGAAGTGCTCATTGGTGCCTAATGACATTTGGCTGTGTTCCTTCATGGACCCTTCGTGGTAGGTATAACTATCATTTATATATTAAAAGGATGCCTAGTCTGATAGGAATTTGGGACCCCTTTTGTAGGTGACAAAAGTACATGGCCTTCCATCTTTGGCGTGCGATCCATGAAGACTTTGATGTTGATGGGCTGACTATGCCGACAACAGTATTCATACCTTGCAACATGCCCATAACCAAGGCTATGGATCATCAAGCACATCTACATACTTCGCACCCACGGAGCACAATGATGCTATTGACAATCCACCCATGACATCAAGTAGCAATAGCAGCAATCGTTTCACCAAGTTCAGAGATGCAATGAAAAACATCCACTACAACAATATCAAGCCAACTGGCTTCAACATTGATCACTCACAGCGACAAGATGCACTTGTTGATCAATTCAAGTCAAAAGTTACAGGCAATGTGCACTCGCTTCGCAGCTTTGGAGTGCTCGCTCGATCCTGAAAGTTGGCATCACGTTTTTGCAAGCTCTCGCTCTGGCAACGATCTTCCAAACACCTACAACACCGGACTTTTCATCTGCCTTTGTCACTTTCAGCACCTTGACCACACTTAAGACGATAAAAGACAATGACACTAGAGCAAAAGCATGGATCATCACACTTGCAGCATTTGTTGCGTCGCTGGAAAAGGTTCTGAAGGAGCACCAAAACCTCTCGCCACGCGTCCTTGTAGATCGCTTTTAGGGTTATCTGCAGCATTTCACGTTCCCATCATTTGATGACATCAATGGTGGCATCACTTCAACTCGCTTTCTGATATCGCCAGCCAGCGTACAATTTGCCATCAGCAATCAAAGAGTAAAGGAGAGAACGTCTACCAGCGAATGATAGCGTTGTATGGTATTGAAGTTTCATTCTTCCATTCCTTGCAGTATTCCTTTCTATGTATCACACGCATTCAACATAGCGTATATATAGTTCCTCTTGTATCCCCACTTCTATTTCTAAATAAGATCAAGATTTGCATGATATGGTGGTGATGGTATAGAAGACGATGTTTTATTCTCGCATCGAGGAACAATACTACTATGTACAAAGCTGTTTGCAATGGACGCGTTCAGGTCAGGGTTATTTGTACCAAGCATGAAGGTGGGGATTAGGCGAGGAGGAGGAAAGTGAATTTGTACCTTGTCAGCAAGCATCCAAAATTTCTTGTCTGATTTACAGAGCGTGGCGTGCAACAGCAACTTCTTTTTTCCACTACCACTTGCATTACTACCATCGTCGTTGGCGTTGCCATTCCACCATGTCCAACCAAGATCAAGGCAACAATGAGGAAGTTGACGAGAAATACACCCAATTGCTACGTACTTTGGAGGAGCGTATTGATCGTTCGAAATACGACCCTGCACAGGACAAAGAAGTGCGACGAATGATACGGCTACAATATCGTACTATTATCGACGCTCTGATAAAAAAGAAGCGAAGCCTGATACAGCCGAATAATCCGGGCATGCTCGAAGCACTCGCCAAGCTCGATGAAATCTTTGCGTTTGTCAGAAACACGCTTGAAGCGACCCTGGATGCAAAAGCTTTGTCTACTTTGGGCGACTATAGCATCGAGCAAGCGAAGAATCTACAACTTGGCGCCACTGTATTCGATGCAGATGATTTCGTGTCAAAGGTGAAAACATTCGGTGGTTGTATTACGGCGAGAGAAGATTCACGTTTCTTGGATTGGAAAGAGATTGGATTACGAGCGATTCAATTCAACAATCAAGTGATGAGCATGGATTTTATGTACGGTCCGCTTGCCGTGGAGAAGAAGCAGCGCAAGCAGGTTAAGCAAGTGAGGATTATTCGTAACCATGAGGATCTTGTACAGCCGACTCAGTTACAAGGCAACGATTTATCTCAACAAGAAAACGAAACATCAGCCAATGTCAATCAAATCTATCGCATTTTGGATGAACGTGGTCCCACCAACTTGCTTGAATTCGTGGTGAATCCATCCTCTTTTTCACAAACGGTGGAGAATATCTTTTATGTGTCCTTTTTGATCCGTAATGCCGTGGCCGAGATCGATGATTCCACAGGACAACCTTTATTGAGCACGCGAGCACCCCCAACACAAGAAGAGACAGCACAAGGCTTAGGTAAAAGTCAATTAATCCTAAGTATGGATATGCAGCTTTGGAGAGACATCATCGCAACTTATGGCATACAGAATGCTATCATACCCACGCGACCCACCACATCCGCAGCATTATCCTCATCCGCACGATGGTATTAAACATCACCACCACCACCACCATTGACACTTCCTCACACCTATCACACACACACACACACACACATCCTGCTTTACTATTCCGCATACCAATAGCATCCCATCCTCCCATTGTAGAGTGAAAAATGTAATCTTTATATTAATCACAAAGCCAATCTCGTGCTCGTTTCATCTTTTTCTCATGTTTGGCTCTTTTAAATCGTTCAATATCCTTCTTTGATAATTGTCGCTTTTGGCCGGCAGCACCTGCAGCTCGTTCACGATTACGTTCTTCTGTATAAGCATCGACGTCGAAATAATATTGCATTTGTCGTTTTGCTCTGTTTTCAATGGACATGCGTTCGGGGTTGAGGCGATCCACATCACTGGCCAGTTGAAACTTGCCCGTCCTCTTGTTAAAATAAGCTTGATATGTATAGGATTGATTGGCAAAGGAGGGTGTTGCTGCTGTAGGTGTTGCTGTTGCACTATGTTGGTATGCTTCGGCATGTTGTTGTTGTTGTGTTGTCGAGGGTGAAGATGCTGCTGTACTACCGCTCTCCTCTTGTTGAGCATCTACTTGATCGAGTACTTTGTCCAAAGCATTCTTCTCATATGGATTGTCCCACGTCGTCTCATATGTCATCATATTCCACCAGTAATACGCTTGAGAATTCTCATCCCATGCTGCAGTCCATACATTTGAAGCGTTGTCGTTGGTGTTCTCGTCTTGTTCTTGTTCTTCAACACCACCTGTTGTTTCCTTCTTCTCCTCCTCTTCCTTTGAGTGGGAAGATCGATCAGCATCCGATGCAGATGGATCCACTGGTTTCTCCGAACCTGAAGCATTTACTTCTTCCTGATCTCTTATGGGGTCATTGTGCTCTTGTTGTTTTCGGTCGTCATTGGAATCCATATCAAGTTGTTCAAGCAACGATAAACGGAGGTCGAATGTTGGAAAGGAAAGAGACAAGAGAATGGATTAATAGCGGGAAATAGTCACGATCGGATGTGGGATATCATCCTCCTCCTCCCTTCTCCTGAACCAACGTTTGCTCTCTCTCTCTCTCTATTCATGCGTATAGGTAAATGGAAGCACAATCATTCGTTGCTATAGAAACGCATCACACGTACCCAAGAGCAAGGTGTTGCCTAGGGTAGCATGATTAGCTCTAACCATAGTCACGACATTATCCAAATAAAGACATCGTACTCTGATTATCCACCTTGACATCCATGCACGATGAATACAATACAAGATTAGCATCAATACGGCTGTGTAGAAGTTTCCGATCAACGTTCAGCCATAGCCAAATGTACATGTATGCTCAACAATAGTAATAGACGATAGTTGGAAAGCTGTTGTCTTGAAAGTACATGATTCAAATCATTGGTGATGGTGACTCGATACTATTTGACACACTAAAGCAGTAGCAACAACAGCAACAATGATTATCCCGAATAGCGTGAGATAGTGTGATACGTGATTCCCGCGGTGGATTGTCGGATCTACACGGATGACAAATCAAAGCCCATCTCTCTCTCTCTCTCTGACTCTTGCGGGCATAATAATTCCTTGTTTCTTTTTATCCATGTTTCGTCACGTTTCTTCTCGAGTCGCCACTCCTCTTTTTCGTCGTACCATGTCTACCGCTACTACCATGAAAGCCATCGTTGTTGAGCAACCCGGTGGCGTTGATAAGCTTCTTTACAAGGATGTCCCTATTCCCAAAGCCGAAGGAAACAATGTCATTATCAAGAACCACGCTATTGGTAATGTGACAACAACAACGTTACTTGCTAGTTGCAGTGTATATTGATTACCACCCTAGGCGTCAATTTTATCGACACCTATCATCGTACTGGTCTCTACCCATTACCCACCCCTTTTATCCCTGGCCGTGAAAGGTAAAGAAACATACACCTCCTTTTTTGATGGTGCATTAACGTGTTTGATGCAGTGCTGGTGAAGTGAGTGAAGTGGGTCCTGAAGTCACTGAATTCAAGGTGGGCGATCGTGTGGTGTACTTTGGTGCTGAGACCTATGCCGAGTACACTGCTGCCAAGGCTTCGGGTGTCGAAAAGATCAGTGATCAAGTATCCTATGATCAAGCTGCCACTGTGGGCCTTCAAGCTCTTACTGCATGGACCATGGTGCGTGATGGATACCCTGTCAAAAAAGGAGGTGAGTATACGTAGGATGTTTTTAAAGGATGGTATTAAGGTTAAACACACGTGTTACTGTTGTGATATGCAGATGTCATTCTTGTTCATGCAGCTGCTGGTGGTGTGGGTCTTTTGCTTTGTCAAATGTGCCGTTACCTTGGTGCCACTGTCATTGGTACTGTGAGTACAGCTGAAAAGGCAAAGCTTGCCCACGAAAATGGAGCCGACTATACCATCAATTATAGTGAGGAGGACGTTGTCAGCAAGGTCAACGAAATTACAAATGGATTGGGTTGCCATGCCGTCTTGGATGGTGTTGGCAAGGATACCTTTGAAATCTCCATGGCTTGTGCCCGACGATTGGGTACCTTTATCTCCTTTGGCAATGCCTCTGGTGTTGTGCCACCGGTGAGTAGTAGTAAAATGATGCATGCATAAAAAACAAATGCTGACAAGGAAAGATACGTACATAGTTCCCTGTAGCACGACTTGCAGAAAAGAATCTTAAATTCATGCGTCCACAATTGTTCGCTTACATGGCAACCCGTGAGGAATCGAAAAAGTGGTGGGGCGAAGTGTGGGATCTCCTTGCCAATGGTCATATTAAGACCCATGTTCACAAGGTGTACGATCTTAAGGATGCTGCTCAAGCTCATGTGGATATTGAAAGCCGAAAGACTACCGGTAAATTGTTGATCAAGCCTTAGAAGGCTTCTCATTTCGTATATAAAACAAGTCATTACTTCGAGGATTTACGTTTGCTCCATGATGGTAATGGGCCGTTGTTGCATGTGCGATTGTGCAGCCACCCAACAAGCTTGGTGGATAAACCAACATACAACTCTGCTTCATGATCTTGTAAATGATGCATGATCTTGCGGTGGCACAACCAATCAATTGAGATTCCGTGGTAGAAATACGAGAGGGAACTAAAATTGGCTCATCTCAAATCCAGCGTCGTGGGCCATATAAGACTTGAGCAGGTTATTGAATATGGCTTAGAGTAGTAGTATTCCCTGGTACTTGATGTGTGTGATTTTCCAACAAGGTGGTGCTTGTGCAACTTCATCTGACTCGTAATATTGGATGGTGTCACATTAAAGTTTGCTGTTGGTATCAAAGCAATTACGATTTACATAAAGGATTGTTCTATATAAAACCTTGTATGTCTATTGTGTGGATGTTGTTAAAGCGATTCCAATCGAGTCAGCAGCCATTGCATCGTGAAATAAGGGGAAGCTAGGGAGGGAAAAGCAATGATGCAACAAAGCGGCGATTGGAACCATGTGCTACATGGAATGGATTAAACGTGCATCCCTTGGAAGCGGTGGTAGCTATCAAATGAAATGACCGCGCTTCACTCCTATAATCATTGTGTAATTCTATCACATCTTAGGATTCCATTTCTCTCTTTCTTTCCCTCTTTCTTCTTTTTTTCACTCGTTCCCGTCGTTCAATCCTTTATCTCTATTTTGCAGAACCATGCAGTTTAAATCGCTCTTGTTGTCGGCTGTTGTCGTCCTCGCCCTTGCTCAAACTACTCTTGCCAACATCTATTCTCAGTTGCAGTTCATGAAGATTGAATCGCCCAAGGATAACCAAGATGTTCGTGCTGGCGAGGATTTGACCATTACCTACGTGATGCAACCTTTGATTGATGGTATGAATAATGACAAGCATACAATTCTTTGTATATCTAACTTTGATTGTCTTTGATATAGAGCAAACTTCTCCTGGCAAGGCTTTGGGTCTGGATATCAATTTTCATCGTAGAACCGGTGACCAAAAGCAACAGCAACTCAGCTACATCCACAAGTCTTGGTAAATCTTATGCACTCTTAGTAGAATCACGATGACTTATTTGAAATGTCAATAGCCCTGTCACTGCAAAGAATGATGTGTATGTCAAGTATTCCAAGACCTGGACCGTTCCCGAAGATACCACGCCTGGCTCATATGCTATTGACTTTGTTGAGCAAGTGCAATTCCGCCGCACTCAAATCACCTCCACTGAAACCGTCAAGATCAACGTTGTCGACTAGAGAGCTTCCACACCAACGCCATCCATACACTTTTCTTTAACCCCACACCTTCTTCCTCCTTATCCAATGTTGTACTTGTATATCAATTATCTGCAAATACACGCACCGTCATCACTCACACTCACACTCACTCACAGCCATCCATCATACAAAGCGCACATGGAATGGGGGCTATCAAAGAGAAACGCGTCTGCAAATGTATATTCCAACTAACAACGTCTACTCAAACTAGCAGCAACAACAACTCCAACGAATGAACACAAGTAAGAGCAGCTAGCAAGTTGACCTATGGAGCCTTGTATTTTACTGGTTCTTGTTGGCTTCCAGTCTCGCGTAGTAAGCGTCACGACGTCGAACCATTGGCAAATGGTAGAGATGCCACCAACATGCACCAGCGACACCACCCAGCGTCAAGGCAATGGAGAGATCTTTGGCGAATTGCTTGCGAAATTTACCAGTGATGGGAGCAATCATGGTTGAAACAACAGAGAGAGAGAGGGAGAGAAAGGAAAAGAAAGTGTCGTATGATTTTCTTGCAATCGGTTCTTTTTCAATGCAGCGGCTACCAATTGGATAAACGACACCCAGCTGCTTGGATGTTACCATGGCGACCTGGCATGCATGTAAGGTGACTTTGGATTCGTCCTCAGCTTGGATGAGCAATGTCTACAGGCTATGGCTGGCATCATGGTCATCATCAACAAAGAGTGATACTCAACATAATGATACGTATAGCATCATGTAATCATGTAAGGTGTGCGTATGTGGCATATCGAAATGACGTGTAAGTGTAAGAAGGAGGGGAGGAGAAAAAGAAAAGAGGATCGTGTATACTTATAATGTCACTTTTGTTTTGTTATCGACAATAGATCAGCTACATCATAAAGGGTGGTGACAAAAAAGACAAACGGCCACGATTCAAGTGCAACAGTACCCGCTCCGCAAGCCAATCCATCATGATGCATGGTTTTCTTTTTGTTGCCGGATGGTTACACGCAACGGTTAGTGCCATGCTGGATGCGGTGGCAACACCTAACGTTACCAAAGTTGGCGGAGAAAATTATGGATCAATGGATATGGTATGTATTGATGGTGATGGTGATGAGTGTGTGTGTTTGTGTTTGTGGAAATGATATTGATGATGATGCCATCGTCTCCTATAAAGGATTGATGTGTGTATGTAGATCACTTTGTTCGTGGCATATGTAGATCCACTGATAGCACGTATCATCATGAGTTTAAAAACCCCATACATGTGTCTATGCTCACTAGTGAGAGAGAATAAAGCTGTGGAACTTGACCAAGCCGAGCCGCATTTTGCGCGAAAGGGCAACTCATTTAATGAACCTCTCTATTTTTATTCATCCGTATGCTTATCCCCAAGGTACGGACTTTTTAAATGTGTGCGAGCAGCAGCTACTACTACAATCACACGACGATGAGCCAGCCAGCAAAAGAGAGCCCCGATCTGGTTTGAGTGGGTATTGACTCAGTCAATTGAGGAGGTAAGAAACAGGAACGGGTATATGATCGTGTCTTTTCCCTTTTACTCTTTTTCCCTTTTACGCCACTCTTTTCACCTTGTTGGGTTCACCACCACTCCCATCAACGATCCCCTTCCATTCCATTTATCTATTTCCTATCAACAACCCCCCTTTCCTTTCTTTATTATCCACCACCACTCGTCAACCCGATGCTATTATCCATATGGATCCTATTCATGGCCACCACATCGTGGTACGTTGCGCTGGCGCAAAATGTTGACGACACAGGGTTCAAACAAAATGACAACACGGCCGAACCTGAACAAGAGAGCTGGCTAAAGAAGAACGACCGCTACATTTTTATTATTGTAATCGGCTTACTCATTGTGGGCTTGCTCATTTGGTACATTGTCAGAAGCGTCAAGGGTATGCGCAAACGGCTTGCTCTTGAAAACGAAAAGCAAATGTACATGCTTGAGCAAGCTACTGCAGCCAATCCATATCAGCAACCACCTTCCACCATGCCCTTACAACAGCATGGATACCAAAAGTTCGATACTGTGCCTCACCATACGCATCGATACTAAATCTACAACAACATCTTCCTTTCTTTTTACTACTATTCCTGACGACAACAACAACAACGTATATAACAACATACACAGCGCGTTGACACGCACACATAACTCATTTTCAATAGCGTGCACTGCCTGTGTGTCTCGTTTTTCCTTTTGTCTAGTTCTTTTTCTCTCTCTATCATCATGTATAATGGCCCTTATATTTGTATTACATATCAATTTGTTTTGTTCTGGACACACAGCTCTATCTTTTTTACTCAGTACATGTGACTAGGATTGATCTTTAATGCTATGATGAATGCGTTGATTGATGATAAGGATACGTATCGTGTGTGTGTGTGTGGGGGGATAGTGAGGATCTCATCACTATACAATAGAGTAGTGGTGGTGTGGGAGGAGAAACATTTTACCGTTCTTCATAGCTGGCACGCACACGGCACGCACACGCTAATGGGGGGGGAGAGAGAGAGAGATGGATGGATGGTTGCGACGTCATGAATTTTCGTCTCCGGGCAGGGCCCAAGTTTGTAGTATTGCTCAACTCTTCACTCCACATTCCCTACTCGATCATGAGCGTCCTCACCAGCGTTTCCGGTTTTGCAGCATTCGGTGTTCTTGTTCGCACTTACGCTCTCGGTCTGCAAAGACGTCCTCTCTTGTCCAGTATGTTGAACAACAACAAAAAAGAAAACACAACCACACCATCATTAGACGCGATCTATTAACTCAACCCCCCATGCGATTGTATCTATATAGACCCAAGCTCACATTTGGCTGCTGCCGTTGTCTTTGGTGGTGTCGGCTACTTTATGAACGGTGTCCTTGAACGTCAAAACGCCTTAATTGAAGGAAAGAAGGATATCTTGCTCCAACACCGTGCACGAGCTGAGGAAATCGCTGCTAAGCAACAAGCTGCCCAATAAACACAAGACATACACTTTGCTTTTCCTTGTTTACGTCAATATGAAATAGACTTTGTAGAAAGTGGATTGCACATCAATGAGTGTGGATGATGATGATGATGGAGAAGGAATAAAGGGCGGTTGATACGTGTTTGTAAATAAGACAAGAGCTGCTTTATCATGAGGATACCCTGTTTGCAAAGAGATAATAGTGGGGGGGAGAGGTTTAAGGTGTCCATACGTCTACAAATAAGGAGGATGGCACATTGCTGTTGTGAGTGATATGGTCGCTGCTGCTCTGGAAGGTGCGAGATAGGATGGTTGCTTTGTCGTCGTTCCTCAGCACATAGCGGACTACTTGTTATTGGCTGAAAAGTTTTTAACACGGAGCCTAAATTGGCTAACAATTATAAAAAGGGCCACAAAACAATACTCTTTTCTTTACACTTCTCTCACTGCAAGTCTTTAGAACGCGAGGGGATTTTCCGCAGCCTTATGGCGTAGGGAAGCCTCATAACATTATTTGCGTGACTAAACCTTTGCAGTCAGATGGACGGATCGTACAAGGCCAACTGGAGGTGTCCTTGAGCTTCCTTCGGGTCGTTCGGATGCTGAAGGTTGGAGTCACCTTGTATCGACCCACTCGGTAAATTCCTCTGCTCCCCGTAGTGGCTCTGCCACCAGGACGGTTATAGCAACAACCTTACCGTGGCCATTCATCCTTTTTACAAACCTAAAGAAAATGATAAATACAAAGTGCTCATTGCCATCTTGAAAGAATGTTCTCGCATGATTGATGATGCATTGTTGTTTCGACAACACTGATCTCGATCACGAGGGTAAAGCATTCCTGTTTCTTTCTGTAATGGCGGCTTGCTTTTCTAACATGACTGAAAGGGATTATTATCATGGTGGCTTACTTTTGATCATAGTTTTATTTCTTGGTTGGCAATGTATGTAATGGGCACAAGTTACTTTCAATGAGACCACAACCATATCCTTTGAATTCAATCCCTGTATGGAGCCCGTTATATACAACCATGCGGGTTGTGCCACCTGATCCAATTTGCACATGCACCGAAAAGATTGTGAATACACCAAGCAAGATGACTAGCTCTTACTTTAACGAAAGAGGCGACAACAATGACAACCAAAGATAACAATGAAAGGTTGAAGATCATCACCCATATGAGTAAATGGACACCATGGGGGACAAAGAGCCATAGTGTGATTGAATGTCTATGCATAAATTAGGATGGCAATAACTATCATCGTCAAACAACGCCATCCATAGGCTATCACGAACCGTACGAAATAACACGTTGTTCGAGAATGTTTGTATGAGTATTATTCAAAGAGCAGCGTCGATGGCACCTTCATCTCTAAGCATAGTGCACAAGCGTAAATGTTCCCGGCACACCACAACCTCGGCATGGGTGTGATAAAACGACAAGTTGGCAGAGCCCAATTTTCCAACTTTTTCTTTCAGCTTCCGATGACGGCTCCCATTAAACACCATCAAATTTTTTTTTCTATTTCACCGCATTGATCATTTTCTTTTGGAACAAGTTAAACAAGTATATATGCTCATCTGTGAACAGGACATTCATGGATGAAGAATCATGAACCGTTGTCTTGAGAGCACATAGGTTGTCTTCGAAGGTCAGAGTGACCGGGAGAAGTAAGGTAGACTACCCCAGTTAAAGTTCTTCGGTAAAAGAGAAGCAAACGAGTAAACAAGGACCAAGCCTTTATATAGACGCTGCAGGCGGGGTTACAACATCATCATTCTCGCGCCGAGTGTTACACGCCACACATAGCCATCCTTCATCAATGGATGATTGCATATTGTTATTGCCATCCAACGTTTTCTCATATACACGCCACTCGACCATGGTTGATTGTGTCATCAAATCCAAATCCAAATCCATTATGACATGCAAGAACGTTGAAAATTGGGTGTTGACTAGACTTTATTATCTCACTTGTTGACTCATTTCTTTTAACATCAAGTGTTATTATCTTCATCCTCACCATTCGTTGCCTCATCATCAATTCTCAAAGCTGTTATCCCTTTTCGCTCTTCTAGTCGAAGTAGAATTAAAAGTGGAGACGATTGAGCGGATGGATGCATGTGGCTCACGATGGAAAGGTATGTGCATGATGATGACAGCGGTAGATGGGTGCTGATAATGGATGATGATTGTTGCTACCATGGAAGAGGATGCCGGTCTCGTAGATATGGCATGATGCAAGATGACAAAAGTTGACAATAGACACAGCACCAAGAACAGTTGCCTAGCAACCTCCCCTCTCAAATCCTCAAGTGATACAATTCCTTCCATTCAACGTACCAAACCAATATCCAATCCATATCCATATGAAGTCGTATGTATTGAAGCACATTGCTACACGTAAATAAAACTGCTTCTATATGATGGCTATCTGCTGTTCACGTGAAAATGCCGTAAGACGAGTTGCTGCAAGTAACTTGAGACAATTGAGTAAAAGCCCTGCTAATGGCGACTGCCGTAACGAATGCTGTTACGTTTGATTATGGTAGAGGGGTGTACAAGAGAAGAAGTAGTGTGGCAAAGAAACGCGAGTGCTGAAGTGGGCTGTACACGCCATGAAGCTGCCATTTAGTCGAAGGCTTTCGGATCAAAGCAATTGTAGGCTCAACATGATGGGCTGAAGCAGGACACTCGTTCGCAGGTGGTAGTTGTATACTTGAATGGGGCAACAGATGAGACTGGGAGGAAGAGACAGTACTCTGGTGGTGGAATGAGTGCGGGATTTAATTGAATTTGAGCGCCTCGAAGGTAAAGCTGCCATGAGCATTGTTCCCATTACAGAGGTAGTCTCTTATTGTAAATAGGGATACCGAAGGGTGTCTTATGTAATGGCGTATAGATTTCAATGTCATTATTGTAAGATTCTCGTACGTAAGCATTGGTCCAAAGGCTAAGGGATGACCTATTGGACGAGAACCCTTCGAGCGAAGCGAGCACTTGAGGCCGCTACATACTGATTTTCTTAACGAATTCGGCAGTATTCTTTTATCCTCACAGGAACTGACAATGTTCTTGCTCTTGTCATATAAAAGATAGAGTAGATTTGAAACTTGTTCTCGAAATCCGATGTGATGTTGAGAAACCGAGCAAAGCGGCTTACGCCAAGCGATGAGCTGGGTGATGATAAGATGTGGCGTGGGGCTCAATCCAAGTCAAACCTGGTATAACTTGGCCACATAACCCATATGTCATATGATATCAGAGCGTGTTGGCGATCTGTCAATTGTGCACTTTTGAGCTATAAATAAAATTTGGCGGCATGAATAATGATCCAAAGTCTGGACTCCCTTGTTCGCTGTATCCTTGGCATGTAGTTTCGTCAATGCAGACACATCACACGGCTAAACTCCATACGACGAAACTTGTAGTAGAATGAAGAAGAACGTCTAGAATCTCACGTTCCTTACAAGGCACAACAGCTACATTTGGCTGTAAAGCTTTTTGGATCCTATAAGATAATTTGGGTGTATGAAGCATTCCTTGCCATGATGCACATAAAAAAGGCATGACAATGGCGTATTGTACGGTGGGATGGGCTACATACGGATGGAATTGTGACCCAAAGTTTTTTCCATGCATGACGGCATCGTGTTGACTTGGCATGGGTTAACTATCGGTAAACTTGGGCCCCATCTGTTTCAAACAAGCAAATGATTGGCCGGCATTGCAAAGAACAGGTGCAATGGCGATGGATGGTTCTGCCACGTTGACAAAAATAGGCTAGGGTTGATGTTGCCCCTCGACGCTGCACAACTATTTAAATCACCACCGGGCCAACAATTGTATCCTCCTTATTCCTCACTTTATTAACAACCATGGATCTGCAGTGGTGTATTGTATGCGATGTTCATGTTACCGATGATCAGGTAAATAATAATAGCACTGAGGGGTGTGGTTGATAAACTTGCAGAACGAGCATCTCACTCCCTACACAGCTTTATTGCTCAGAGCAATGTCGCCTTAAGGACGCACCATCCATAATGCGACAACAGCCATCCTCGCCTCCCATATCACCCAAAACGATGGCTGCCGATAATAATAACATTACCATCGCCCATAACGATGACGATGATATACAACTACCACCTCTTTCACCCACATCCACGTGCATTGACGGTCTCCTACCATCGCCACCTAATACCCCAGTTACCACCATCCAATATCTCACTACCTCGTGATCATGTCATGGTGCGTATTATACGATCCATTATTCACTCTACAACTGGTGTTTGGAGTACGGCATACATACATAGGCAAGATTGCCCGAATGCGTCACAACACCGTAATCATGTTCTGCTCTTTTTTGTTGTTTCTACCTTAATTGTAGTATTGTTCTATATTATTACTAGCACAATTTTCCTCCATTCAAAACACACAGAATATGGTATATCATCATGATGACTGTATGCACGTTCTATTACAGGAAAAAAAAGAAAGGGATCATAATAAAGGATTTCTATGCAACAACGTGTGGATTGAAGGGCTCTAATTTGATCAAAGAAAGGTGTAGGTGCTATTTCATTGGCTGAGGATGGGATTGTTTCTATTTGCAGCATGAAGGAGAGAGCAATTGTTGTTTTCGGCATCTTCTGGTTGCTGGACATACTTGAAGGTGCCATTCATGTCTGTCGCGTGAGCCAAATCCAACATCACATTGCATGCAGTAAAACCATTGGCGGGCGTCCTCAAGCTGGTGATATTGTCGAGAATGGCGATTGGATGAGATATGGCCAAATCGTTGCGAAAGAAGGACAAGGAGACCAGAGTTGTTGAACATAATGTTTGATTGATGAAATGTGTGTGTGTGTGCGTGTGAAGATAATATGAGGCGTGTATGTGTGTGGATGTGTATGTGTGCTGTTCTAAAGGAATGGAAGGGGTGATGGGGGAAATTGATTCCGTGTGTGTGTGTTTGTAAAGAATAAAAGAAACGAGGAACGAAGATGTGAATGAGGAAAAAATGTATGTGTATGTGTGTATCTTGCTCGGTTCTTTTATATTCATCAGCAATGCAACTACTACTACAATGGGTCAAGAATAGCGGCACATTTTCTAATGTTTACTCCTGGCTCCCTTGTTGCCATCCATGCAGCAACCCATTATCTCTCTCTCTCGTGTATCCCAACATCAACTTTGCTTTTGTGTTGCCTGATTTGATTGCTGATCGGCTGGTGCTCATTTTGCTGTTAATTGGCTCACAAAGGGGGTGGGGGAGATATAATAAGCACAACAACGTGCGTGGGTTGATTATGAGCCAAGCAGTCAAGTTGATTTATGCAAAAAGAAAGAAATACATTGTTATACATGATATGTTTTTATTGTCCTCAGATAAAGAACCCTAAATTCTTGGCCCCATTTTAGGCCTTGGTCTCACCCTCAGTCTTGTTTTCTTCCTCCTTCTTCTCTTCTTGGATTTCAGCCTTATCGAAGCTCTCGACCAAATCAGGGATCTCATCATCATCATCACCCTCAGCGGCGGCACCAGCACCACCTTGAGCAGCAGTGTAAGCCTCAGCAAGCTTGCGCAAGCTGGCCAAAGAGTCAGGACCCAATTGGCTCAAAATACCAGGAACTAGAATCAATCAATCAACCAACACCCCCTTTCCCTATTAGCATGAATGGTCTTGATTCTTCCCTCTCTCTCTCTCTCCCATATCACAATGACACTTACCCAACTCGGTCAACTCCTTCTCAACAGAGCGGCCATGGATGGCAAAAGTGTTAGAGTTAACAGCAGCTTGGACTATATATAACAACGGTTGTCAGGATACTGTGGGGTGTGCGTAGTTTCCATAGCAACGATACATACCACGGGGAGCACCAAAGTGGATAACCTTGCCATCCTCCTTGAACATGTTGACTTCCTCAATGCCACCAAGGGGTTGAACACCAAGCTTTTGAAGAGCACTTTGGAGCTTGCGGTCATCAGCACCAGCAGAGGACTTGGTGGTCTTCTTCATCTTACGACGGGGAGTACCTGAAAATCATGATCCATATCAGCACCATCATCACTTTTCTTTTGTATCCATATCTTTGTTTATGTATATAAAAAACCTACCCTTGCCACCAATACGGACCTGAGCTTGGAGCTTGGAAAGCTTATCGTTGTTGTTCATTCTGCTGTTGGTAATGCGGATAAAAAGCGACATGCGACGCGTATGTGAGTCAAGTTGTTTGAATGCAATGCAGACGCCATTGGTGATAGTGCGATGGAGTGCATGTGCTGCAGAGTAAGAAATGGACGTGTTGACTGACACACACCTGTTGTTTCTTGTAGCAAAGTGCAGGAAGAAAGAGAGGGTCTCTTACTGAAAGCTGTAAAAATTTTGTATGTAGCGCTCTGATTGGCGGGTGATTCGTGGTGAAAGCTATGTCATCTTGTCAAGCAGCACCCGATAGCTTATGCATTGCTGCATTAAATAAATGGTTTGGGAGACAAGGAATTGATGCAAGTAACGATGATGGTGAAATAGCTTGTTTTCCTCATTTGTGGTGTGTGTATGTTAATGTCTTGCCCAACATCCATTTCATTGTTTATGATGCCAAATGAGTGGGATGTAGTACCGCTTATATATCAATTTTGGGGGAGGTCGCTTTGCAATCAAAGAATGGGGAAGATGATTAAGAACAGCAAGAATACCAAGAGGTGTATTAACATGTCCCATCCACCAACATTGGTTATTCCACCTCAAAATAGCAAAAGCAGCTGATCTTACCGTGTGCTCTACCACACGATCATTCCAAGGTTGATAGAGTGAGTACATAGCAGTGATAAGGAAGGGGGGATATCCATAGCAAGGGTAAATGTGAATAAGCCCCCCTTCCCCTCTCACTGGGTGATGATGAATCGGCACGCATACAAGGGTCTGCAATTCGCTCACATGCCGCGTTTGATTTGTCCTCTTTCTCTCACTTTATGCATAATTCAAATTTTGTATGAGCGATCATAGCAATAAGAACCACTTCCCTCTTTATCTTACTTGATACTTTTACCAACTACATTTACACCACCATAATCAACAACAGGCTCTTTTCTTTTACAAGGTCAAAAGTAGAGTCATCGTCATCAAACATGTTCAATGCACCACCAGCTCATCATCAGGAACACTACAGCAACCATCCGCTGATCACAAGTTCACAACGACAACATCGTCATTATCATGATTCATTGCCCTTGGATATCATCTTGTACATTTTCTCATTCATGCGACTAATTGACCTGTGTCGTCTTCTTCAACAAGCCAACAACCCCAACAATAATAATAATGATGACAACAGCGTTTCGGATTGTTGCAGCTATGCGGTTTTATCACGTGCAAAAGCAGAGCGATGGCAATTAGCTGTTTATACACCAGCAAGTTACATGGTAGCATTATGCCAAGGTGATCCTGAAGGTAGGCTTGCGCTCGCACGGTTGTCGTGTGCAGGCTTTGATGCAAAAGAGGGTGTGCTACGCTTTGAAACCACAAGCTCGGAACCCGTGCTGCTGCATGACCTGCCGTCTTGCGTCAAATTAGTATGTACACAGTGGCCATGTCGTCCCGCGGAAGATTGTGCTACCATCAACCTACCGCTTTGTAGTAGCAACGGCAACAGCAGCAGCAACCAAGATCTGGTGGTGTGTCATCAAGCAACCAATCTCTCATCGGATGCCAAACTCAGCTGCCGTATGATGACAGCCACAGATCACCATGATGATGATGATGGGGTCGTATGTCATGCGTGCAACCATCATGCACGACACCATCATCAGACAACAAAAATGCACAAGGTGTGGTTTGATAAAGCTCTTGTTACATTTCAATGGTTGCAACAAGGGCTTTTACAAGGTTTATAGTGATTGAAAGGAGCAAGCTAAATAAATGGGTGATTTACATGCGAAGGCTCGTGAAGGATCAGTGCATAGTTGTTGAAGACCACATGTCAATCATGGATGGAGTTTTAATTGAACCACTGGTAACGCATCTTATTTGTCAGAGTCATACCATGTCGACTTGTATAAACCACTTGTGCCAACCATCCATCGCTGGTCCAGGTGCATCATTCCTCGAATCATCCCATCAGCATCCTCGTGGGAAGAACATAAACTCTTTTTACATCCCTTGATCTCCCGCATTGGAAAAGATATAAAAGCACATCTCCATTGTCGTCACGTTTATCTCTTTCATCATTAACATCCTTTTATTCATCATCCATTCTTCTTGTACAATCCATCATCATGCCTGTCGTCGAGGAACAACAACAACAACAGATCCATCACACCGCAAATGGCAAGACCCACCATAAGCCTCGCCATCACATTGCCATTTCGCCATACTATAATCAAGGTAAATAATGGTGATGGTGATGCAATATCAAGTCATCTCAACCTGATCCCTCTATCTCACTCACACATGCACGGGACTACATTTAGGCACAGCCCTTGACACCGAATCACGTCTTCATCTTGGCCTGCGTGGCTATGTTCCTGTGGCTGTTGAAGACCTTGAGATGCAAAAGACACGTGCTCTACGATACTTGAGATCAAAAACTACTTCCCTTGACAAGTACATCTTTATGGCACAACTACGTAATACCAACATTCGTTTGTTCTACAAGCTTGTTTGTGATGAGCTCAAGGTATGTAGATTATTACGACAATGGATACGTTATTTACCCAGGGCACTAACACTGCGTCTAGGAAATCGCCCCAATCATTTACACTCCCACTGTGGGTGAGGCATGCGTTGAATACTCCAACATTTACCCCTTCCTTGGACCACCTGGTAAGTGAAAAGCAACATGTTCAATGCCGTAATCTCATCATCTTTTTATCTCAAGGTGCTGCTGATGGCTTGTATATCACAATCCATGACTTGCCCCATATCAAGGAAATCCTCCACAACTATCGACGTGCTGCAGATGGCACCGTATCTTCCCCTGATATTACAGTGATTACGGATGGTTCCCGAATCCTTGGTCTTGGTGATTTGGGTATGGGTGGCATTGGTATTCCCATTGGCAAGTTGCAATTGTATAGTGGTGCAGCAGGTATTGATCCTCGCAAGACGCTGCCCATCATTCTCGACTTTGGTACCAATACGGAACGGTATCTCAATGACCCATTGTATCTTGGTCTCAAGCAAAAACGCCCTAACGATGACGAGGTATGTATGCGACAAAAGGTGGATGATAGTAGATTCATGCTGACACGCATAATAATGCTATGTGTATAGTTTTATGCTGCCATGGATCAAGTGATGCAAGGCTTGTATGAAGTTTTCCCTGACATTCTTGTGCAATTTGAGGATTTTTCATCCGAACACGTATGGAACAAGAGATAACGGCATATACGCATGGACTTGATGAGCTGATTGCATGTGTATTGATAGGCTTTTGGGCTGTTGGAAAAATACCAGGACAAGACTTTTTGTTTCAACGATGACATCCAAGGCACTGGATCGGTGATTCTTGCTGGTTTTATGAATGCAGTGCGTGTGGCTCAAGAAAAGATCGGTGTCCAACCCGGTGATCATCGCATTGTATTCTTCGGCGCTGGTTCATCTGCCATTGGTGTTGCCAAACAAATCCTCACTTACTTTATGCGTGAGCATGGCTTTACCGAGGAACAAGCGAAAAAGATCTTTTACTTGGTTGACAGCAAAGGCCTCGTTACCCTTGATCGTGGTGACAAGCTTGCTCAACACAAGGTGTATTTTGCACGATCCGATAATAACCAAGCCCAATTCAAGACGCTATGTGATGTAATTGACTATGCCAAACCCACAGCGTAAGTTGATTTTGTTTATTTGTGTATGTACAACAACTATGTCAAGTAGGCTGATGATGTGCATGTAATTTAGTCTGATCGGCTTATCGGCCCAACCCCAAACATTTACAAAGGAGGCAATTGAGAAAATGGCTACCCTGAACAAGTTGCCTATTGTGTTTCCATTGTCGAATCCCATGACCAATGCCGAGTGCACGTTTCAACAAGCCATGGAGTATACCAACAATCAAGTATTGTTTGCATCAGGCACAGCATTCCCTCCTGTGACGCTTCCATCGGGTGAACTCAAGCATGCAGGACAAGGCAACAACATGTATATTTTCCCGGGACTTGGCTTGGGCGCCATTATTGCAAAGGCACGCCACGTTTCTGATAGCATGGTCTATGAAGCTGCCAAGGGTTTGGCGGCGTCCCTTGAACCCGAGGAAATTGCCCAAGGCGATCTTTACCCGGCATTAAACCGCATTCGTCCTGTATCCGCATTGGTGGCAGCTGCTGTTTGTCGTCAAGCTGTCAGTGAAGGTCTTGCACAACAACACGATCTAGTCCACATTGTCCAACATGGCACCCAAGACGAGCTCATGGCGTTTGTAGAAAAGCACATGTGGGATCCCAACCATCACGGTCATTTCAGCTTGCCTCCTCACTAAAAAAAGGGGGGCATTCCACTTGTTTTCTGATCAGTCGGTTTTCCCCATTCGTCTCTTCAGCACTCTTTGAACATAATAGCATATCTCTTATCGTACGTATCCTCCTTTTCTTCTATCACATTCGCAACCCCCCTTTCATCCGATTCAAGCCGCCTCTTTTTCTATTTTCATCCATGGGTCACTTTGCCCTCCCCCCCTAAAAATGATACACACACATACCGAATTGCATTTGTCTTTGTACTCAAAATACGCACGCAACACTCACCCATACACACATACACACACGCTCCCATTCAAAAATGCATATTGTATTCTATTCACATCGAGAGAACGCCTTTTGCGTGCAATTTCAAAGTAAACAAGGAAGCTTATTTGCCGTCTATCAACCGAACAAAGATGTTATATAAGGTTTGGGTGGTATCAACCTTGGGTGAATTGGTCTGTGTGCTTTTTTGATTACTTTTTGATCGACCAAGAACAACAACACTATGCAATTGTCATTCAAGCTTAGCTTGTATCTCCTCTTTTTGATTGGTCTTATTACTACCAAGGTGATGGCTGGTGGTTCCTGGGACGATGATGATGATGATGACGATGATGATTACGATGATGATGACTATGATGATTGGAACAAGATGCCTGATGCAGGTAAAGGTGGATTCCCCCCTACCTCCTCTGTCGGTAGCATGCATCCACCCAATGGCCCTGGTGCACAGCCCGTGCCCACTTATCCACCTGGTGGATATTATCCCCCACCTTCGGATGGTGTTGGCTCTACAACTACAGTGACATTCACCCAACTCATCACTGAAACTGTCACCACCACAACTCATCCATCGGCTTCGAATACCGATACAACGAATCCTGACAATAATGACACCTCGGGAAGTTCATCCATGTAAGTTTTATGATGATGATCTTCTTCATCTCCTCCTCCTACTACTATTGCCCCCCCAAGCCCTTTTAGTGGCTCCCAATGATCCTTTGCCTCCGTGATCTTTTCTTTTGCTGATCCATCATCATCACCCTATTCTATACACACACACACACACACACACACACGTTTAGGTTCCATGTTGGTGCCGCCCAATGGATTAGCACTACCGGTGTCTTGGTGGCCGCTGCTTTCTTTTCCACTCAGCTCATCTAATTCATGCAACATGAAATCTACTTTGATGATCCATATACATTACCAGCTATATAATAAATACAGCAGTGCAGTAGCAGCAGCAACAACAAAAAAAGTCATGCTTGCTTATTATAACAATCACCAATCGATGTTGAATACGTGGGATGTACCTATGATGTAGATGCTTATACACAAACCTGAGGAGGAAGAAGAGGATGAGGAGGCATCTCTCTCTCCATCATCATCTACTACATGTAGGGTGTTGTTGATTGTGCTTCTCATTTGATGTGCATAAAGCGTGGTGGTGTCGTGTAAGTAGCATGATGCAAGGGATGGTGTATTACCTATACTACAAAGCAGTAAGAGAGCGAGTGTTATTAAAGAAGCGTGCTATTATGCATGATGCAGCGCGTCATGGTGATGTTGTTGGTGGTGGGTGATACTTTTTGCATTCACTTTTCCGCGTCGTCATCATTTGTCGTTTCCACTGTACTTGCCTTTCACAATCCCTTGCTTTTTTGTTCCCCTTCCCCACCCCACCCTCACACCTCCACAAACACAAACACACACAAGCACCCTTGACTTCGGTCGACTCACCCGATATATAATCCATCCGTGCTGGTTGTCTCTTGAATCTCGCTTCCGAAGGGGGGCTCTCTCATTGTTCTGTTTTATTCAAGTACGAGCGTTTGAAGGAGGAAAAGGGCATCCTATAATATGATGATGATGGAGGCCAAGCGAGTTTTCTCCTAGTAATACCCATATAGATGATGAGAAGGGAACCATAATCAGAATGCCTTATCTATGGTCATCCTCGTTCTTATTTTTTTTCGCTTTCTATACAAAGGTGGTCTCCTAAGTGATTAGAGTCTTCTCCACAATCGCAAAAGAGTAAAGAGAAATCTTTCCCTACGTACATAATAGACCAACCTCCTCATATTCTACGTATGTACAATGGTCTTATTGGTCTTGTCGATCGATCAATAATGTTGATTTCTGCTTTAAAGACTATCACCTCTCTCTTTCATAGAGAATGCATGACCGGTTCATTAACACCATGACGCCAATTGGAGATATGAAACCAAAGGCAGTATATAGTAATAGATCCAATACATATGAGACAATCTCTTGGATCAAAATATGGCCAATACCATTGGTCCAAAGACCAGAGAGGTCTATGAGGATGATAAAAATAAGGGATGTAGAGGAGGGTGTTCCAGGGAGTGGGGTTAAAAGAGAGCGAGATGATGCATGCTTCATGTGCATATTAGGTGGGGTGCATTTCATCTAAAACACGCGAGCGCGATACATGCTGTTGATAATCCATATCAGGAAACAACAATGCCGATGCTCATTGTGTGAGTGTAAGTGTGTGCATGTGTACGAGTGCCACTCCAAACCAAGAGTCCACAAGGAGAGCCTATCACACACTCTGCGATACGACTCGTTCACCAGCAACATGGAAGGAGGCTGAGGGTATTATTATGCTCTACGCCTAATGATCCATAATTGCTATGTTAGTGCGCGCTTATGATCAGGCTCGTGGTTCAATATTAATGGGAGGAAACACCTTTATTATTATGTATGGCATCATGTTGCATAGCAAACAGCTCAGGGTTTGCTTTAAATTTAGCGAATGGCTGCTGTTGCACCGTATGGTGTATGATGCTGCTGCTGCCGCTGCTGCAGGTGAGATGCGTGTTCTCTTCATAAAGCATACACGCTTTATCCCGGAGATAAGTGTATTATTACTTGCATAAATGCGGGATAGCCATGCTTTTTTTTCGTCCTGAGCATATCCTTCTTCCCACCAAAATGTCCTTGCTTTGCCCTTCTCTCTCTCCTATTTTACTCCAGATTATTCAGGTGGAGCAAGTGGTCAGAGATGGTGGGGGGTAGTATCCCAAACGGGGTAATAGGGCATAAGAGTGTATGTGTATTGCCCGATGTTGGATGTAAAAAGAACGAGTAAGCGATGACCGAGAACAAAAAAAGGGGGTAATGAATTGACTTTGCAATCCGCACAGACGATGAGTGGCTCCATTTGTCTGTGTGCAAGTATAAAAAGGACCACAACCATCATCACCCTCCCATACCATAACACAGACATTTCATCTGCATTCCCACTACAACAGCTACTAGATTCTTTACACATTCTTACACACACCCACACCTATATACAAAAGATGTTCTTTTCTACTTCCAACCGTGTCCACGTACTTGATGCACCTGCTGCTAACGACAAAAAGTGTATTGGTGGTGCACCTTGCCCTACACCCAGTATGTCGCATTCAGTATCCACCGTATTTCAAAACCGCAAGGCATCATTTCGACGTTCCATCACTCGCATGTTGCATCCAAAAAAGTCTACTCAAGTGGATGATTTGGATACACCTTGTTTATCCACCTCGACATCGATTTCATCAGTGCGTTCCAGCTTTTCATTCTCACGCAAATCATCTTCTCAACAACCATTGCCTGCTCCTCGTTCTTCGAAATCCATTGAGCTTGAGTCACTCATTGTGGAATACCCCTCTCGTACCGTTCGTGTCAGCTTGACCCCTATTTGCGCTGCATAAGGAAAACACGAGAAACCACCCATCATCATCAATAACTGCTTGTGCACACGCACACACACACACACGAATGGAAATGTGCTCACTCACTCACTCACCTAATATATACACCTCCTCTTCTTCTTCCCTCAAAGAAGAGAAGGTGTACGCCTATGTATATAGAACTACCCGATATATTGCCCTGATCAACGACATCCCTTTCAAACCTTCTTTATTCCCCCCAACCCCACCTTTGTTAGATATGACTGATAAAAAAGAGATATAAGATTATAGAGACCTAATTCCCTTCCTTTTCCTTACACCATCATGCTTTCACGTACATACTTATAGCCTTTATTAGAGAGATCGCTTGTACATGCTTTTTTACCCCAATCCCACTCACATCACGCCCTTTTTTGATTCTTCTTTTTTCATTCAATAAATACATCTATTTTATTGTTCATATGGAGGCATCATTGATTGAGGGTAAAAAGGCAGAAGGACTTAAAGTCGCATGCGATTGGTTAAATTCAAGTCACCATCGGGCGGCAGGAGAGGTGTGTGGTGTGTGGTGTGTGAGACACATTGCTTGTCCGATTCCATATCCCACTCAATTCACGCTTGTTCACTCTTTCTCTCTTGTCAGTCTCTGTTTTTTAACTTTTACGTTCTCACATTACCTCTCTTTTCTTCTCCACAATACAATGGACGACAACGAGGCCAACTATTATCAACATGAGGATCATGACGAAGAAGAAAACTCGTCAGAGGGCGAGGGAGTGACGACAGGCTTCAATCATGGCAACGCAGGTCGCGGTGGTGGCATTGGCAATTCGAGCGATGAGGATGACGACGACGAAGAAGAAGACGAAGACGAGGAAGAAGCACGTAAAGTACGTAGTAGTGAGATCAACCCCACCTTGAACGTTTTCTCATTGACCCATCTCTGGGGGTGGACGATCTTAGATTGCTGAAGGATTCATTGTCGATGACGACGAGGAACAAGAAGAAGATCAGGACTCGGATGGGTCACAGCGTGTGTCAATGCGTCGAAGAAAACGAAAAAAGATTCAAGAGTGTAAGTCAAGACATGCTTATACGTTGTTGGTAGAGAGAAGGCTGATTGTGCACATTTCATGGATAGACGACGAAGAACTCGATGAGGAAGATTTGGATCTCCTGGAAGAGAACACGGGCTTAAAGTTATCGAGGAGAGAGGTAAAAGTGATGATGAAAACAAGGGAGACAGAGTATGTGATCTGACAGGGATGATGCTTGTTTAGCCCAAATTGAAGCGTTTAAAACGTGGACGACAAATTGAACCTGAAGAAGAGATGCAAGAACCCTCAGTGGACAAGTTCTTTTCAGATGAGGAAGCTGAACCAGTGGGTGCAGCGGGTGCTGAAGAAGCTCCTATGGAAGAGGAGGATACCTATGCAACTCATGCTGCGTACCGACGACAAGCGGTTTACGATGATATCAATGATTTCATTGCCGATGAGGATGAAGAAGAGATGATGGAAGATGATGAACGTCAGCACGATTATATGCATGAGGCACCAACACGTCGCCGAGCTGCCAAGGAAATGATGGGCATTTTACCCGAAGGTCTCGATGAAGAGTAAGTTCAAATCATCATGCGGGATATCATATGGATGACTTACATATCCTTTATAGTGTGTTGGCGGATATGTATGATATTTTTGGCGATGGTACGGACTATGATTGGGCATTGTTTGAGGAAGAGGTAGGGTATCATCATCACATTAGGCCTCTGTGTGTGCATGCATAGACTGAATTTTTATTGTGTAGGGCGAAGAGTATACCGAGCAACCTGAACCCAAGTTGGCTGATGTCTTTGAACCAAGCGAATTGAAAGCGAAGATGCTTACTGAGGAGGATGATGAAGTGCGTTTACGAGATATTCCTGAGCGTATGCAAATTCGTTATGCTGGTATGCGCAAGAACTTTGATACAACGCCTTCCGATGAGGAGATTGAAGCTGAAGCATCCTGGGTGTTCCGTGAACTTGTGATGATCAAGCAACTTATTCAGCCTAGCGACAGCCTTCTTGAAGCTGTCAAATCCGTTATCGGTTTCATCACACGTGAATATCTTGAAGTGCCATTCATTGCCGATCATCGACGCGACTACTTTACCGAAATGGATCCTGTATCAGGCATCACGACCGAGTTGTTGACGAAGGATGACTTGTGGAAGATTTACGATTTGGATTTCAAATATCAGAGCTTCGCCAATCGAAAGAAAGCATTGCGGGAGATGATTTCACGATCCATGATCAATGACGACTATGTCAGCAAGCTTCTTGACAGCGCTGAACGTCTTGATGATCTTAATGATATTTCCGACTATGTCTATTACCACTTTGCTGAACAGATCAACAACTTCCAAAAGCAATCAAGAGGTCCCAAACGCCCTATGAACAAGTCGTTGTATGAGAAAAGTTTAAAGAGCAAGCTGGGTGATTTCCTTTCGGTAAATGGATGGAGGATGCATAGATGCAATATGGAATGACACCATTAACCCAATCTATGTGTATAGCGTTTCAGCATTCAATCCTGGCAGTATGGTGCCAACTACCTTGAGAATACCCGCCGGTACTTTCCTGAAGACGAGATTGCATCACCTGAAGAAGAAGCACAAAACTACACGAGCTCTTCAGGATTTTCTGATCCCTCCAGGGTGTTACGGGGTAAGGGGCATCAAACATATCGTTTTCTTTCTTTACGTTGTCATTGACATTGTTTGATATGGATTAGCTGCAAAACTTGTATTGGCCAGTGAGGTAGCTCATGATCCACAAACAAGAAAGGCGATGCGTCGTGATTTGGATACCAGAGCCGTTGTCAGTGTAAAGCCAACAGAACGTGGCTTCACCATTATTGATGAATTGCATCCCTTACATGTAAGTGCCGACCCATGGAGAAAAGATGCTGTCAGCGTTTTCTCATATAGATCCCCTTTTTTAGCCATTCAAATTCTTGCATGAGAAGCCTATTGGTAGCTTCCAAAATGGCGAGTTTCTTCAATTGTTACAAGCTGAATCAGATGGGTTCCTTACGATCAATGTGGGTGTGGCCAATTATCAAGGCTGGTTTGAGCAAATTGCCGAATTCTACATGTCGGATGGTTTCAGTGATTCAGTACAACAATGGAATCGGCACCGCCAAGATGTCATTCGAATGGCTGTGGATGATCATTTGCTTCCTCAAATGGAAAAGTACATCCGAGAAAAGTTGCGAATGGAATCACAAGAAACGATTTGTGAGGCATCCTATCAGACATTGATGAGCAAGGTGAATGTGGGTCCTTTCCGTGGTCGAGATTCTGATCGATACAAGAATGGTATCCCACGTGTGATTGCCGTGTCTTCTGGTAACGGTGACTACAAGGATCCCATCATGGCTGTGTGCTTGAATCATCGAGGACGAATGATCGACAAGATTGAGATTCCTACTTTCCGTGATGAAAAGAGCTGGAAACAATTGGTGGATTTTGTAAAGACGAAGCGTCCTAATGTTGTTGGTGTTGCTGGATTCAATGCTCAGGCTCATCACGTGCTCAAGCACATGCAACGGTTGATCAGTGAAGTCAATGGCACCCTCGAATCAGGCACGCCACCTATTGACCTAGTGGCTGTGGATGATGAGACCTCACGTTTGTACAAGAATTCAAAACGTGCGCATGATGAATATGGAGAATACGCTGAGGTGACACGTTACTGTATCAGCTTGGCACGTCGTCTCCAATGCCCTATCCTCGAATACACAAGTCTCGGCTCTGATTTACTTGCTCTTCATTTCCACAAGTTTGATAGCTTGGTGCCTGCTGAAGTTCGCCATCACTATCTTGAACGGGCCTTGATCAATGTTGTTAACGACATGGGTGTTGATATCAATGCAGCTGCTACCAATCCATACATTGCCAGTGCATTGCCACATGTATGTGGTTTAGGTCCAAGAAAGGCACAAAATATACTACGCAAGATTGAAGCTAGGGTAAGTTGAGTCAACCAATCAATGGATATGGAAATGGATGTATATATGACTTTGGTGTTTTTTATTCTAGGGCGAGCTTGAAAGCCGATCAGCACTTGTTACACGAGGAATGACACCCGCCATTACATTTATGAATTGTGCCAGCTATTTGCGGATACGAGATGTGGATGATGCTGATATTTTGGATGATACGCGAATTCACCCACAAGAATATGATCTTGCTCGTAAGATGGCAGGTGATGCGCTCGAGATTGATGAGGATGACATGGATGATTACGACACCAAGGTGGCCATTGTGCGACGTGTCGTCAAAGAATACCCCAAGAAATTGAATGACTTGATTCTCGACGATTATGCAACTGTATTGCGTGAGCAGTATCGTGCGCCAAAGCGACAAATCTTGGAACACATCAAACTTGAGTTACAAGGCCCTTATCATGATCGACGCAATCGATACACACGACCTACGTTGGAAGAGACCTTTACCATGGTTACGGGTGAGACCCCAGAGACGCTTCGAGAAGGATTCATTGTACCTGTCAAGATTCAGCAGTTACGTGGCAAGATGGCAATTTGTTTGTTATCCAATGGACTCGAAGGCATGCTGTATATCGACAATGTATCGGACACACGCGTGATGAGTGTTGGAGATGTATTGGAGCAAGGATCCACAGTGAATGCAAAGGTGCTTCATATTGACAAGGAGAAGTTTGTTGTGGATATGTCGTGCAAGGAATCGGATACTAGGCCGGATGGCGATTTAGAATTGCGTCGTGTACCCAATGATCAATACTATGACCTCACAGCCGAAGCCGCCGAAATTAACCGGAGGAATGCATTGCTCAAGAAAAAGACGCGTGTTCAACGTACGGTCAACCATCCTCTCTTCCGCCCCTTCAATTATTCGCAGGCTGAAGAATATCTTGCTGATCGTCAACGAGGTGATTTGGTGATCCGTCCATCCTCAAGAGGTGCTGATCACATTGCGATCACGTGGAAAGTGGATGACAACATGTATCAGCACATTGATGTGGTGGAGGTGCGCAAAGACAATTCGGCATTTGCCCCTGTGCAATACAAGGTGAATGATCAAATCTTTGACGATCTGGATCAGTTGATTGTCACCTATGTTGAAGCTATTGCAGCCAAGGCAGAGGAATTGATTGCTCATCCAAAATACCGATCAGGTGGCGTTCAAGCATTGCGTAAGTAGGAATAATGGTATCATTACAAATGGATGCTCATTGTATGGCATTTCTCTTCTTTTTTAGAATCCCATCTTTCAGCTCTTACTATGGCCAACCCACGAATGTCAGCATACGGCTTTTGCCTAAGCGACAAGCCTGGATACTTTGAACTCGGCTTCAAGTTAAATGCCAAATCACAACCAGCTCGTTGGATGGTGAAGCTTTTACCTGATGGATATCGATTGAGAGATACTTCTTATCCTGTGGTGAGCGATTTGATTAATGGATTCAAGCGAATTCAGTCAACCGAGGCACAAAAACGTCGACAGCGACAACAACAACAACAACATCAACATCATGCACCGCCACCTTCACACCACCATCACCACCATCATCATCATCATTCAGGTTACCGACGATAGATCATCAAACTAGCAGCTTCACTTTTTTTTTCTTCCATTCTGATTTCTATTTTCTTGACACACACACACACACTTCCGTTTAAAGTATACATAAAAGAGTTGATGCAATGTATAGCGTTCTTTTTATTCCATCCTATTGTGTGCGTGTGTGTGGTATTTAGATTTCTACACCGAGTTGGGGTACATAGCCAAGTTTCTGGAAATGGGCAATGGCCTTTTCTGCTTTGGCAGTGACAGCTTCTGAAGTGATGTTGAATTTCTTGTAGAGATCCTTGTAGGGTCCTGAAGCACCGAATCCTTTCATGCCAACATGAGCGTGTGCATACCTGTCCCAACCTCTCACGCCTAAAGCCTCAACAGAGACGATAGGTAAATTGGGAGGGAACACTTTTTGTTTGTAATCGTCGGGTTGTTCCTCATAAAGTTCAGTGCATGGCATGGATACAACACGAGCTGGAATACCCTTGGCAGCGAGTTCCTTTGCAGCCTCCACAGCAATACATACTTCGGATCCAGTACCCACCAAGACGACCTTGGCATCATTCGCATCTTGCAATACATAGGCACCTTTGGCAACTGCTTCTAGTGATGATCCTTCCAAATTGGGTACGGGTTGACGTGAAAGACAAAACACAGCAGGTCGATGACGATTCTTGAGTGCCATCGCCCATGTACCAGCCACTTCATTAGCATCACCAGGGCGGAAGGTAAGCATATTAGGAGTGGCACGTGTCAATGCCAATATCTCAATAGGCTGATGTGTAGGCCCATCTTCACCAAGACCAATCGAGTCATGCGTCATGATATAAATCACGCCCAAATGTGATAACGCTGCAAGGCGTACACTGCCCCAACCATAGGTCAAAAAGTTGAGGAACGTGGCACCAATAGGAATAATACCACCATAATGCGCCATGCCGTTCATGATAGCAAACATGCCTATACTAGCAGCGTTAATTACATGTACAAGCGTATCCTATGTATCAATCCCTTACCATGCTCACGTACACCATAGCGGAAATATTGGCCACCATATTCACCAAGGCCTGTAGATGGCTATTTTATACGTACAGCAATGTGAATCCATCGATCAATCCCATATTTTCTCCTCTCTTACTTACATGTTGGAAATCCACAGCCGTCTTCCATCGATTAAGCGTGGATGTTGAAAGATCAGCACAACCACTGGTAAAATCTGGAATAAGACCATTGGCAATCGCATTCAAGACCACTTCGGACGACTTGCGTGTGGCTAAGGCGGCATCATTGGGTGTAAAACGAGGCAAAGCGGACTCCCACCCTTCTGGTAACTCGCCAGCAAAACGACGACGAACCTCTGCAGCTTCCTTTGGATACGCTTGAGCATACTTTTCAAATAAAGCTGTCCATGCATTTTCATATTCTTGACCCTGTTTGGCACGTGCTGCATAAAGTTCGTACACCGAGGGAGGCACCTGATACTTTTCCTCAGGGTTCAATCCAAATTTCTTTTTGAGTTGTACCAAATCTTCGTCTATGACACAAGATGCATTAGCAAATGCCCCTCTTGTATCATCCATCCTATTGACTTTTATATACCTGTGAGAGGCGAACCATGAACCTTTTCATTGTTTTCAATCAATGACCCATAGCCTATTCACCATTTTGGTTAATGATACATCATCATAGGTTCACTAGTAGAAAAGAAAACTTACCAATTGTGGTCTTTATCTTGATAATGGTAGGCTTGTCGGTTACAGCCTGAGCCTCTTGAATCGCTTTGGCAATGGAGGGAAGGTCATGATTGCCATCTTGTACCTCAAGCACATGCCATCCATAGGCTTCAAAACGCTTTCCTACATCTTCTGTGAACGAGTTGCCAATGTTTCCATCAATGGTGATGTTGTTGGCATCATACAAGGCTATCAGTTTGCCGAGCTTCCAGTGTCTAAAGATGTATACAGTATACACGATCAATCTTTCACATCCCACATAATACATAGATTGTATTATTACTTACCCTGCCAATGAGACGGCCTCAGCGGCCACACCTTCTTGAAGACATCCATCACCAAGGATGGTGTAGGTGTAGTTATTAAAGATTGGGTAATCAGGGCGGTTGTAGTTGGCAGCCAAATGAGCTTCAGCAGCAGCAAGACCCACAGCATTGGAGATGCCTATACGTACGTACTTTGACGATGAGTGTACATCCTCCTCTTATATATGTGTGTACGTACCTTGACCAAGAGGACCTGTGGTGACTTCGATACCAGGTGTATCTGTGGCTTCAGGATGACCAGGTGTCCTGATACAATGATGATGATGATGATGATGATGATTGATGAGGCCATGTAATCAACAATGCAACGTTTGATGTGCTTTACTTACTTGCTCCCAACTTGTCTAAAATTCTTGAGATCCTGCATGGATACATCGTATCCCAGCAAATGCAAGAGGATGTATTGCAATGCACAACCATGGCCATTGGATAACACAAAGCGGTCTCGACCGATAAAATCAGGATTCTTTGGATTCACGTTCAAGAATTGAGTAAAGAGTACATGGGCCATGGGCGCACATCCCATAGGTGCACCTTAACAAGAGGTCAACAACTTGCTGTTGCAATTTGAATGAGTCCATCACCTACCTGGATGGCCCGAGTTTGCACCACGGGTCATATCACCAGCAAGCGCACGAATGGTATTGACAGCAAGCTCGTTCACGTCTTGGACCATAGCAATAGTAGTAGTAGAAAGAAGAAGAGTAGGAGGAGGAGGAAGCGATTGAAAAGAAGAGAGATAGGGACGTGCCTTTTTATTTGTTCTTTTTCGACGCAGGGCGAACAAGCTTTGTGTTTGATCCGGAAGCTTTGAGATTTTTCCCTTTGAGAAGAGAGTTACACGTTGTTCCCAGGCTGTGTGTGTGTGCGTGTGCGTGCGTGTTTGCAATCTCACGCCGATGATCCCGTATTTGGTTTTCTGTAAAGTAGAAAACTCACTCTACATGCAATTCTCACGTTATCCATGTCATCAACATGTGCTTTTGATTGGTTCCTCGTTAAAGAGAATGTCGTCCTGTTACGTATCAAGAATGGTTCCACATAAAAGATATGCAAATGCATCATGCAACTATTACTACCACTACGTGTGTGTGTGTGTGGTACAATCACCCAAACTCACGCATAAACAACGAAAACGATTATCATTGCTTGATTTTATCCCGAGGGGTCTTTGTATTATGCTCACGTGCAATGCTATCCTATCCACACTATGACCACGGATGGCTCATTTCAACAATGACATTGGGTCATGTTCAATTTTTTATTACATTAACAAGAGTCAATTATGTATCCTCTATACTAATGACGCGTTAAAATGTGTGTGTATATATATGGATGGGTGGAGAGGTGGTGGTGGTGGTGGGAGCTGGAAGCTGAGGGTTGAGGAGAGGAGGAGGTGGAGGAGGAGGGGGGGGTTGTGTTAGTTGATCTTCCGTCGCGCATTGGTCGTCATTCTCAAAAAGACCCTTTCTCTTTTTCCACAACACCCTTTTTGTTTGCTGCACAACCACGTACCGTCATAGAACAACAGCATGCAAGTTGACGTTAACAGCCCAGAAACACCTGTCGACTATATGGAAGAAGATACCGTTGACACCAATGACCAAGATGACTTGTATACCGTATCCACTCTTATCGACGACCTCAAGCACGACGACGTCCAATGCCGCATTAACGCCATAAGAAAACTTCCTGTCATTGCTACTGCTTTGGGTGAACAGCGTACACGAGACGAATTGTTGCCATTTCTACAAGGTATAGACTGTGTGTGTATGTGTGTGTGTGTGAAGAAAAGCAAGCAACATTGACCGCGTTTGCTATTAGAGTTACTGGACGATGAGGATGATGTCCTTGTTGTACTTGCCGATCAGCTATCGCAATTGGTGGATTCAGTGGGTGGCACTGACTATGCGCATTGTTTATTGACGCCTTTGGAGAACCTCTCTACTGTGGAAGAGCCATCCGTTCGAGAACATGTACGTGTATATATATGTATAGATAGGATCATGGATGGAGAGAGATTGAACGCATGCATTGTATAGGCTATCACCTCGCTTTGCCATTTGACGCAGCAATTTTCTCATCCTCAAGTGGAGCAACATGTCGTCCCCCTTCTCAATCGATTAAGCTTGGGTGAATGGTTTACAAGTCGATCCGCTGCCACTGGACTTTATGCAGCTGTCTACAAAAAAGTACCAACCACTGTACAACAGGAATTCAGAAAGTAAGTTTTGGAGATGAACAATGAAAAGATGACTCATCAGTAAACATGATACTTAGCAACTTTGCACAATTGGTTGGAGACCCAAGTCCCATGGTCAGGAGATCAGCTGCCAAATGTTTGGCTGTAAGTAATATATATACGAGTGAAGAAGAAGAAGGATCCATCATAGTAATCATTCTCTTTTTTTCGCTAGCAATTGAATGCTGAACTTGGTTTGGAAGATGTGTTGGGATTCGGTTTGCAGCTGTTCAACCAAATCACATCCGATGATCAAGACTCGGTGCGTCTCTTGGCTGTGGATGTCATGATCGCCATTGCCAAACTGTTGTCAATAGAGCAGCGTACAGAGCATTTGTTACCAGCTTTTCAAGCATTGGCTAGCGACAAGTCATGGCGTGTCAAATACATGGTGGCTTCTGAATACGTCGAGGTAATACGGAATGAGAAAAGGCACAAGGAGAATGGGCTGTGCACATCTCACAAAGGAAACGGCTGGCTGTTTGGCTAACATACCTATGAACCAGATAGCCAATGCATTCAAGAACCCGATCGTTAGGGATCATTTGGTACAACCCTTTGTCGACCTTATCAAGGATCCAGAAGCTGAAGTGAGAACAGCAGCTGCATCACAAATCTCAGGTAAGTCATTGTTGTCAGAAAAGGGGGGAAATGGTATCAACCAACCATTATGAAATAGGATTTTCACAGTATCTTGAAAAGCCTATGGTTGTCGAGCATTTGCTGCCTTGTGTCGAAGAACTTGTCGCCGATGGAAATGAACATGTTCGTGCTGCACTTGCCAAAGAAGTCAGCGGTTTAGCACCCATCCTTGGAAAGGAAGCGTAAGTGGATCATTGTGTGAGTAAACGCAAAAGGCTCAATGCATATATATATATATACACAGAACACCAAAGTATTTATTGCCGATATTCCTCCATTTACTTCGAGACGAGTCTCCAGAGGTGCGACTGAATGTGATTTCTAAATTGGATGAGTTGAATGAAGGTATGAAAGGCTATGGATGCATGCATGGCAACAATGGGCTTATCATTTTGTTTAGTGGTGGGCGTGGAATCCTTGTCACAGTCTTTGCTACCAGCCATTATGGAGCTTTCGGAAGATAATCAATGGCGTGTACGACTGCAGATCATCGAATACACACCTGTTGTCGCAAAGCAATTAGGAGAAAAGATGTTTGACGAGAAGCTGTTTGAATTATGTATCTCGTGGCTACGTGATAAGGTGTATGCAATTCGCGAAGCTGCAACGACCAACTTGAAGAATCTTGCAAAGGTGTTTGGTGCAGCATGGGCTAAACGAACAGCGATCCCCAAAGTGCTACACATGGTTCACGAGGAGAGCTATCTGTATCGGATGACCACTTTGTTTGCCTTAACGGTAAGTTGGTTGTGTGTAGGTGGTGGTGGTGGTGGTACAGGGGAGGGGGAGGAGGAGAGGAGGCTGAGGGGTAACATGATCTGATATATACTTTTACTGCATTATCTATTTAGACCCTTGCTCAAGTACTTCCTGCTGAAGATATTAAAGAATCGGTGTTGCCTACCATTGTCAGTCTTTCAAACGACCCCATTCCGAATATACGATTCAACGTTGCAAAGACTTTGGAGACATTGATGCCGCTCTTGAAACAAGATGGAGACACGCTGGCTAATACAATTCATCCAGTGCTACAAAAGCTATGTGGCGACACGGATGTGGATGTACGCTTTTATGCGACGCGAGCACTAGAGAGCGAAGACAACAACAACAACATGAATGATGATGATGCGATGGCCAGTGCCGGAAGCAAATTGTAATACACCTTTTACGTATACTCTCCCCTCCCCTTCTTCATCTTTTTTTTTTGTTTTTGAATAAAGCTCATCATCATTTAATATAACAATGAGAGAGGAGTGGTGGTATTAAAGTGTGAAAAGCAAACACCAAATGGAGAACATCTCGTGCAGCGACCCATTCGGACAAAGTATTGGATCAACCTTCTTTATTAGGCTTTCTTTGATGGAAAAGCAACACGACTCCCTCATGGCTGCGAACCCAACGCTCACTTTTGCTGCCAGTTTCAAGCTGTTCTGTGAGCAAAACGTCGAATGCAACCCATTCACTGCCGGATGCCACGCATTTCTCATTTACGATCAAACAGAGGTATTCTTTTATTCCAAACGTTTGGTCTTCTACTATGCTCAACATGGACAACTTAGGAATCGTGGTGTCGACTCATCATTCTGTACATTCTCTATGCTCTCTATGCTGATACCTCCCTTGAAAGGAACCCCTTCTTGACATTCTTTTTGGAGTTTGTTACGGATAACGCACAACGTGGGGATGTATTGGAGAAGCGGTTTGTCAACTGTATCTTGGATGGCTCTATTACATTGGTATGGGTGGGACCCATTGGCATGGCAACCACGAGAAGACTAAAGTATTTCTTAGGTCGACAAAGTGACACCCAAGCAACTCTGTGATAATGCAGGAGAATCGCTATCAGCAGCTACCGATCGACCACGCCTCGTTGAATTGGAAAGGAGTGTAGCACGCTTGATGAATGATCCGTGAGTACATTTGGGTCCTTTGTCATGATTCATCCTAATCACATCGAGAGTAGATGGAAAGAAAAGGTAGAGTGTTTTTGATAATGGCACATGGCAACCATGTACATCTCTCTATCGACAAGAACAAACCAAATGAATCCGCCTATTCCCATTTCAGGACAATGACAACACGAGTCAAGTGATCAACCTGTTGCATGAAGCTTGTACACGCACGCTGACTATCCCAGAACAGCAGGTAAATTGATTCAAAGCCTAATAACAACCATCATCCATTCATCCCGGATACTTCTCTACAGATGGTACAAAAAGCACTTGCAAGCCCACTGGCCCAGATTGTGATGGATACATGTGAACTGGAACCCAAGCAATTGCCAGAATTACTCAACAATAATCATCTCATGGCTCTCAAGGTGGTTCAAGCATTCGTGAAACAAGCCAATGGCAAAGAGTAAGTTTATTCTCTCTATATGTGTGTCGCCCTTGCTTATCATTGGATGGCCTCATTAGATATCTCCAAGCCCTTGCCACAGTGCCTGTTTCTAGCAATTGCATTGAAGTCATGCACCTCCTCACACTTGGGGGCTATGTTGATGATGATTTCTTTCTTCATATCTACATATCCAATATTATTCGATCAGCTGAAATGATGCCCGAAGGACCACGCAAGGATACCCATGTTCGAATGGTAAATGTCATCAAAAGACGAAGGAAGGACGCTCTCTCATATATATACATGTTTTGATTAGGTTGCGAGATTCATCCAGTCGCTACTTGATAAGAAAATCATCCAGATTGCAGACTACATGATCGAGATCCAATCGTTTTGCGTAGGCCATTTTCGATTCAAGGGTGTAGCCGATTTGTATCGACTCGCATCAGCAGAAGCACAACGTATAGGCATTGAACCAATAGAATCGTCTCGGTAGCATTAAAAAGTGAAAAGCAGCAGTGTGTGTGTGTATGTGTGTGCGAATTGTGGTATGAGAATCCATCACAAAAAAAGTGTGTATTTGCGTACATCGGTTGTTTTTCAGTGTGTGATTGTGTATGTGATTCCCAACAAAAAAGATTTTGTCTATAAGGCTATTTACATGCTTCCACCAAAGGATTGGTTGGCAGATTCACGCTGAATACGCGAGACATAAGCGCGGGAAACGACATTCCAGGCCTCCATGTAACGATCCTATTTCCCTTGGTCAATATCTATCTATCTCATGGCTCCCCCTATTTACCACTACTACATACCATGCACTTGGAAAGGCAAGCTTGCTCACCAGAGGAAAGGCTGGAGCCAGGCTTGGGAACGCACTTTTCGTAGCACTTTTCGTTGATTTTCTATAGTGTCGTATGTGTGTGTGTATGAGTTTCATCGTATTCTCGTGTGTTGGTTCATGTTACGAGTTGCTTACGTTGATAAGCTCTTGAGCGTTAGCCAAGGCAAGTTCGCTGCGAACCTTGTCCATGACTTCTTGCTTCTTGCTACCCTGTTTCCATGGCGAACACCCAATGCCGTTAGTATCCCAATGAGACACTCTTTTTTTACTATTGTGATTGAGAACCCTTACCGAGTCAGCAGCAGCACCACCAAAGTTGTAACCTGAAGAGTAGTCGCTCATGTTTATAGTTCAAGTGGGAAAAACGCACAACAACCCAACGCGAACGCGAAGTCATCAATCCATTTACAAGCCACTAGTCTTGGGCAGTCAATCAACTGATACCCCCCGGCCTTTCCATTTTAGCACCTTACGAATAGATGTCCTCATTGCACTAATAGCCCAATACTCCCATCACTCTAAATAAAATAATGCTACATCATTATGGTTGCTACTTGGATTATGTTGCCAGGCAACAGTGTTGCTATGACTTGATTCTTACGGCTGCTGAGTATGCTACAGTAGCTTGCTGCAATAATGTAGACCAATCGTTTCCACGATTACTTGATCATGCAAAAATGCCCACCCATTTGTATCCAAAGGACCATAATTCATTGTACATTTGCTAAGGGATGTGTATGAGTGATCCATTAAAAACAAAGGGTCATTTGCCGGGTGATCGCTCATTCAAACTTTTTGTGAAGGATGATTTAATAACCATTTTCATTTTATTCGATGATGAATGAAAACCTGCATCGCATGTCTACCTATCTATGTATGCAAGTGCTATTGTTACTACTATGGGGCACATGCTGCTGCTGGCTATGTATAACAGTCAACCTATATCCCGCCACTCCTACATCCTCTCCGCTCCAAGCAGCAACTTGTACATCATTATATCATGTCCGAGAAACGCAACCTTGACTACGAGAAAGACGAAAGAGTACTATGCTATCATGGTCCTTTGCTCTACGAGGCCAAGGTGAGTCAAGTTTCAATAAACACTCCCTTGAGACCCAACATGGCGATTGACACTCAAGATTGCGCGAACACTATGATAGATTGTCCGAGTGGAGTCAAAAGACGATCGACCCATGTACTTTGTTCATTACAAGGGCTGGAAGCAGACGTATGTTTCTTAAGCATTCACATTGACCTTGGCAACACCCTCGCTATCATCCTTCTTCACCCCACACGCTATACACGCACTCTCTCTCTCTCTTTATCTATCTACTCTATCTATGGGCTACTTGGACTCATAAATTTTCCGCCCTCGCCTCTTTTTAGGTGGGATGAACTTGTGCCTGACGACCGCCTGTTAAAGTGGAACGACACCAATCTTCAAAAGCAACAACAACTACGAGACATGCACATTAGGCGAAAAACACCACGATCTTCCTCCAGTCGAGCCTCCTCTACCCATGACACACCTTCTGAACCACGTGGCAGGAAACGACAACGCGATGCTACTACTGATAAGCCTCGAACGGTACATTGACTCTTTTTTTTCTTTTCTCTTTCTCTCATTGGCACACACACACACACACACACTTTTATGAAGACTCAACTCATACACCACTTGCAGGACGACGATAGCATATGGAGACAAGAATTTGGTATGGTGATCCCAGAGTCACTCAAGGGACGATTGGTGGATGATTGGGAAAACGTGACCAAGAATGACCAGGTAAGAGAGTGATAGCGTGTGTCTATGTATCCAATGCCAACATGGTGTCTATAGCTTCTTCAACTACCGCGTAATCCCTGTATCACCGAGATCTTGAACCAATACCGTGAATCTGCCAAAGGACGATCCAACCTGTAAGTACAAAAAAAGAATCACAAAAGACACAACAACGAGTATTGACTTTGGGAGGTTGTTATCAGTGATGTGGAAACGTTGGATCAGGTGATTGAAGGTGTCCAGCTTTATTTCACAAAGTCTCTCAGTACATCCCTGCTTTATCACGTTGAGCGAAAACAACATGCGGATCTCTCCATGGGTGAAAAGTCCGTTTGCGACATTTATGGCATTGAGCACCTATTACGATTGTTTGGTGAGTATATCTATAATGCTGCAGATTATGTCACGTTTTACTTATGCTATCCATCCTAGTCCAAATACCATCGCTCATAAGCCATGCTAATGTGGATCCGGAAACATTGAATCTATTACGGGATGCGTTTTCTGATATCTTAAGGTAAGGAAAGGGGACGATAACAATTGGAGGATGCTTACTCCTTAAAAAAAACTTGCTAGGTTTCTGGAAGAGCATGAAAAAGAATACTTTGCATAACCTTCTCATCAAGCAACAGACTACCTTTCAAAACCGCCATGGGGCAACAACAACAACCTTGGGGCCATTGTGGAGTCACTGTATTGGACTACTTGTGGGGCGATCATCCCGCTGTAAGCATATAGCAGCATTTGCCTCATTTGCTTTGCTGGTCTGTTTATCCACACATACAACACGCACACACCTTTTACATACGCATAGTCATCATCATAATAAAAGAGCTTGCTTGCAGTCATTCACACTCTCCTGAAGTTTATGTTGCGTCACACACTCTCTCTCCTGCGTTTTGATACTTGTTTAGTGCCATTGTGTCACGGATCGGCCAAACGGTCATTCCGTTATTATCCTGCCCAAAAAGAAATGGCTCTCTCGCATGTTGAGTATACACGTGACCACTATCCTCCCAACCACATGTGTGTGTTTTTCAATTGTAAAAGAAGAAAAACAAGACGCATGCATATGCAATCCTCTCCTCTTTATTACATATATCAAGATGCGGTGAGCAACACACACAAAAACAGCTCATGATGCAACTCTCACAGACAACCAAGAGGTAAATTTTGTCCCGAGATGCGGCACTTTATGCATGTCGATATGCGTGATGGCGATTGCATTCCGAGGACACAGCTCATCATGTATAACCCTCTCCCCTCCCCTTCCTCCCCCCAACAACATCCGTAAGCTAGTACATGGACAAGAATGGATACATATATAACCAAAAGTGTATTGTTGTAACTATGTCGAAAATGTTGCGTTGCGAGCGTGTGTGTGTGGGTGTGTATACAAAGAATTCAATGTCATGAATGTTGGGGGCGTGTATGTGTGTGTGAGAGAGATGGATTGTGTGTTGTGTGTTGAGTGTTTGTGTCATGTCAAATAAGGTGGCGTCTTATGCTGTGTAATCTACTTTTGCTTGTCCAATTGCTCTTGCTTCCACAAACTTTGGAGAGAAGTGAAGACCTTGCCAGGTTGATCACGAAGGTAGTTGAGCTTAGCACGACGAACACGCAACTCGGTAGGCTTTTGCAACACCTTGATGCTCTTGAGAAGAGGAGAATACAATGCAAAACGCTGCTCAACGCCCACACGCATGACAATGTTGCGAAGAGTGAATGATGTGTCGATGCCCTTGCGACGAATAGCAGTGCAGATACCCATAAAGGTCGATGTCGTCTTTTCACCAGGGCCATTGTATGTCTCCACTAACACCACCGAACCAGGACGTACGCCCTTATGGTTTTTTCGCGAGAACAATTCACGTCGTCCGTCCACATTGGCAGCCTGTACTTGCTGTGAATCGACCATTTCCATCACATTGCCCTTGGTTTTGCTGGCAGCAGCAGCAGTAGCAGCCGTGCTGTAGCTAGCTACAAACACAACAACAATGACCATTGTCCCCCCACATGAGTATACGTTCTTATCCTCCATTTGATCCATTGATTCGGTGAATCGATCGTTGTTACTTACATTGAAGAGAGCTCTTTGGAATGGCACGGGCGGTGAGTGTCCTCAAGAAGTTCATGGTCAAAAGGGAAAAATAGGGCAAGTGGCTTACTCTGTTGAACGCACCTCAGTGTCTCTTCTTTCTCCCCCACCCCCTTGCCAAAAAACGCACCGACTCCGCTGCTGAACAAAAAGCTTATGACATCCATCCACACCCCATCTTACAATATGCACATGTACGTTGATCATCCTCTCTCCTATTCTTTTTCTTTACATGGAACTGCCTTTTATTATTAAAGTTTGGCTGTGCTTTTCTTCTCGGCACATGCTTTTAACAACATGCGCCCATGGAATTATGTACAAGGTGCTGGTGGTGGTGGTGTATGGGTTACATCATGTCAAGAAGAGTAGTGTAGTAGTAGTAGTAGGAGTAGGAGTAGTTTACGTATCCGATGACATCAAATCAAGCTCATCTTGCTCTTCAGCACTTGATGTGGCAAACAATGAAGGTCGTCGAAAAGTCTGCTTGGCTCGTGATATGATAGCCATCTCAATGACATGGTCATCAGATGAAGAAGATACCATCATCATGGCCGATTGAATATCATCCTCCATTCTTTGTTCTTGCTGCTGCTGTTGCTGCGGCTTCTTTACAGGTTCATCATGTTCGTCCACACCACCAAAAAGATTGTAAATGAAATTGAATGCATCTTCGTCATCATCCTCGTCATCTTCATCATCTTGCCAAAACTCGTCGAAAAGGATGTCTTCATCGCTGTCCACCGTAAGGGCATCATTCAATGAAGGAATGTGGTTGTTGATAATGACCTGGCGTTGCTCATCGGATATCAATGGCAATGGTATAGCACACACTGCTGTAACCAAGGCACCCAAGAGGAGAATGGAGAGATGAATACAACGAGAAGAGGAGAAGAAGAAAACGGCCATAATTGAGATGATGATGATGATGGTGCGTGCACACGCAATATATATGTATCCGGAACCTTGAATTGAGTGACGATAGTACACAACCCTTTGAAAGGGAGGAATTAAAAAATGTAAAGAAGAGAGAGAGAGAAAACAAGGACTAAGGTGTCATTGTGTGGGAATCGACCCGATTTTTATATTTATCCCTTTGTGATGGAGGCACGACATGTACACACACAAAGATCGACAAGAGACATCTTTCCACAACCACCCACACCCCCTTTTTTTTACCGGTTGCCCTTTGGATTAGGCTCACACGCACGCACGCACGCACAACATTACACATTGGGCGTTTCAGATGAAATCACCACCACCACGATATGTCCATAAATGCACATATCACCTCCTGTATCTCTCTCTCTCTACACTTTACCCAATCCTATCCCCAACACCCGCGCCCCCCTTTCTACTTGTTGCCCCACCCACACATAAACACCCTGACAACGGGGCGGCGACGGCAGCGGCGTCAGTTGGGTTTGTGCAACAACAGACAACAAAGCATAAACACATTTATGCCTTCTGCAGCCTGGATGAAAAGAGAGTCAAAACAAAATGAGCTCACGCGACAACACGTGCATTCGTCTCCTTATATATGTTTCTCAACACAAACCATTGCCAATGGCACAACAACATGCTTCCCGTATCATTTTTCTTTTATCAACATTGTGGCTCCAGCACGCACCAAAACATCCAGCATCATGATGATACCACCACACATTAATGATGTGTGCATATGGTTAACGTGATCGAAGGATGCACTGCTATTGTTCACCAATCTCTTTTGGACATGCGGAAGGAACAACAATAGTCAAACATGCAAAGAACAAGATGCTGCTGTATGCATTATGCCAATTATGTACCTTTGCATCTATACGGATGAGTCACGGTAGCTTGTTTACCAGCCCTCCCATTACCTAGATTTGTACTTGCAGCATTGAAGCGTTCGAATTAGAATTTACAAACCCGGCATCTACTAAACAATCTTCGTTTTTAACGGGTGTTCATCCGCCTATTCTGCTCGCTGCCAAAGTTTAAGGATAACACTAATAGCAGTAGCAAGCATGAATCATCCATGTATACAACAAGCCGTCCAACAGCTTATCGTCAAGCAACAAAAAGCCCTTTGACCCTAAGCTTAGGCAGCATCAGCTCATGATGTACTCTCAAAGTTTATAGCGTTCGTAATATTTTGTATCACCCACTACGCTGACAGCCTGAGAGGGAAGGCCCAAAGGTATATAGGATTCGTATATAGTATGCTGCGACCGCAAGAGATAGACATGGAACGTAAAGTGGCCACACACTGCTTTGGAGGAAGCTACCAATACATTGGTCAAACATCAGCAGCTGTGGTTTGTCTCTCCCAGGTACGGTACAATACGTGTATTTCATTTTTGTTACCATAGGAATGGAAGCTATGTACCTGGTCAGGGTATCTTGCTTGGAACTCTAATACATGCAAATGGCTGCAGCCGTGTACCGTAGATGAAATGGGATGACCTTTACATTATTGGCAGTAACCATCCAATGGCATAGGAAAGACACTTTTGATCCCGAAAATCTCAATGAATTGTAATTGATCTTGTCGAAGACCATGTTTCTTGTGAAATGGATCCAATATCAAATAGAATGCTTACTTTTGGGGTCCATTGTTGATTTTCTTTTGTTTGATGTGATTGGACCTCTGCTGATACAAAGATGCACGAGCCAATACCACTTTTCATTCTGGGATATTACTGCCACATGTAATTGGTGTCAAAAAGGTTTACCTTTAAATGTCCTTGACACAAAACCTCTTGCATTGGACCGCCTGTTGTAGATTCAAAGATGACATTTTCAAAATCTCTTTCAACATGAAGGGCATTACAAAAAGCGATTCCATTCATATACAAATGATGACTTTCATACTTGGATCCCATGAACATTCATTTAAAAAAGAGATGGATCATTACGTTGGAGAGGATGTAGATCCAAGTACAACACACAACGAGAGAGCTGCATTGAGCGGACCTAGCTAGTGAAAACACCGACTTGCCAGCATTGGTGCAGTGCAGCATTGATCGGGAAGCTGACCAATGAGGAGGACCAAAACGGGGGAGCAGTCAGAGGCGCCTTTTAAAAGTTTTTTATAAAGGTCGACAACTCGAATGTCAAGATTTTCTCCTCCTCTTTTTTTCATTTCTTTTCCACAACAACATGTCTGCTGAATACGAGGGTGCTATTGGTATCGATTTGGGTACAACGTAAGTAACAAAAAAGTCTTTATTCAAAGGTGGAAGGATGATCTTTAACGTTGTGGATGATTCTTTTTAGCTACTCCTGTGTTGGTGTATGGGAGAGTGAACGTGTGGAGATTATCGCCAACGAACAAGGCAATCGTACTACTCCCTCGTATGTGGCATTCTCTGAGAATGAGCGTCTTGTGGGTGATGCTGCCAAAAACCAAGCTGCCATGAACCCCAAGCACACTGTGTTTGATGTCAAGCGTCTCATTGGTCGTCGTTTTGATGATCCTGAAGTCAAGGCTGATATGGTCAACTGGCCTTTTACTGTGGTGGATGACAACGATAACCCCAAGATCCAAGTCGAAGTTGGTGGAGAGACCAAGACGTATACGCCTCAAGGTATGTTGTAAACATTGTCCTGGTGATGATGATGTGGCTAAATATGTATGCACCTCTGCATGTTGTGTGTAGAAATCTCATCCATGGTGTTGATCAAGATGAAGGAGATTGCTGAAGCCAAGCTTGGCAAAAAGGTCACCAAGGCCGTTGTTACTGTGCCAGCCTACTTTAATGATTCGCAGCGTCAAGCTACCAAGGATGCCGGTATCATTGCTGGTTTGGATGTCTTGCGTATTATCAACGAGCCTACCGCTGCTGCCATCGCCTATGGTTTGGATGCCAATGATAAGAAGGAAAGGAATGTGCTCATCTTTGATTTGGGTGGTGGCACTTTTGATGTATCACTCTTGACCATTTCTGGTGGTGTGTTTGCTGTCAAGGCCACTGCTGGCAACACGCATTTGGGTGGTGAAGATTTCGATAATACCTTGGTGAACCACTTTGTACAGGAGATCAAGCGTAAGCACAAGAAGGACATTTCTGGTGATGCACGTGCTCTTCGTCGTTTGCGTTCTGCTTCCGAACGTGCCAAGCGTACCTTGTCTTCACTCACCCAAACGACCGTTGAGGTGGATTCCTTGTTTGAAGGCATTGATTTCCAATCATCCATCACCCGTGCCAAGTTTGAAGAGATCAACTCGACTCATTTCTCCAACACCGTGGCCCCTGTTGAGCGTGTCTTGAAGGATGCCAAGATTGACAAGAAGGATATCGATGAAGTGGTCTTAGTGGGTGGTTCGACACGTATTCCCAAGATCCAATCGTTGCTTCAAGATTTGTTCAATGGCAAGGAGCTTAACAAGTCGATCAACCCTGATGAGGCTGTTGCTTATGGTGCTGCTGTTCAAGCTGCTGTTCTTACCAACCAAGCTGGTAACGAAAAGACACAGGATCTCTTGTTGCTTGATGTGGTGCCACTTTCGCTTGGTGTTGAGATGCAAGGTGGTATTATGGCTGTTGTCGTTCCCCGCAATACACCCATTCCTTGTCAAAAGTCCAAGGTGTTCACGACATCCGGTGATAACCAGACCACTGTCACCTTCCCTGTGTATGAAGGCGAACGTCTCATGACCAAAGAAAACAACATGCTTGGTGAGTTTTCTCTCAGTGGATTGGTGCCTGCTCCTCGTGGTACGCCTGAATTGCTTTGCACCTTTGATTTGGATGCCAATGGTATCTTGAAGGTCACTGCTCAAGACAAGACAACGGGTCGCAAGGCGGATGTGACCATTTCCAACTCGACTCGTCTTTCAGCTGCTGATATTGATCGTATGGTGGAAGACGCTGCCAAGAATGCCGAATCAGACAAGAAGCGTGAGGCCGTTGTCCAAGCAAAGCAAGACCTTGAGTCGTATGTATACCAAGTCGAGAACAACATCTCCGATCCCAATGTCAGCATGAAGTTGCGTCGTGGTGATCGTGAAGCTATCGAAACGGCTCTTGCTGAAGCAATGGAGTTCATGGATATCTCCTCTGAGGATGCCACAGTCGATGACATTAAGGGTGCACAAACAAAGTTGAAGCGTGCCACTACGCGTGCTTTTGCTCATGTGTACTCTACTCGCCGTTAAGTTCTTTCCCTCTTCCCCCCCTTTCTACCCTCCATAGCATTCTTGTATCAGCATCCATTCTATTTTTCTTTGTATGAAAATCGTGTATAAAAAAAGTCATATTTTTGCGTTGTGTATAATACAAAGTGATGTAGTGGAATATATATGTACGATGTCGTCTATTCTTCCTTGATGGCAATTACATAATGGTTGTCACGGTCATAACCAGAAGTTTCAATAGTGACATTGGATATTGATTTGAAAAGCTGATCGAGCTCGCCTTGTTGAAAGAGGTGATAGTATCGCTGATAGACCTTGGATGGGTCTGATTTCAACATCCATGGTACAAATACATCTTGTTTGCCTGGTTCAAAGTTGCGTTTGCTGAACTTGGTTTGCTCAAGGGCCCATACAAAGACTAATATCTTGCCACCAGGGCGTGTGATCCGTAATAGCTCCTATAATGAGCGATGGCATGTTATTACTGATATCTAGAAGAAGAGAGTGATCATACCTTGAGAGCTTCTTGTCGTCGTTCAGGTGATGCGAAATGATGAATGACAGCAATAGAAACGACGAAATCCTGGATAGCCATTAGCACGTGATACTCCATCCCATTGCATAAATACACTTACAAAAGCATTATCACGATAAGGTAGATCCAATCCATCTGCAACCATTCCTTCAAATCCTCGTTCTTGTACAATCTTGATCAGGTTGCTGCTCCTGTAATGTGCCATGTCGGTTAGCGTATGTCATACACCCTCTATACACGCATATGGGATATCCCTTACCGATCCGATCCGAGCATCAAAATATTGGGATTGACGCCAATGTACTTGCCATTGCCACAACCAACGTCGGCTCCTACGCTTCCTGTGGGCATACTATGGAGGAATGTCTCGACCACAGGCCATGGCTAGCTCGATTGCAACGTATGAGTCTTTTCGTTGAATAAAGCAACGCAGGTTGAAAAATAACAAACCTTGTAGCGTGTCTCGCTGAAATGACTAGCTATTTCCTCATAGACTTTGTGGACGTGTGTTTCTTCATAAGATGCTTCTCCTCGTGTGGGCGTTTCAACAGCCACTGGTTGTGGTTTGGATGTCATGGATAAAGAGCAAAGGACGTGCATTGATCTTGAATCTCCTCCACCCAATTTTATATACGTGACTTACCGAACATCCCATTCTCAATTATCTTCTTTCCTATCAATACACACACACACACGCGTCTCATCACGTACAAGGTAACACCGTCTTCTCTAATATCCTCTTCTTTTCCAACTTGCCCAAGTGATGAGTCTGTAAAAGGTTTGAGGAGCACCCGAATCAACCGCTGTCAGGAATCAGCCCCATCCCTTTTGTCGCCTCTGCAGCCATCACGTACTGTTCGAAATCTTGGTATCCTGTTCAAAAGTCACGAGGCAGTTGGTACCGTAAGGCCGGACAAAGAGAAAAACACAAAGCAAGGGACCATATGGATCTTTTGTGGAGGGAGCCAGTGTTAGATCATAGGTGAGAAAGTATTGCTCACCCGGTGATAAAGGATGGCTCGACAGTCGATAACGACAACAACAACATCACAACCCCCCCCCCCAATCCTCTTACACTGAGCCATGGTATTCTGGAGATGATGGAATGCTGCTGGTGGATAAAGGAGGAAAGATACCCCCGGTGATGGATTGCTCGCGCGCGACACTTGTGGATAGCTGATTCTTGCTTCGGGTTGATAACATGGGGACGCTCCACGTATATGAAATCAACCATTTCTATCTCTGATGGGGCTATGATCATAGTTGGATATATGCTGTATATGTGGAACTATCATAGCTAATATCTTTTTATAGTAGGTCACCAGGAAGGAAACTTGAGGAAATGAGGAGGGGCGGAAAAGATGGCTTACAAATGCAGTGGAGGATTATCGTAGAAGTGAAAAGGAACATGAAAACAATGAATCGCCACCAGCAGACAATGAAATCCGATGTACACAATCCGGCAAGATTACGCGTTACGTTGATGTAGGATTACAAAAGTTCAAGGTACGTTATCCATGCGGGTGATTTAGGATCGGATTATTAACGTTGAAGTAGACCAAGTCTGATATCGTCATTGTTGGAAAAGGACCTACTATCAACAAGGCAGTAACTGTGGTGGAGATTATCAAACGCAAGATGGAAGGCTCGCTTCATCAATACACACAGCTCGGAAGTGTTACGACCACAGAGCAATGGGATCCAGTGGAAGGAAAAGATATGGATAGGTACGTCCATGGTGAGGGTTATTCATCAGCAGTATTGGTTGACATGGCAACAATAGAATGGTTGCCGAGAAACGGACCCCAGTCATCATTATGCACCTTTCAAAGATTGCCATTCCGGATTTGGAAGCAACATCAGGGTAAGTGACAATGGAAGGGTGGTTACTTTGGACAATGAAATTTATGCATCTTGCAGCTACCAAGCACCCACAGGCAACGACATTTACTCTTAGCATTATTTTGGTCCCCCTCCCCCCTTGCATATCTTCAACCATCCATTTATTACCATGCCAATGTCAACAACATTTCTTGTCCCATTCGTTCTTGTAAATACACATTTCATTTGATGATCACACACATTTACTGTCAATCTCCATAACAACAACTTGACTATGGATCACTATGACGTCGGCATTCCAAAGTGGGGATTTTGCTACTATGAATCAGGCAACACGCAGGGTCGTGGCGGGTGGGATTGAGAAATGCAGCCAAAAGAGTTATCTCGGAGAAGCTTGTTTTCTGTAACGCCATGGCAGCAGCTACGACGACCGATTCCACTTGTTGGGAGAGACATGCTCATAATGGCACGACAGCACTTTGCAATGCCAACTACTCACAGGCGATCAAGGAGACAACTCTGGCACTAGACGAATTGCTTCGACATCAGATTGGCCTTCTAGACACGCGATCAGCAGCCTACAGCAAGACGGGCCATTTTGAATTAGGAATGGACGATGCGCATGCCATGATGCGACTTGCACCCCAATGGTCAGCTGGTTACCTGCGAGCTGGAGAGATATGCATGGCCCAAGGGTGGCAGCAGCGAGCGATAAAAGTTTATGATCAAGGACTTAAGGAGGTTCCTGCAAGTGATGCTGAGAGCCACCATCAGCTACAAGAAGCACGTGCACAAGCAACAGCTCAATGTCAACTACGGATGGATATCGTTGGACAATTGCCGTTTGATATCCTTGACCATCTCGTGACCCATTTGTCTGTGGAGACGTTGATTGAATGCCTGTGTGTGTCTCATGCATGGCGAGATCGCTTGCTTGGATGTCCAGATGGCTGGCAACATATCATTGTGGATGGATACGACGCCGCTGTAGGATCTATCATCAACCTACTTCCTGTCATTAGCAACCACATACACAATTTATCCATCATGTTCCTCGATAACAATTCCTCCTTGGATATCTTTAAAGATATTGCGCTCGGCCACTTTTCTCGCTTACGATCCTTGACACTGCGTCGTATGTCTTTTTTCTCTCTTTTTCATTCTTTTATCATGTGCTTTTTTCTCTGATGACAACCGTTGCTAGGATGCAAAACGGGTGATTTCAATACGTTATCGGCAGCCTTATCAAAAGTGTCCAACACGCTCACCAACTTGACTATCAGCTCCATGATTGATGGCATCGTACCCCTTCCTAATGTACTATCAGCATGTCCACATTTGCAGAGTCTTGGCTATCGTGGTGTATCACAGCTTGGTCATATCGATCCATCCATGCTACCTACAACGCTTTCGTTGACATCTTTGGAGCTGGAAGCAATCAACATTCGGTGCGCACAGCTTGAGCCTGTATTAGAAAGGTGTCCAAATCTACGCCATGTAGCCGTGTACCAATGCGAGCCAAGTGCAGTTGCACTAATTCATCGTTGCTGTCCACAGCTTGAGAGCTTATACTTCAACGTGTATCGTATGCTATATGAATCTGAAACAGCACGTGCGGGTGGTCATGGAGATTCACGTGGATTGCGTACCTTGGTGTTTGGACGTGTACGACGCGAATTGATGGAACAATTACTGTTGACGCATGCTACTACAACAACGATTGAACGCCTCGTATTACAAATGGATATGAGTGATCCTGATCCAGAGGAGCTATGGGAGCCCATTGTGAATGAATTACATTTCCCAGCAGTGCAATCGATTAGTATCACCATGCAAGACACGTTACATGCAACCATGGCAACGATCATGCAGCAATGTCATACCCTGACTCAAGTCAACATTAGTTATTCACCCGTGCTTTCGGTCGATATCCTCCTTGTCCTTGCTGATTTACCCTATTTACGTGAATTATCATTACATTCAGTACGCCATGTCAGCCACCCTGGCATAGAGCATTTCTTTAATCGTCATCGAGCTCTCGGCTATAAATCACCCTTGCGTGTGTTTGAAACAGATCACGTGTGCGACTTGTCAGCAAATGCGCTTGCCCTCCTCGGTGATATTGTTACCCTTGAACGTATCCGCCTTGATCATTGCACGCATACATCGAGTGAAGCTATGGATCGATTTGCAGCTGCACTTGTCAATAACACCACCACATCACCATCATCTTCACCATCACCTACAAACGGCCTTAAAAAGCTCGAGTTATCCAATCTTGAAGGTGTCACAGATAATACCATGCTGATGCTTAGCGCTTTACCGAGCTTGGAACACCTTGAACTTATACGTGTTGTTAACGTTACCGATCAAGGCATTGCCGACCTAGTCTGCGACAGAGAATTTCCTTCCTTGACCTCGCTATGGATATACGACTGCCCACGCATCACCAAATACATGATGGAGCATGTTCAACAAATCCTGAGTAATAAGAGGAGACGTAGTCTTGTTGTAAATCAAGTTTAATACCCCCCCACCATCACAGATGCACACAATGAATGATGTGATGATAAACGATGTTTAATTAATAAACGTTAAATTCTGGAAGTTAAGCTTCGAGTCATTCGGATCTTGAGCAACATGAGCAATACAAAGGATACGAGGTAGCATACACCCGTGAATAGCTTAAGCACGAGATATGGCTTGTCATGGACCTGATTCTGAATGGCCGTAGCAAGGGGTGGGCCACAAACACTGATGATGTTCGACAAGATCATCAATGAAATACCCGTGGGTACTTGTTCAACACTGAGAATCCGGCCTGTGACAGGAGTCACTATGTATAGGTACAATGCCATCATGAGTCAAATGTTGGGGGGGGTGGGATTGATAGAGACAAGGGCTACTTACAAAAGATAAAAAAGGAGCTGCAAGCAAAGCCAAACATGATTGCGAACCCAACCAACTTGGCGTAAGTATCGGCAACCATCCACAGCACCAAAAGACTAATCACTGTCATCAGCGTACTGATGATGTGTGCATTCAAGCGCCCAATCCGATCCCCTAGGTATCTATATGATTGGTGACATATATATGATGAGTGGGTCTATTGACAATGCATCTTGATGTGTACACATACCCTGTGCAGATGCGACCAAAAAAGTTGGATCCCGATGTAATGGCCATGAGGGATGTACCATCCGAGGTTGATAATCCTAAATAGGTTGCATATGCTTTATGTACTACATAGTGAGCAAAAAATGCATCATTTGCGGGCTTGAGATCACTTACATGGTACAAAAAAGAATGGTATAAAGTAGCCAGCTGTGCTGATAATGCCGCTTGCCATCCAAATAATAAAGTTGATATTCTTAAAGACCTCGAGATTGAATGTCTTGTTGCGAGCTTTCTCGCCTTGTTGGTGATGCTGCTTTGATTGTTGTTGGTGGTGGTCATTGTCATTATCAGCAGCAGAGGTAGGGGTTTGTTCAAGATGCTCATTGTTTTCATGCCCCTTGACCTTGACGTTCGATGGAAATTTTTCCTTGACAAGCAAACATGTGACAGCATTGGCACCAAGACAAACAAAACCTACGATGCGATAGGTCCTGTGACACATACCCCCCAACAAATAGTACTCGTTAAACAATGGCACCACCCTTTGTGCGTGAGTAAAATTGACTTACCATGCAGCACCCAGTCGATTGTTGATCGCTGTCATGAGAAACGGCAATGTAACACCCCCAAGGCAGGATCCACTGGTGACAGCCCCCATTGCCAACGACGCCCTATGATTGAACCATTGACTTGGCACCATCATGGCAGCCTACAATAAACACGTAGTGTGACTTTACAATGACTATTTGGCACGCCATACGTGTAAGCAACTTACGACATAAAGTAAACTGGCACCGATGCCAAAAATCGCCCCCTGAAAAACGACAAGATGCCAGATCTTGGAAAGGGTATGTACATAGATACATCAATGTTTCGCCATGGTCATGTATTTGGCATGCTATGTTATATATATACCTTTGTTGCAAACCCTGACATTTCCAACCCGAGCACTACTAAAAATGTGCCCAGAATGAGAACAGGTCGCACACCATAGCGAGATGTCAGGTATTGGTAGAGAGGACCCATCATGTTGGCGAAAATTTCAATTGTTGTTCCCACCAAGGTTAGGCCAAGTTGAGCATTGGGAGCATCCTTGAACACCACACGAGTAAAGTATTCTTGCATGACACCTTGATGAGGAGAGACAAGGATGATGGTTTGTGGTCAGCGTAAATCTGTATGTGTGTGTTTTTGGGAGGGTGGTGGTCTGTGCACATTTGCATCAGCCATTGTGTTTTCATGCTTACCCCTATATATGTAAACAGGTGAGCAACGTCGATCGATTCATCTATAACCTTGTAAACTTACCAGCATGATTCCAGGCCAAAACTTGTCAAGTACGCTAAAAAGCTGCCAAAGACGACGAACCACCCATAACCCCCATCAGATCTATTGCTGTATACATCATCACCGACATTGCTAGTTTTATCTTGATCTACTTTTCTTAGTACAAGCATCCATGGTTTATAAGCATTACAAGAGATTTACCATCACCACCATCAACATCGTCACTTCCAATCACGGTGGGTGCTGTGCTAATGGAAGAAGCCGGCGAATGCACGGTGCTCGTTTCATTATCACTATTCCCATTTGGCAAGTACGTGCGATTCCGATCACGGTATGTTGCTTTCTCGGGTTCTTGAATAGTGGATGTAATGCTTGTGACGGGTTCCTCCAAGGTGATCGTGGCCATGAGTTGCACTAGTAAATGCTGTGAAGGGTCAATTTAGCCACCACAGTCCTCCTTGGAATCCATAGATACATGATAAAGTCTACTTACAAAAACAAATAGGAAAGAGAAAGAAAGTATACGAAAAGCGAAAAACACGATACCATCAAATAATCCCTTTTGCCACCTGTCATCATTGAATCATACAGCAAACAACAAACACCCACGGTGGGTGGTAGTAGGAAGGGTGGTGGTGGGGGAGGGAAACCCTCCACCACCCAGGTCATTATCACACACACCCCCTTTTTGTCGAGGAGCATTATCATGTCGCCATTTTTGCTAACCTTAATCTCTCGTTGCTGCTTTCAAGAATGGGATAATAACCATACCCATTAATACAAGCGTTTTCGCGTTATTGTCTTGGTAACTTTTTTTTACCCGATCACGGGTAGGAAAATGTGGAGCATGGATTCCCTTGCATAATACAATGCAAAGTTTACCTCTCTTGGTAGGAATTTACGCTGTTATTACCGATACAAACCGTTGTGGCGGTAATGACTCAGGATAACGGGATGGTCCCTCGTTGTTATTTGCATGGGGGTGCCATGGTGACAAGAAAAAAAAGGAAAAATGGCCGACGCCTAGCAGGTTTATGCAAACTAAATCGACTAGTCCGAGCGCTGATACCCTACATGTTCGGTTTTGACCCATGCCTATTACCACGTCGATCATGATCGCCCGTTGTCTAGACACTCTTTACACGTCATCTTACAACGGAAGAAATTAAACCTTCATCATCATGTTGATATATTTATACATGCGGATAGGGTAATGTAAAATGCAATAGGAAGAGGATGATTGTACAAATGAAATCAGTGATAGAGTATGTATGGATTAGTCATAAGCGAGTAGTACAGGGAATGAAAAATGATAAGCATGCAAAACGCGCCCTTAGATTTTTGACATGAAGCTCTTGGTCATTTTGATCTTGAGTGCAAAAAGAATGAGACCTCCAAGCAAAAAGGTGACGCCTGTGAACATCTTGTATGAGAAATAGGGCTCTGTGTTGTAGAGACGAGCCTCCACAGCACTTGCAATGGATGGGCCCCACACAGGCACCATGTTCGTCATGAGTAAAACTGACAAGCCGGTAGGGAACCGGTCGATGCCCACGATGGTAGCCGTAATGGTGGACACTATACAAATCAAATGCATTGTCAGCCATCATCATCACATGAGCGCCTATTTTCGTAATTGCATGCAAGATCGACTTACTAGATGAAAAGTAGATGCTGCATACGAGGCCGAAAACCACAGCAAATGCCATCATGGTATTGTAGTCGTATGCAAACACCCAAATTAGAAACGAGCTGAGACCTGAAATAATGTTGCAAATGATCAAAGCATTCATGCGTCCAATGCGATCGGCAATATAACTATCCATGGTGTCGTGTTAGTGCTAAAGTTTAGAACAATGAAAAGTTTGAGCTTACCCAATGGAGATGCGACCCACAGTGGTACTTGCTGCCATAACAGCGGTGATGGCACTAGCATCCTCACTGCTCAAGCCAAGATGTTGGGTGACATAGGCTATCATTGAAATCAAATGAATACACTTGTACGCATCAATGCAAATGTTACTTACAAGGCAAAAAGAAAAACGGAACAAAGTAACCCTATTGTGGTGTTAAAGACCTAAAGTTAGACTTGCATGCATACCGATGCAACGAGATGAGACGACTTACCATAACTGAGACCATAGTAGAGATGACCCACATGAGATAGTTTACATCCTTTAGAATGGTAAAATCAAAGATTTCACGCATCGAAGCCTTCTTTGATGATTGGGTTTGGACTTCCTCATCAACGGTTTTGACGCCTTTTTTATGGCCCGGGTACTTTTCCCTCACGAGGATGCAAATAAGGATGTTTCCTGCAAGGCAAATGAAGCCGATCACGCGATACGCCCATGCGATGCCAAGTGTGTTGTTGACAGCTGTTTGCACAAAGGGTAAAACGACACCACCAATGCCTGCACCACTCGAAACGATGCCCAAGGCAAGACCTCTTCTTTTTGAAAACCATTGGGCTGGTACACTCATTGCAGCCTATGGTAAATTGTATGGGGTTAATCAATAAAGACAATGATGATAAAGGCATAAAGGATACATTACCACGTATAAAAGCGATGCCCCAGAACCGAATAGCACACCTTTATAGCATCATTCAATGTTAGCATACATACACAATAAGCAGCTTTTTCATTGCCCTTACCCTGTGTCAAATAAACGTGCCAGATCTGCCAAAGCAAATGATGGTTAATATAAAAAGGATACATACCATTATCGCACGTGGCTTACCTCAGTGCTCAAGGATGCAAGCTCAAGACCAAGGACCATGATGATGGAGCCTAAGATTAGGACAAAGCGGATACCAAAGCGTGCTGACAAGATTTGGAAAACAGGACCCATCAAGTCCACAAAAAGCTCCATCAAAGTTCCAGCAAACGATAGCTGCATTTGGACATCAGGGACATCAGGAAACACCTTTCGTTCAAAGTATTCTTGCATCACACCTGCTCTCAAAGTTTAGTATCATCATCATCATCATCATGGTGTGATTTGATCAATTACCCCTATGTAGCATTGTTCATCAATACATCGTTGTCATATCAAGCATCAATTCAACGTACCAACTCAATGCAGGACCAAAGGAGGTGAATTGTGCCAACAAGCATCCAACGACCACGAACCAACCATAGCCACCATCAGCATCATCGTATGCATCAGCTTGGCCCCATTTCGGTTTTTCAATCTCTTGGGCTAATTATCACAAAGGGATTATGTATTATGATTAGCGGGACAATGCAATAACGTCTATGATGCGACATCATTGGATATACATACTAGGGGTATTGATCTGTGTAATGGATGAGGCAGCAGAGCTCACAATCTCGGGCGTCTTCTCCTCAACAACGGTGTTGGGATTGGTGGTAGTAGCAGCGGTGGCGGCTGTGCTCATATGGGGTGGGGTATGAAGCTGAAAACAATAGTGATTGACAATCCACGAAAAAGACCCGATATTTGGTCTACTTTTATATAACTTCGATCGCCCGACAAAGAAAAAAAAGTTTGTTGTTCGAGATCTCAGTCATTGGTTCGTAGTTGTACTTTCCTTTTAGAGGGAAGAGCGTGTACCTTCGAAGAAGAAGGTGATTGTGTAAGCAGTTTGTATCGTATTCAGCTGCATTAGCATCTCGTATAGTATGCATAGCATCCCATTGTTCATCACATAGCCTATTAAATTATTCATAAAGTGGAGCTACAATTATACTACAACCGCTTGGTTCCTGATATTTTCTATTCTATAGGATGAATTGAGGTGGGCGGCCGCTCACCCTCCCCGATCCATCGACATCCGCTTGTTGGATGGGTTGCATGTTGGCTAGCTGACCCCATTCTAGAAACACCGCTAGTGGCTTTTGTTTTCAATGTTCTGCGAGCAGTTCCTCCTGATTTTATACAAAAAGGGAAGCCATGTCGGTCTTTCTTGTAACACAGCTCCACGATCAGAGTTGATCTACCGACCCCTCCACCATATCAAAAATTACTCGGGATATGCATAGACATACTACATTGCTACCCGTGGTTTCAATCATCTCCGTAAACACGCGATCGAAAAACCCATTCTCAATTGTTGGCTCGCTAGCGTCGTTTCATGAAAAATGATAAACAAATCTGGAACATTCATAAGACAAATTGGCCAACCAAATTTTCAGGTCTCTGTGGCATCGGCGTTAAGCGATCCCAGTGCTTGTATAAGCCTACCTGGCAATAACAAGAATAAGCATTAGCATCACACCAAAAGTTGTTTACTTACAACGTATATGAAATCAGCAATCTAATGCATGAATCAAAGATGTAGGTATCCATTGTCATTCTAGATCCACGCTAAAACCGATAAGCTCACAATGCAAAGATTCCAAGTATGTGCGGCTGAACATCCTTTAAGGTTCACATGCATCCGCTTGTGTGCTGTTGCACCGCTGCCGATGCTTTGGTGAACACAAACTTCCTATCCCACGATGCGCACGTTCCGCTTTTTCATTGAGTGTGGTATGTTGTTGATTGTTATGGACATATTGGCAAGCGATTTGATTAGTAAAGCGGTTCATTGATGACCTTGTCATCAATGCGATCAGCCATTGTTGATGATTGGTGCTATTGAATTTATCCCACACTTCCTTCTTTCCACTAAAATGGTTCTATTATTGGCTCCATTGTATCATCTGAACATAGTAGTACGGGTTCTACGTTCATCGGAATATCATAATCCACGTATACAAGGGCTGATTAGTCATATTGTAGTTCTCTTCTAAGGCAAGGGATGGCCTGTAATCATGAAATCATGCATGACGCGAACTCTGAATGTACATCTTTTGGGTGCTACATTCTCAATGCTGATACGTAGATGATTGGGCATACAACCACAAATCCATCACGCCTATAAAAATGGGTGGTGTTCGGCTATTATCTATTCTCAGACCATGGGGATCTCCCTTGTAAATTGTGGGGTATGGATGTACATAGGCGGATGTTTAGCAAAGTGGATGTACTCATTCATTTTACGTTTGCTCTTCCCTCGTATGCCTTTTTGGAGCAAATGACCCATACGTACATGGTTGATGGTTGTTGCCCATAAATCATATTCAATGTTTTATACAATTAAACCTAAATTACAATACTAACAAAGAGGTAAAATGACGTGTGTACATGAGTGAACAATAATAAGAGAGAAAGGGATATACATAGACGTGCTATTTAAGTGAAGACGGCGACTATCCTTGCAGCAGCACGGGAATACCATGGACCTGTAGGAGCTGTGGCACCTCCATTTTCGAATTGGGAATCTGTGTCTTTGTGCATGGTAGCTCCTGTGACCAGATCAACGTCCTTGAGAGGAACCATTTTCGACCTTGTGTACAATTTGGTGACAATGAATCCCACGACACACAAGACAAGGCCAGCATAATTGCCAACCAAGCCTACAGGGTCTGCTGGGACAAAGTACGAGTAACCAGTGATCAGCGCGCACACCACCGAAGCAAACATGGTAAACAAATCACCAAAGGGATGAAGTGGTGCGGTCATTGGAAGAATAGCCAAGTCCATATTTTGCACCTTGAGTGCCCTACGGAAGCGGAAATGGGCCATGGCAATACCAAACCAGGTCACAAAACCAGCAACACCAGCAAGACTTGTCAACACCAAATACAAGGCTTGGCCAGGAATGAAGGATGTGACAAAGGTGATAACGCTGACAAGGGCAGTGCAGATCAATGCACCGATGGGAACACCGCGTTTGGTAACATAGGCTGTCATAAGCACATGTTGGTCAGCTGACTATTTTCATGCAATGCTAATTTTACTATACACACGAAATCTTGTACTTACATAGCCTTTTCCATGCCACACCTTCTTGTGAAAGGGCAAGGAGCATACGACTTGAGACATAGAGACCGCTATTGGCGCATGATAAGATCTGAGGTTGAAAATTTTGGATGAGCATATAGGGAAAAGTAAAAGTTGCTGGTTGCTTACAGTAATAAGGATGATCGCATTAACCACGTGACCAGCACTTGCGAGACCACCCTTGGAAAATACAAGTGCAAAGGGAGACACGGATACCGTTTTGCTGCCACTGTGCATGTTGTGTTCTATAAAAAAGTACCTCCATGATTAGACATCTTGCTATTGTTGTAGTAGAATTCCATGATCACTTACCATCGTTCCAAGGGATAATCATACCCATCACAAAAACTACATGTGAATGTGTAATGGTTAGCTTAACCCATTTTTCCATTTATCCAATCGCCCCGAATACCTTACCTGAACCAAGATAGAAGACCAAGATTCTCCAAAAGACATTTCTAATAGCACGAGGCACTTGCTATGGATTGGATCAGCCATGCGTATTCCCACACGCATCATGATTAATTTGTCTTACCTTGCTTGGATTGCTGCATTCACCAGCCTATGGGTGTATCAGCATAAAGCGTTAGCCATGTGTGACATACATCACCATCCAGCAGATCCCATGTACGTACCGTAATGCCAATAATTTCGGTTCCTGTGTGAGAATGTCAACACAGCGTGAGTATGCCATATAGCTTTGGTTGAAAAGTTGATGTATCACGCATATTACCTTGCATACTCAATGACGCCAACACCAACGAATTAATCACACCAAGGACTCCATGAGGAAATGCATTACCATCTTGCCAATACTTGAAACCATAGACCTCATCACTAACATTGGTGCCACAACACAATATGAGAAACCAATAAACATGGCGTAGCAGTTACCAAACCTACCCAATAAGGCCACCAGAAATGCAGCAGCCGACAATGATGAAGATAAGGATGGTGAGCACCTTGATAAGACTAAACCAGTATTCAGCCTCGCCATAACTCCTTGCACCAAAGATGTTAAGTATAAAGACGATCAGCAAAAACATGAGTGACCCTAACACATAGCGAAGCGTGATGTTAGCCTCTATCCTTTTTTCGTCCCTGACCATCCGTGACAATGGTTCAATTATGCAAACTTGTAAGACTCACATGCCCAATCCGGTACGACTTGAGTCCAATACTGCATGACAAGTGGAATAGCTGTGAATTCTGCTGCTGTGATAATAGACCAACATGCCCTGTAAAACAAAGGATTAGTAATTTGATCCAATGATAGGTGTGCACGCATGCCAACAACTCGCTTACCAGTAGTTGTATCCTATTACGCTGCCGAATGAGTTGTCCACAAACCTCCGGCAAAACACTGTAAAGGATCCAGAGACCTAATCCATAGCCACGTGCCAGTTAATATTAGGGCATCCTTAAGATCGGCACATGCAACATCATGCCGTGAAAGTAGGGGGGCTGATCCAACTCACCGGAATGTATGTTGCCATCTCACCAAGGGAGTATGCCACCCAAAATACAATGAAACCAATGATTGCATATGCTGGCATCGGATATATAATAATGAATGAGCCACTTTCATTGTCCAACCGCTTGCTATTATGTGTACTTACCGATTAGAGCACCAGCAGGACCTGGAATACATACGCAGGGGTAATGTGTTAGCCGACTGCATATGTTACATGCTCACACCAATCGTATGTACAATAGGGAGCAAGAGGTTTTTTCGATCAATCCGTTACCTCCTTGATAAAGATTTGTGCCCGATGATAAGAATAGCGCTTGACCGATAACACCACCGATCGAAATCATCTATCATACATGTTCAAAAGGTGTTAGTGGTTGGTTGTCGCATAGCAACATCGTTGCCATGGGAGGGGAAAAAAGGTGGCAAAGTGCATGCTTACGTACCGATAAATGTCGCGATTTAAGCGAACGTTTTAATACGGGGCCATCCGATGATGTTTGGCCCTCGAGGGCATCATCTGATATGAATGATTCAGAGGTCTGTATCTTGTTATCACCTTCGATGACTTGGTGTTTCTCCATGATGCGGTTTGCTTAATAGAATGAAAGAGGAAGAAAAAATTGAAAAGAGCCGGAAAAGATGAGGGGTCTTTTTAACCATTTTTGATCGCATTGTCCCACGCACACCGCACAACAAGCAAAAGCAGAATAAAAAGATAAGCAACTTTCCGACCTGTCAGTTGGCCCCCGCTCCCGCTCTCTTTTTGATTCTGTTTCGCTTTTAAACTACAGCTGCATATTACGTGTATCATATCTTTGCTTATATAGCTGCTGCTTTTCATGATCGCCCTCGCACAGGGCAACCCCAGATGGCTTTCATGAGGTGGTTTCTCTTCTTTCATTGTTTCCAAACAATGGTATGCACCTTTTCAAGTCACCGGGTAGGGGGAAAGAATGACCCGTTTCATATCCGCCAAAGTATAGTAGCCTGGACACTTTTTTTTTACTGTATTCGGGAAATGATCCACGCCTCAAAACAACCAAAAGATGTTGTATTATCGGTCGCATCTATATTTCTCGACGACCATGGAAGATGAGGAATGATGTGCTCAAGCCATGGTAACGATGTATGACAGTTGACGCTCTTCTGTCGAGATATCGCATCATTTGTGATACCTATTAGGCAACTTGCCTAAAGTTCTCCGCTGTAGATATTGTGCCATAATGAGCGTGACATGTGATCCGCAATCTCGGTGGCGGTTTTTCGTTACATAGTTTGGTCTGCTGATGTAGAACCATTCATCAAGCCAACCATTGGTAATCTTTATCTGAAACGGGGATTTGCATTGTATGTGCGTGAGTATCTCTCTTAGTCTCTTACGCGTATAATGTACAAAAAAAGGTCAAAAGTGACGTAACGTGGCACAATTTCTGTATACTATGAGCCTTTTTTGCGTTTGTGCTACTGCATGTCGCAGCCTTAACAAGTGCAGAGACTACTTTTACAAGCCAGCCTCAAGATCCAATACGCTTGTTGGAAGGAAAAAAGGTCGTTGGCTTGAAGATTGGCGTTGTGCAGATCATTAGCGAATAGCGGTACATGCTGCATCTTAATGCTAGGCAACCCAAAAGCGGCCAATGAAGCGCTTTGACATCCAGCTCCTGGGTACAAATGCATGGGTCTCAAGATGATTAGCCAGAGATAATCCGAATGCGATAGATAAGGAAAATGCATATAATTTATTGACAACACCTTACGTTACTACTTTTCTCCCATAGTATTTTCAGCTTACTTATATACTGATGTTGTACATGCTTCAAGTCATGCTTTATTCTTTTATTTAACAAACGACTTTAAATCGAAACGAACACTTTTTAGTTGTCGGAAGCGATCCATTCCCAGTTGGCGGGGGTCCAGTCGATCAATTCACCAGCCTTGCCGAACCAGAGACCAATCTCCTTTTCAGCAGACTCGAAAGAGTCAGAGCCGTGGACAATGTTGCGACCTAATAGTAAGCATGTGCATGAGAATTTGTGTATCGCTTCATTTCGTATAAGGAAGGATGTTATGCAACTTACCAACAACTTGGCAGTATTGACCACGGATGGTGCCGGGAGCAGATTCGAGAGGGTTAGTGGCACCAATCATGGCACGACCTTGGCGGATGACATCCTTGCCTTCCCAAACCATAGCAACAACGGGAGCCTAACGATATACAAGTGTGCGTTAAAATATGGAACGGCATGATAATGAAACATTGTAGTTTACCTTGCCGTTGGTCATGTAGTCAACGAGACCACCAAAGAAGGGACGGCCCTTGAGGTCAGCATAGTGCTCCTCAGCCAATTCACGGGAAGGAACCATAGCCTTAAGACCAACGAGCTTGTAGCCACGCTCTTCAAAGCGAGAGATGATCTTGGCAACGAGACCACGTTGAACACCATCAGGCTAAATCATTGATTTTGGGTTAGTGGATTTTTCATTCTCCGAAGACGATTCAACAGAAAAAAACATTATCATACCTTGACAGCAATGAAGGTGCGCTCGCTGAAAGTGCCCCTACAAACCCACACGTATCAATATCACATCACCATCAATTCAACCTGGTTCATCCTAACATACTTGACACCAGCAATGGGCTTGGAGTCAGCTTGAATGGGGGTGTCTAATTGGGAAGTAAAAACAACGCGTAAGTTGCCAGGAAACAAATACAACACAACACACAACAAAAGTATACACTTACTTTGGCTGTAGGCGTAAGCAGCAACACCAACGGCACCAACAGCAGCAACCTTGCCGATGGAACGGAAACCAGCAGAGGCACCAGCACGAGCACCAGTGGAGAAGGCACGGGCTGCAAAAAATATCAAAGTGTCATTTGTCGCGTTCTATTATAGGCAACCAATATAAAAAAGCATACCCTTCATGGCAGAAGCAGCGGGTCTAGCTAATATTACATAATACAGGTAATGTCAGTACTGAATGAGGAGGCATTGGCAATGTCATGTGAAGCTTACCAGCACGGACGAACGAGCGGGCGAACATTTTCAAGTAAAAGAAGTTGAAGGGCAACAAAAGTTTGCACCCCACTCTAAAAATATACCACGCCCTTCCACCCAACTACTCCGCCCCCATCATCCACGTGCAGCAACCTCTGCCGTTGCCATGCAACGTCTCCCACCGTATATATAGATCTAATCACAATAAAAAGGGAAGGTGAATTATGCTATCAATGCAACCTTTGTTCAACACACAATAAATCAATCAGATCCCTCCTTTCCTTTGCCACAGTATTCACAAGTGATATACTACTACAATCCTGCATTTGCCATACCATAAACCTTTCCTCTCTAATACAATGCATCAAGTGCTCGCACACGATGAGATCCAACTCAGAGAGAAGGAAGGTCTCATACACTCTTCAAACTTAGAAATGGTTGTCGTGTCGCTAAAGTGACCCTTTAATCCAACATCACTCACAAGAGACTGATTGAGAGGTATAACGAATTGATCCAATGGTAGAGATACATCGATTTGGAGCTTCTATCCTTTGAGGGTGCATTGTGCAAAAAGAGGCGATAGATAGGGGTGCCATTTGATGCGTGGTGGCGGACATGGATGATGACGATTGTACATGGTTGACAACTTGGCAAAAGGAAGATCATCGTCGCTGGCATGGAAAGCATGTACAATACAGTAATTGCATTCGTCAATCGTTCAGGATGAAAGCATCAAGGTCGAAGTTGGCATTAGATACGGAAGAGCAAAGGCGCGTTTTCCACGCGTTGTTTATATCCAATTCCTTCCAATCCACGTACCAAACCAATATTCAGAATCCCATTTCCATAACGATAAAAAGTCGTGTGTATTGGAGCAAGTTGCTATGCGAAAATAAAGCTGCTTCTAGATAATGGCTATCTGCTGCCCACGTGAAAAGGCCGTAAGACAAGTTGCTGCAAGCAAAGAATGCCTGTTTGAGACAATGGAGTAAAGACCTTGCTAATGCAACTATTGTATTGAACGCTGTTACGCTTGATTGTGGCAAATGAGCGTGCAAGAGAGTGTGTAGTATCAAGGAAGACGAGTGTCGTAGTAGAGTGACAAGAAGGCTGTGTACACGCCATGCACTTGCCATTCAGTCAAAGACAATCGGATCAAGGCAATTGGAGAGTTGACATGATGGGTTGAAGCAAGACAATCGTTCGCAGGTGGTAGTTGTATACTTGAATGGGTCAACAATTGAGGATGGGAGGAAGGGGGAAGAAGCTGTGAGTGGAAGAGCAGTAAATTTTAAGTAGGTTGACCTGTGAGACACCTCCTTAAACACTGTAAGTTAAATCTTGATTATGAGATTGCCCACCTCCAACATGAAACTTTGTCAGAAGGTTTGCTGGGACATGTCGATCAACTTCATTCATTTAAAATTGACAGACTTCATTGTGAAGATTTAAAATGCGGGGCCGATCCAAATGGTGGATGATGGGATCAAAAGAGCGGACGGCCCACCGCCCCGAAGTTGCCCACCACCAACTTGCAAATGGGTCAGAAGGGTGCTCTCGAGCATGCTGATCAACTTTTTCTAATAAAGACCTCACGCTTCATTTGAAAATTTTGTGTGGGAGCGTCCAAAAGTTTGAAAGACGGAGACATTCGCAGGGTCTGCGATTCATTAATTTTCATGTTTGCTGTTCCAGTGTAGCTCAGCCAAATCGGCTCGGATCAAGAAACTTGAATGATGGGAATGCTCAGCTGGAGCAGGAGAATCGTTCACATGCAATGGATTTTGCAACAAAGGTGATTGGTAGGAAATGGCTATTAGCTCGCTATATATGGACTGCTATAAAGTATCATCTTTCTATCCTTACATTCATGCAAACGTAGCTGTGTTACACAACACGACCCTCTGCATCTTTTGCTCTGCCAGGGTCCACCTACTTGACAATGAACAAAGACCACTTCTCATAGAGCATCACGCTTACAAACATAAAGGTGCCTGTATCTCCAAACTTTACAATGAAACGTGGGGTTTTGAATAGAGCAATGGGCTCGGCTTGGCCAACAGCACCTTGTGTGAAAGTTTCACGTTCAATGTCGCAACTAGCCCAAAAATTATTTTTTTGGTCGTCGTCGTCGAAGAGGTCGACCCCCAGATCCAGTTTGGCTGGTAGCGACATTGCGAAATCTGGGATTGGCAAGCTTGATCGTGAAACTGGCACCCAAGGCGCAGTTGGCCAAGCAGAGCACATTGTTCTATCAAAGACCCCACGTTTCATTGTAAAGTTCAGAGATACAGGCACCTTTATGTTTGTAAGCGTGATGCTATATGAGAAGTGGTCTTTGTTCATTGCCAAGTAGCTAGACCCTGGGGAGCCAAAGATGCAGAAGGACCACTTTGTGTAACTCAGCTACTTTGCATGACTGGAAGGATGGGAGGATGATACTGTATACCATTGACAATAGCCCATATATTGCGAGCTATCAGCTATTTCCTCACAATCGGCACTGTTGTCCACTCTATGACATGTGAGCGGTTCTCCTGCTCCAGCTCAACATTTCCATGATTCAACTTTCTTGATCCGAGCTGATTTGGCTGAGCTACGGTCAAAGAGAGATTACATCAATCCACACATCAGCATACATTCGAATGTCTCAGCTGATTAATCCTTGTTCGACCGTAACTCAACCAAATCAGCTCGGATCAAGGTACTTGAATCATGGAAATGAATGTCTGGAGCAGGAGCATCATTCCCATCATGTGGATTTCGCAACAATGCTGATTGGATAAAAGTGGCTATTAACTGCCAATGTATGACATAAAAGTGAGAGTTGCGTACCTATCATGCATTGTCCCTGAAGTCCTGACTTTTTAGCTGAGTCACCCAAAGTGGTCCTTCTGCATCTTTTGCTCTGCCAGGATCTAGCTACTTGACATTGAACAAAGACCACTCTTCATATAGCATCACGCTTACAAACGTAAAGGTGCATGTATCTCCGAACTTTACAATCAAACGTGGGGTTTTTATTACAGCAATGTGCTCGGCTTGGTCAACAGCACCTTGGGTGCCAGTTTCACGATCAAGCTTGCCAATCCCAGATTTCGCAATGTCGCTACCAGCCAAACTGGATCTGGGGGTCGACCTCTTCGTTATATGGAGGCTTGTTTAGCCTCGGTTTTTATTGGGAGTATGTCTGAGAGTGATACCCCAAAGACGTTACAAGGATGAAGAAATGTTATAGGAAGGAAAGGAGATGACTTTAGACTTATGTTGGATCATTGTTCCCCTTTGACAGGGAACTCACCGAGGAAAGAGTAGTTGGTGTGGACGAAGACAAAGATTTACCTTGATCTTTCAAAGTGTGACAAAGACGTTCAAGTTCAGGAATCGATAAGGAGGCAATAATGGTCTTAGCGTGGTCGGACATAGGATAACGCTTTTCAACGTGCTGTACCATGGCGTCTCGATCAGGGGAAGGAGGCTGAGGTTTGAGATCAATTTGGTCATCGGGGATAAAGTCACTAATAATGGCATCATTGTGGCTTTCAAAAGGCGAAGGATCAACGCTGAGCATGGAGATATCTGAATTTGAGCTATTGACTGAATACGATGAAGGCGATGATGGTGTAGGTGGGTTATAAGTATCAGGTGTAGGCTTGACTTGACGGTTGGTACATTGGGCTGCTCGGTGACCTGGTTGGCCACAGGTCCAACAAAGACGGCTACGGCTAGGATGGCGGGGACAAGCAGAGGTCGCATGACCAGCTGTGTGACAACGAAGGCAGTGTAGCGGCATTTCAGCCCAAGTGGCGTGGAACGAATCATCTGATGTAAGCCAAGGGATAGTGTGGGAAAGCTGCTTGTACTTGTAGTTGGCTGGGATTTTCAAGGTAGCGTAACCTCGTCCCATGAAGAGGTTTGATGCATGATCACGGAAGATGCCATAGTCACTAAGGCTACCATAAGGTGCCAGGGATTTGCGAAGACCAAGTCTTAATTTGTCTAGTGTAGTGAATGGAAGATCGGAGAGTTGAAGATGCACTAAACGGGTATCAGCGGAAATGGGCTTTGAGGCAAGAATACATTCACCATCATCAAAGGTGATGCCTGTTACAGATGTCTCTTCACACTGCTTGGATGTGGGAAGGAAGAGCTCAACAATGCGGCGTGATTGATCAGAATGAAGACGTACACCACAATTGTCTGGATAGCATTCGTTGATATAGCAAAGTAGAGCAGCGCGGTTTTCGGGGCGAGACGTGAAGTCGAAAAACATGCTAGGACAAGAAGCTGGGGAACCACCAACCTTCCATACTCTGGAACGGATGGTATTGTCAGTATCTTTTGATATCAGAGACTCCTTTATAGGAGGATGAGCACGCGTAGCATGAGCATAAGATGGGTGACGTTGTTGACTGTTTTGGGTGCCTGATGCCTTATCAGGCGATTTGATAAAATTCGCGGAAGACATGGGGGGTCGACCTCTTCGACGACGACGACCGAAAAATATTTTTTGGGCTGTTTGCGACATTGAACGCGAAACTTTCACACAAGGTGCTGTTGGTCAAGCCGAGCACATTGCTCTATTCAAAACCCCACGTTTCATTGTAAAGTTTGGAGATACAGGCACCTTTATGTTTGTAAGCGTGATGCTATATGAGAAGTGGTCTTGATCAATGGAAGTAGCACGACCCTGATAGAGAGAAAAGATGCGCAGGAGCGTGTTTGTGTAATGAAGCTGAGAGGCAGTGCTTGAAAGGTTCTCATTGGTGGAGTGTGCATGATTGACCCTGCCTACCTATATGTAAGGGCCTCCTTTGATAGACCGCATGGGAATTTTTTCGGATGAACCATGGTGTGGTTAACAAGCTAAACTGATCAGAGCATCCAAGACAATGAGGGATAATGGTCTTGTTCGTCTCCAGGGTTCGTTCTCATATAAGGTGATGCATACTGTACAAGGCATGTAGCACATGCTGATAGTTCTCATAGGTAAGCATATGCATGTACTCGTGCCCCATTGTATCAGAGCTAGCTCTTTCTTAGACGTGATGATTTAAAGCCAACATACAATGGACTGCAGCAAGCTCTATTGTTGGGTACAATTACTATGTGTTTATTATCTTTGCAAATACAAGCGTCTATGTATTTAAACATGTACGCAATCCGTTATTGCCAATGTCTATCGTCTATCAGCATATGAACAAGGAAGCTTTATTAACGGATGTAATATGAAAACTTCTGAATACAACGATGTAGATGATCTAATCTCGCTTTCCGATCTTCTATTTCTATCCTCGCGTACATTCCAGAAACCAACCAGTGGATGACACAGAACCAGCGGATATCGTTGTGTCATTGTCATAAGCATCTTCATCCATGATTGCAAAGTAGCTGCTGCATGCATTGACTTGAGTATCCCAATATCATCCATGTCTGAAAAGCAACTTTCGTCAAAGATATAAGCCTTCTTGTCAATTACATCCAATCCGTCATCGTCATCCTCAGCCATTTCCACGTAACATTGGTCCATCCTTCGTATTGACGACGCGCCACGTAACCAAAACGACATTTCAGGATCAGGTATCACTGTGCTTGATTGTATCCACCCATCCATCCAAAACCAATGCAAGTCCAACATGTTGATAGAAAGAACTCCTGTGCTCGCTTGCCGACGTACCCCTTTTCCATCCAGCTATTGATCAATCGCTTGTGGTCGTTTTCTTCGCATCTCAATCAGGTGAAGAATGCTTGTATTGCGCAGTAGTGGTTGATAGCTGGTATGGCATCATTCATAACGATCCGTATGTATTAAAGCAAGCTTCAATACGTAAATAAAGTTGCCTTTACACACTGACTATCTGCTGTCCATGTAAAAACGGCTGCAAGGCATGTTGTTGCAAGTAAGAAACGTTGATTGAGACAATTGAGTAAGGCTTCGCTGATAGCAACTACTGGAATGATCGCTGTTCAATTGGTTGTGGCAGGATAGCGCGCAAGAGCGTGTGTTGTGTCAAGAGATTCGTGTGTTGTAGAGTGACAAGAAGACTGTGTACACGCCATGGACTTGCCATGCAGTCAAAGGCAATCGGATCAAGGCAATTGTAGGATCGACATGATGGGCTGAAGCAGGACAATCGTTCGTAGGTGACAGTTGTATACTTGAATGCACCAACAGTTGACAATGGGAGGAAGAGGGAGTGGAAGAAGTGGAAATTAAATAGGTCGGACACCTCTTGTATAAATGCATGAACACCGTACATTCAATCCTTGATTATGAGATTGCCCAACTCGAACATGAAACTGTCACACAAGGTGCTCTTGGACATGATGATCATGTTGATCTAAAAATGACCCACACTTCATAACAAAGAACATGAATGGCTTGAGAGATTATGAACGGATGGGAACACTAGGGGATTGTAATGCGGTAGCGTAAAAGTGTAAGCTTATTGTAAGGTCATTATACATTACTCCATGGGCAGTGTTAAACCCAAAATTCAAAGTACACGAACAAAGTAAGCAACCAAGACCGCTATTCAATATACATAACAACATGCTTTAATACCACAACAACGCTTTTGAAAGGAATTGGGCACTAATCTCTGCTATGGTTGTATGGTCATCACTAGGGAATACAGCTGCTATTATTTTAGGATGCATATCTCTATCATAGGCACGACGATAGGCCTGTAATCGTCCCACATTTAAAGTGGGTGTCCATTTAGCCATGCCATGTGGAAAGTGATCCAAAAATTCGCTTGCCAATAGCTCGGCCGTTTTGATCCCCAAACGTCTACACGACCTTATATCACGGGAGAGCCCAATGGATGTGGCCGTTTCCTTTCCAAGCAATCGCATCCACGGTAAAAGATAAGGTGCAGCATTAAAGCTCAAAAATTCAAGCTTTGGACAATGTTGATGGATCATCTGTAAAGCCACCTTGTCGCAGCGTTGCACTGAGAGATAACGGATATTGGGGTATGCTTGTAGGACATGTTCCAGATCAGGTAAAAAGAGCTCTCGCACATGAAGTTCAAGATGCATCAGCAGTGGATTGGCAGGTATCGTCAAGGCGTCTGAACTTGGGTTGTCAAGGGCAGTATAATAGCACAACTCGGTAAGATTGGGACACATACGCATCACATCTTGATAGGGTATCAGCTCCACCATAAACTCCACCAGCAGCTTGCGTAGACGACATCCCATCTTTTGCAATGCGCCCACCAAAGGCTCAACATCATCTTCGGTACATTCTACATTCGATAGAAGAGCCTATGTTAACCTTCATTCCATAGGTGGGGACTAAAAAACGATGTTCATCATACTCACTATAAATCTGGAGTGAGCATAAATGAGGAAAGTAGCCATCAGTAATCCATGACATGGCCTTTGTAAAGATCAACGGGGTTTCACAAGAGAATGTTATATCCTTCACAAAATGATGCACGGTAGTTATCCATGGGCTGATGGCATGTATTTGCTCCTTTTGTGTCATGATAATCTCTCGCCAAGGTGCTGAACAGCATGCAAGTCGATTTCGCCAGGATGTTGACACTGACAGGCATTCGACGATATCATGTTTTGTCAGCTGTTCAAGGATCAAACCAAGGATCTCTATCGGTAATCGACCAAGTGTATCTGATGAATGAAGAACGTCGCTATTATGGGTATCAGTGATGATAGTTGTTGAAGAATTGCTGATGCCACCATCGTTGTCGTTAATAAAGCTTCCTACTCTTGTGTCATCGTAATCGATAGATGATGTGACATTGCTGCTGTTGCTGCTATGATTCCTCTGCATGTTTTTGGTTCATCCAAAAGTAATCGATAAAGAAAAAAAAAGTGTGGAGCAAAACAAAACTGCCCCATTTCCCAGGCACCAAATCATAGGATATAAAAGTGAAACCTCCGATCAGGGTTGATGGTCTTTATTGGTACACCATCTGGGGTAGCTCTACCGGTTGTTTCAGGTACCAATCATTATAGACACTTCCAAGCCATCTCGGCAAACCGCTTTGCTGGGACATGTGCAACATCGATCTGAAAGCCAAGTTGCATTGAGCACTTTTTCTTTTTCGAGCACCATCCTATCCGATGTGAATGGCTTACCACAACCTCGAATAATGTATCAAGTACGCCATCAATGCTTGCATCACTCTTGACGTCTTGATGGACTCGGGCACATATCTTGGCCAGGTCTTGTTCCAAGAAAATCCAATGCTCATAATAGCTGTTGTCATCAAAGACCATCGTTGCTATGAACCATCACTATTATCAGCTCCTATTGTCGCCTCATCATATAGCAACTTGATCTTACCTTTTGCAGAGCTCATAAAGTGGTCCACCACTTGTGCCTTGCATTTTGCCACAGCAAGCTCCAGATTCATGCCTTGATTCAACTTTGTCTTTGTACATTGTGTTAAAAGCTACTCTTCACGTGGATAGAACAACGCTTTTGTTGTTATTCACTTACCCTTAGGTCTTCCTCAAACATCTTGGCACAAGTGCTACGCAGGATTTTCAGTTGATGTGCGCATAAGCTCTTGAGATGGGAGTGAAGCTTGTCCAATAGATCATTTCGGCGTGCCTCATGTACACCAGCAAGATAAGATTGAGCTGCCTTTGTATCATACGTCCGCATCTCTTGATCTAGAATCTCCTTCATGCGCCTTCCAAAATCAGGTATCATTTGATTTTGCTCGAAAACTTGTTGATTGAAAGGAGTGAGCCTACTGATAAATCGCCCATACACAGCCTAGATGTAAAAAGACAACGCTTGAGTCAATTTGATAGCAATGAGATATAATGTAGATCACCATCACATACCCTATGCAAGTTGGCCAATTGAGCTTGGTATACATCTCGTTGACTCAATTCGATCCTTGACAATAGCTCGTCCAGCCTCGTACGACATGATCCATGTAGACATTCACGCACTTTGTCATCAAAGTCTTCTTTTGTTTTCCTCCGTACTCGGTCCACTTGTTGATCCAAATTCGCAATCACTCGTCCCTCGAGTATCACTCGGCAGCGTAGACGATGTAGTCTCTCATTCAAGTCGGCCTCATTCTTTAATTTCATAAATATGATAGTTAGTGTTACACTCCTAATATTATCTTGCGGTTTTAAATACCTTGTTGAATATCTCGGCGCAATCATGATGTGTTGGGGTGATGACGTCTTTTGAAAGTCGAGGAATATCCGTTGCCGTCTGATTCACAAATGACTCTTGTGATGGTGTGTGCCGAGGTTGGCTGTTGATGTCAGGATTCTCAATAGCTGCAAAGCTGTTGATATCATTGCTGTTTGGTGCAGGTGTATCATTCGAATGTAGACATGTTGCAATTGATGTATGCATCCACATTGACATGGCAAAGGAGAGATATCCATCAACAGGAACCAGTTGATGTGACGACTTGAAGGCATAATTTGGACCATGAAGATCATCAAACACACTAATTAATTCATGGCTGTCAGCATACAACCATCCATGTTGATCCCAACTAATTTACCGTTCTTTCAGCTTTTCGACGCGAAGATTGAATTCGGCAGCTTGTAGCTTTTTATGTGGCAGAGCTGTAACCATGAAATCAAGGTAGTCTCGGATTTGTGAGTCTTTTAGATTCTCTGGCTACAAAAGGATGATAAGTACCATTTGTAAAGAATAACACGCGCCGTAATTTTACCTTGTTCACGTCGCTCCAAACCTTTTCCAAGCTTTCATCCAATGTTTTCCTTACAGCAGTCAAAGGGACATCATCCTCATGATCACGAACAATGATTAAGATCATCGGCTTGCATCTATCGTTGATATGAGTACATAGAATTAAGCTTGGTGCTAAAGGCAGCCTTGGAAAGCGACTTACTGAGTTGGCAGGTCCATTTGCAGTTTCAATTCAAAGACGAGTCGCAATAAATCCATGTTGGCACCGACATTCAATCCAACTTGATGTTCCCAAAGGTTGAAAATAAGCACGGAGCTGCTCGCCATCAAGAACAAGGTGGATTTGCAATCGAAATCATAATCATCCAATCCTTGAGTATCCATCACCAACACTGGTTTGTCTTGAGCTCTGCTTATCCATATCCCCTTGGTACCAGGACCGAATTCGCCAGCTTTTCTTTCAGTGAATGTGGTTCCAAAGAGTCGGTTCAGCAAGGTGCCTAATTATTTTATACATAGCCATGCAGGGTGAGTATGTGATGGCACTGTCAACGAAAAAGAGTAGTTTCACGTGCACTCACTTTTGCCACATCCACGCGTTCCAAATGATGATACGACGTGATAATCGATACCAACGTCGTCAAGGCCCCACTGGTCAATAATAGCATCGGGTATCTCATCACTAGACAGGCAAGCATGGCAAAGGTTGGAGGGGGGGAAAAGGTCCATTTTGACATGAGTCACTCAAACGACCAGTACGTGCGTTTAAAAGCTCACATGAACTGCTGGTCGTCCTTGACTATCTGAAGTTGAGTGAATGGCGCCTTGGTAGAGCAATCGTTGGTGGCCATTGACAAGGCTGAGTCGGTGGTGACAGTGTCGTCGGCATAATCAAGTCTCATTTTTGGAAGAAGGAGCCAAGGAAGGCTTGGCATCACGCCCCTATTTGGCTTTAAAAGTGCCCATCGTGCCACACAATGGTACAACCTATTACTACCGCCTATTTTGTACAGTGCTGATGAATGAGCTCTCATGCAGGTCATATCCTATTTTACACATGCAGGGCACCAGCACAACAACAACGATGCCTGCCCGCCACCAACAGCTATCAATGGGAGCGTTGTACATCGCGTAGTTGTCTTCTTCGTTCTCCAAATAATATGTATCCATGGCAACAAATATACTCCTATTTTTATCTACCACGACATGAAAAGTGTTTGGGTCTCAGTGTTGTATTGTTCAGTTCCCTCTTTGATTGAGCACTGGAAATGCAGCTGTAGTCAAAAAAGGCTCCTGTACTAAAAAGCGCTCTGTACTCTTTCATGTACACGTGATGTCATGGAGTCGTTGTCAGCCATGCTCATATCCAAAGCCGTCGCTAGATGAAAAATATGCATGCAGCATCGCGTTAACTCACACACACCAACAAATAATATCACCGATCTTCGATCCAATGACGAGAGTACTCTACTGCAGTATCCTCAATCACAGCGTACGATCCGAATGTGACCACCCATCGATCAAAGTATCACTCACCATTGAATCATCGATGCTGTCAGAGCAATGTCATTACTGTACATAGAATGATGCTTTGATAAATTGATCAGTGACTCGTGTCAATGTGAGGTCAATCGTTCATGTTGGTGTCAGCTGCATATAAGAACGCCGGTAATTGTGTGTATGATGTCAACGTCGTAGTACAACAACAATACGCAGATCTTGTTGTGTCATGTGGTCGATCCTTTTTGTAGCGTGTTTTGGTTTTCTTTTTGTTAAAAGGTTCCACGACATGATCGTCTCTTGGCAAAGGGCTGCAGCATCGTAGAAAATTAGCCGCTACTTGCGACTATGTACTGCAACAAGAAGGGAGGTGTCAGCACGTTATGGTAAGCGTATGTTTTTATGTATGTCGCCGAGATTTTGATACCCGTTTGTTTACAGTGTGGTTTCCCCTTACATATAAAAGACAATCCCTCAGCCAACAGCATCTTTTTTCGTTGATTCATTTTCCTTTCCCTCCAACACCACCACACTCCCCTTGTCATGACTGCAGCTTATGCGAATAAAGCTTACGATCCAACACGTATGTACGCACATCAAAATGGCTATCCTCTTCAATCACGTTGATTGTTGTTGTACGCGTATGTCATATATAGATGATGCGGTGTCGCCTTCACAAAGTCGCAGCAAACCGCCTCTAACAGAACGAAATCGCTGTGTGCGTTACCTTTGTTGTGCGTGTTGCCTTCCCGTATGGGCACGGTGGATTGTGTGGTTCATTATTATAGCCATCATTATCCTGATCATCATCTTTGCTGCTTTGTTTGCTACTTTTACTATGCCATCATTTGACTTTGCAGGAGTGAGCAACAGCTCCTCAGATACCCAACCATCAAGACTTAGCTTTGATGGACACGTTGCCAAAATCAACTTTGATCTTCTCATCCATGCTCAAAATCCAAATGTGCTTGGTATTGATTTATCGCAGATCAATGCAACGGCAAGTATCATCATTATCATCATCATGTTTGACGCGTACTAATGTATGTATTTATAATTGCTACTACTACAACAGGCATATTACCCATCATCATCAGGTCCAATTAACGTAGGAGGTGGATACTTGGATCATCAATTCGTATCCCCACATGCCAATGAGAACTTCTCTTTTCCTTTTGCCATTGAATACGATCCATTTGGGCCATCCCATGAAACCATCCTTAAGCTCTTGATCGAAAAATGTGGATTGACAGGTGGACAACCCCAGGATTTAAACATTGATTATACGATCCACTTGACCGCCAAAGTATTGTTTGTTACAGTGCATCCCACCATCCAATCATCCACCACGTTTAAATGTCCTCTTGAAGACGTAAGTTATAAACATGTTTTATTTGCATTGATCATTCATGTCTTTTTATACATAGGGATCGGCATTACTTGGATCAGGAATGCCAGGATTACAAACTTTGGGTGGGATACTTCATGGTCGGTAGGGGGATCATGTACGCATCAATAAAAAAGCAACCATCATTGAAATACCCATTGCATTTGATTTGACACTTGGTCTGTGGACGAATCAAAATGACTCATTCTTTATCGATCTGTTGACAGAAATCAAGCAGCGATCCAAAAAAAGTTTCAGTCTCATTCTTTCTCTCTCTCTATCAACCTTTCTCTTTTTCCCTCCCTCTCTCTCTCTCTCAGCAACAACAATGAAGTACCGATCGACTCGTGGACAAGTCAAGGATTATTCCTTTGAGGAAGCCGTCATGGCTGGTCTTTCACCTGATGGTGGTCTTTTCATTCCTCAACACATTCCTCAAATCCCTGCGAATTGGCGTCAAGCCTGGGCCAACCTTTCTTTCCAAGAACTCGCTGTCGAAATCTTGAGCATGTATATCGATGATTCCGAAATCCCTCGGGCCGATTTGAAGGGTTTGGTGGAGCGATCGTATGCAACCTTCCGTGATAAGGACGTGACCCCTTTGCAAAAGATCCGTGATGGTCTTTATGTCCTTGAACTTTTCCATGGTCCTACTTTTGCCTTTAAGGATGTGGCTCTTCAATTTGTTGGCAACTTGTTTGAATACTTTTTGGAACGTCGCAACCGTACCGATACATTAGGCAAGGTGCATCGTTTGACCGTTGTAGGTGCTACATCCGGTGATACTGGCAGGTAAGCAATTCATGCATGTGTGTGTATGTGATCAAGTAGGCTTATCAACATCTTAGTGCTGCTATCTATGGTCTTCGCAACAAGAAGAATGTCTCTGTATTTATCCTTCATCCTCACGGCCGTGTCAGTCCTATCCAAGAAGCTCAAATGACCACTGTATTGGACAACAATGTGCACAATCTCTCTGTACAGGGTACCTTTGATGATTGTCAGGTAAAGGAATGGAATGGTATACTTTCATTGGATTATCATCTGACATGATGGATATGGTAGGATATGGTCAAGACTCTCTTTGGTAATAAGGAATTCAATGATCGCCATCATCTTGGTGCTGTCAACTCGATCAATTGGGCTCGTATTCTTGCACAAACCGTTTACTACTTCCACGCCTACTTTTTGACCTTGCGTTCACTCAACATTGATCCCGCCTCCCCTGAAGCTGATGCCATCAAGATCAACTTTTCGGTCCCCACTGGCAACTTTGGTGATATTTTGGCTGGTTACTTTGCTTATCGTATGGGATTGCCTGCCAACAAGCTTGTTGTTGCTACCAATGAGAACGACATTTTGTATCGATTCTTTGAGAGCAATGCTTACGAGAAGCAAACGGGTGCTGATGGCAATGTCAAGGAAACCTTATCACCTGCCATGGATATCTTGGTGTCCTCCAACTTTGAGCGATTGTTGTGGTATCTTGCACGTGAATTTGAACAAGGTGATGACGCCACTGCATCGGATGCTGCTGGATGCACTGTAGCTGGATGGATGCAACAACTCAAGGATCAAGGAAGTTTCCGTGTCAGCGATCAAGTCGTTGCCTCTGCACGCAAGATCTTTGATTCAGCCAATGTGACGGATGAACAAACCTTGTCCACCATTCGTCAATACTATGAACCCGCTACCAACCAAGCCAAGTACGTCCTCGATCCCCATACATCCGTTGGTGTTACTGCTGCCGATCGTCTCAGTGAGCAACGTCAATTGACCGCATACCCCAAGGGCAACCATGTCATGATTTGCCTTGCTACCGCTCACCCCGCCAAGTTTTCCGATGCTGTGGAAACCGCTCTCAAGCCCGTTGAAGGTTTCAACTTCCAAAAGGATGTCTTGCCCAAGGAGTTCATTGGTTTATTAGACAAGGAACGCAAGGTGGTTGCTGTTGAACGTGCTGATCCACAACTTATCATGGACGTCATTGAGCGTGAATTGCGCACCGAAGGCATCCAATTCTAGATTAGACTTTTCTCTTTCCCCCCACAAACACTTACTATCACCATCACTTCATTTTGATGTCCTCGTTTCCTCTTCCTCCCATATTTTAAACATCTAACGCACGCACACACGCACATATGCATATACAGTTTGTCATTTTGGTACATATATAATTTGGAAACATGTTTTCGGGTCCGTGCATCCCACATTGAGGTTCCACAAAGTTCAGCTCGTGACACATATAACCGAGTTCCGGGTACATGCAAATCGGGAAAGAAAAAGCTTTATACATAAACATTGTGTTTGGATCAACAAAATAGTAAGAGAATGCCAATAGATAATAAAGTACTACTAAAGAAACTTGGGTAAAACAATGTCTTTTAGCAGCATAGGCATGACGTTGCAATAGGAAAATACTAGGCTACGACGTATCAATGGAAAAAAGTGGGGGAACATATAAAAGGGCGGTGTACTAGCTATACACTTAAAAGGGCACAGATGGTGTTGAGAGGAATGACATGTCTCCAAAAGTATTGAAATCATCACCAGACATCCAAGGAAACTGAGGGGAGTTTAATACCAATGTATCGTTTTCATTGAGATGGGGTTCAAAACTTGACGTATCCACGATAGGGCCCTGTTGCCATGGAGACTGTTTGGTCATGGTCATGTGATCGAGCATCATACTTTGTGGGGTTGCTGCTGCCATCCAATCGTAGAAACCAAAATCACCACATTGTTGCTGCTGCTGTTGCTGGTTCACGGCAAAGCTTGTACTTGGCGTAGGTAGATACGGGCTTGTTGCTTGGCAATGATGATGATGATGATGAGGGATCGTCATCATGTTGTCAGAGGTGGTTGAAGTTACAGTGGATGAAGAAGACGAAGAAGACCAAACGGGTGTTTGCTGTTGATGCGTCACCATGGGCGTGGATGATGATGATGAAGAAGAAGACCAATTGGGCTGTAGATGTTTTTGATGATGTTTGGGTGGAGAAGGTGGGACAATGCGACGCTTGACATAATAACGCGTACCAGGCATTCGCAAATGCACTTGTGCAACACCAAAGTAAACCCGAGCTTGGACAGGTAAATGTGAATCCCGAATATTAATGTAATGGCTGGTTTGGCGCGTTTTACGTTGCTGGTAAGCTTCTTCAATGATACGATGATTGGGAAGATCAAACTCGGTAAAGTATGTATTCTCCAACATGAATCCCCAAATCACCCTTGGCTTTTGATGCTTTTGTTGGGGACAAGCCGTAAGGCGGCTACTAGTATCACTGGTAGCGGTAGTCGTCGTAGTAGTGGTCAAGTTGCTCATGATTTTGGAGGGGACAAAGAGATCAGCGATCCAAAACGACCCTGAATGTCTTGACGCCTTTAAAAAAGCTGACATTTGTAATCACCATGACAGGGTCGGTGGATTGTGCTGATCATCTGCAAGGTATTTTATTGGTTCGACGATCGTCTGGGTCACTCTAAGGGATCAAAAAGTAACATCTCCTCCCCGTTATTCGTGAATCGTCAAGCAAAGAGTAGTAAGTTCGTGCCCGGTTCTTCGCTCCTTAGCTGCAGCCTTTCCCCCGAAACCCCAACAACAACAAACAAATCAAAAATGGAGCATATTGTAGAAAGATCATACATCCACCATCTACACTCTAAACACAGATAAGGTTTTTCGCATCTCGTTTCCACACACACACACACACCACATTTTCTCCCTTTCTTCGTGCCTTTGTACTGTGAACGGTCATTGACCTCGTGACACTTTCAAGCAAGTTAATGGTGTTGGGTTGACAGCATCAACATTAGGCAATCCCGGCCATCAGGATTTAAGGTTCTCCTGATAATGAGTGACTCATAATCAATTCGTGGTAACTTGGTCATGAAACGTTCCCACTTGTATGTTAAGAGCTCTTATTATATAGCGTTTTGAGGGTGTTGGAAGAAGAACAAGCAACCTACATACGTATGCATGATGGATTAATTTTTGGCCGGTGTATCCATTGGCATGTCAACTAACCAGGTCGTCGCAAGAAGGGCATTGGTAGAACAAGTTTCTTTCCATCTACGCAGTAAATGTGTCAATCAGGGTCCAAAACATGATCTCGGGACCATTGACACTTTTGAGGACATGGAAAAGCAATCCTGCATAGAATTGTGACATGTGTCATGCATCTTTTTGATTTGTTTATGTGCGTATGTGTGCTGAGTAACAACGATGAGTACACGTGTTTTGAGCCCATCTGGCATAATAGACCGATTTGGTTATAATGCCATCAACATTTGATTCCGAGCCGATGTCTCGTATTCCATCAGACGACGTTAACAGCTGATAGCCCTGACATAATGCGCAATGGCCGTTGGTAAAACTGGATCCTCATCAACACGCATCCATATTACCCCCGTGAACTTTTTCACTTACCATGGTGATCAGCAGAGAGACCAAGGTCCATGTACCTACGTATACGCGTATAGTACTTTTTCATGCACAAAAGAGTCCGTGCCCACAAGCAGTATGTAGATGTCCACCCCCTTGCATCATCCATATCTCAATGTTTTACACCACCCGCTTCAAATGGGTAAAACGGATGATGTTATGATCACCAACGTGGATTTTTCGTGTGAAATAAACGAATGCTGCAGCTTGTAAATGTCATCCATCAACAACAGCCTGACACTATTATTCACACGCGTAGGATTAAAGACGTGATGCATACATACATTGGCTGAGATTCTCAATCGATCACGAGGGCAAAAAGAAGGAACAATTGCAAACTCCTTGTTTATGCAAGTTGCATGACCCTATCATACAATGTTCTTTTCACGGTCCCCGTTGTATGAGTTGGCTGTATCAAACCAATAATTGTTTATCTGCTATCGAAACTAAAGCCTTTTTTCACATGGGCCTTTGCATCAAATGTTTTGCATAGGTGCAGCTTTGCTGATGCTCAATACTACTACTCACAAATCTCCAGTGATGAGAAGGCGCCTTTAATTGTTTCGGATAAAGCCACCTGGCTCTCTCATGTGGTAGTTGTAAACCACTTTAGCTGCATCAAGTTGGTTGGGATTTTGTAAGACATGTAGGAGCAGAATCGACACATCTTTCCATTTTCCCTTGAGCATACATAAAACGAGGAGGTTGGATAGTCATACCCCAAAACAAACCATGCAGCCCATTCACAAAGACCTTCATTCGTCATATGAAGCTTGTGAACTTTCTCAATGTTCTAAGCTACTACATAAACCATCCACTTGTCAAGGTATGTACCTCTAGGATGAATGGATGCATACAGGAGGCCGTTAATGTAGCGGTCGAGAACATCTACAACGTGTGTGCATCGATGAAGGTACCAACGACGTTCAATTTTTGAAACGAACACCCACACAAATATCCTTAAAGAAAGACTTTTTCTTGGTTCAATGAACCAATTGGACATTTATCTAAGTCGCCTTCGCATAAAGCATTCGTCAAGCATACCTTTGTAACTTGAAGGGCCTTCCTCTTTGCATCTCACTTTATTCAAATCCAGGCCATGCATCCTATTTCCATGCCATTGAATCATCATTGTTGCTTTCAAAACTACTCGAATGCTCGTACATCATTCCAAATGACATGTAGTGGACGTTTAAATAGCACAACAACAAAGGGTTTGTGGTAGCAGATTGGTCTCATTGCTTGATGATTGACATTGTTACAACTTTGCCCCATCCGTGGATGGTAGGTTCTTGTTTATTATATGTGGAGAACAATGATCATATGTATCTACTAGTAGGCCTCTTTAGGAGGATTAGACGACATTACTAATGAACAAGGCACCCATACATTTACCAGCTAGCATCAACCACCTTTGTTTTTTATTACTTGAAGAGATCAATGAATGAAGTTTGATAAGCTAATACTATACTTGAGAGCTCAAACTGCTGGATTATTAATAATCAGGTACATCAACATGTAGAAAGCAGAGGATGCATTATTAGAAACGCCGAAACTGACGTCAGGTCAATTTGGTGACAAGAGAGGCAAAACAAAGGTATATCATCGCTCTTCCGTCAATAGCTGATCGACCACCCTCTCACCCCCCTACTCTTTTTTCCCTTTTATAATGCTTCGACAGTCCATTGTTCGACGAGGTTAGAAAGCAATTGCGCGTAGAAACGAGGAAAGGAAAAACAGGCTAACATGAGACCATCGTCACTACCACCAACAGCAGCAGCAGCCACCACCACCTCCCCCGTTGCTCGCAACATGCGTGCTGTTCCTGCCACCATGGCACGCACCTATGCCAGCACCAGCACACCCGATCCCAATGCCAACCCCATCACCGGCAAGACGACATTTGGCAGCCTGTCTGATGAGGATCGTATCTTCACCAACTTGTACCTCCGTCACGACTATCGCTTGAAAGGTGCCTTGAAGCGTGGAGACTGGTACAAGACCAAAGAACTTGTTCTCAAGGGTCATGAATGGATCTTGGATGAAATGAAACAATCCGGTCTTCGTGGTCGTGGTGGTGCCGGTTTCCCTACAGGCTTAAAGTGGAGCTTCATGAACAAACCATTGGATGGGCGGTAAATAATGCCACACACACACACGTGACACAAAGACATGTCAAACTCATATATATCCTTATTCATTCTAGTCCACGCTACTTGGTTGTCAATGCTGATGAGGGCGAACCTGGTACATGCAAAGATCGCGAGATTATGCGAGGTGATCCACATAAGCTCATTGAAGGATGCTTACTTGCTGGTGTTGCTATGAAGGCCAATGCTGGTATGTGTGTTTGTGTGTGCGTGCAGAGGAAAATAAGGATGGTGGACTCAACTTTTTATTGTAGCTTATATCTATATCCGTGGTGAATTCTATCAAGAAGCATCGCATCTTCAAGAAGCTATCAATGAGGCATATGAAGCTGGTTTGATTGGCAAGAATGCTTGTGGCTCTGGTTATGATTTCGACGTTTACATTCATCGTGGTGCTGGTGCTTACATTTGTGGCGAGGAAACTTCGCTTATTGAATCCATCGAAGGCAAGCAAGGCAAACCTAGATTGAAGCCACCTTTCCCTGCTGATGTCGGTCTCTTTGGTTGTCCTTCCACTGTCACCAACGTCGAAACTGTGGCTGTTGCTCCCACTATTTTGAGACGGTATGAAAGCAATACAAATGGGCGTGCTCATCCATTAACTAACCTTTTCTTTTCTTAACAGTGGTGGAAAATGGTTTGCCAGCTTTGGCCGTGCACGTAATCAAGGTACCAAGCTTTTCTGTATCTCAGGTCACGTCAACAACCCATGCACTGTGGAGGAAGAAATGTCCATTCCTTTGCGCGAGTTGATTGAAAAGCACTGTGGTGGCGTACGAGGAGGATGGGATAATCTTCTTGGTATTGTTCCTGGTGGTTGTTCAGTTCCTGTTTTGCCCAAGCATATTTGTGATGATGTTTTGTAAGTGAAAGTTGGCAACTTTATTTGGTGGTATATACTCACCTTTGTATAGAATGGACTTTGATGCCCTTCGTGATGTCACATCAGGTCTTGGTACTGGTAGGTAACAAAAGCACACACGATGGAATGTGAATGGTCCACTCATCAATGAACGTATGGTGTCTGTTTATGTTTGTCTCTTATAGCTGGTAAGTACTACCTATTGTGCATGGTTCGGAATATGACATGGGATATTGATGGTTACACATTATAGCTGTCATTGTCATGGATAAGTCCACTGATATTGTTCGTGCCATTTCTCGATTTGCCAAATTTTATCGTCATGAATCATGCGGCCAATGCACACCCTGCCGTGAAGGTACAAAGTGGCTCGAGATGATGATGGATCGTTTTGAAGATGGTCAAGGACGCCCTGAAGAGATTGATCAGCTCTGGGAGCTTACAAAGCAAATTGAGGGCCATACCATTTGTGCCTTGGGCGATGCTGCTGCATGGCCGGTAAGGATAAAATTGCTTTTTGGATCATGTAGTGGTACTTATTTTTCTGTTCTGTTTAGGTTCAAGGTTTGATTCGTCATTTCCGCCCCGAGTTGGAGAATCGTATGGCACAATTCCAACGCTCGCTCGAAGCTCAGCAACAAGCTCAACAATTGCATGCTTAGAAAAGACACTCTTTCCTTATACAGTAGACACATATATCGCCCCCCGCTTAAATACACACACAGTACACCACGCGCTTTGAGTCCCGCTTGCATATCGAGCAAAACTTGCCTGAATCGGTCAATCCAATGAGTTGGGTATCTAGAACTCAGCTACCTTTCAAATGCCTCGTTGACCACACTTTTTCCCCCCACACGCGTCTTCTTCCTGCTTCTTCTTTTTATTTCAACTCACATACTAAACGTAAAAAAGGTACTGTGTTGTTATCATTTCATTCAATGAGCTATGCTCTTGTGTTGGGAGGAAGGGAATCAGGGCTCTACATTAAGAACATGTCAACGTGAACGCGAAGCTGACCAATGAGCGATCTACAGTAATGTGCAAGTCTGCTGCCCCATCCGGAGAACGCCAAGTGCTTCCCACCAATGTCAAGCCTGTTCACTACGATTTGACTATCAAGCCTGATCTCAATACCTTTGTCTTTTATGGCCAAGTCAAGATTGAGTGAGTTTCTTCATGTACGCGCGTCTTGTTTGCATATACCAACCAATGACCCACCCTTTAGTCTTGAAGTCAAGGAAGATACCACCAAGATTGTTTTGAATACGCACGAGATCAAGATCCACTCTGCTACCTTGTCCTCTGCTAGTTTGAAGACTGAGACAAAGTACGTTGTTGACGCGCATATGGGATGTATATGAGCATGCATGGTTACTTATAATATGCCGCTATGATTGGGTAGGCAAAAGGCCAAGGAGATCGAGTACGATGAAAAGAAGGATTTGGCAACATTGACCTTTGAAGAAGGTGTGCCTGCCAACACCAAGGCTGTATTGGATATTTCGTTTGAGGGTATCTTGAATGATCAAATGGCCGGCTTTTACCGCTCTTCCTACAAGGATGCTCAGGGTAACACCCAGTAAGTATTCATCGTCCCACCCCATGTGTGTGTATGTGTATGCATACTCATCTCTTCTATAGGTACTTGGCAACCACACAATTCGAAGCTACGGATGCTCGTCGTGCATTCCCTTGCTGGGATGAGGTATTGTATTGTTTGTTGTGGGTGGCGTGGAAAAAAAGGAGCGATGAAACGCTGACCCTACTTGCCCCACACCCCACTCAACCCCTTATAGCCTGCTCTTAAGGCCACTTTTGATGTTACACTTGTTGTCCCATCTGAATTGACTGCCTTGTCCAACATGAATGTGACCTCGGAGAAACCTTATTTGGAATCTGGAAAGTTGTCAGGCAAGACCGAAGGAAAGACCGAAGGCAAGACTGAAGGCAAGACCGAGGGCAAGACCGAAGGTGGAAGTGCTAGCAACCAAAAGCTCAAGGAAGTCAAGTATGCCACCACGCCTCCTATGAGTACCTATCTTCTCGCTTTTGTCGTGGGTCCATTCGAATACATTGAGGCTTACACTTCGGGTGAACACAATGGTCATCCCATCAAGACACGTGTCTATGCTTTGCCTGGTTCCGTGGAACAAGGTCGCCATGCTTTGAATGTCGCCACTGCTGCTTTGGAGTACTTTGCCAATGTCTTTGGTGAACCTTATCCCTTGCCAAAGATTGACATGGTTGCCATTCCTGATTTTGAAGCTGGTAAGTGAACGATGATTTTGAAAGGAAAACATGTGCTTACATGATCCTCCCTATTACTAGGTGCAATGGAAAACTGGGGTCTTGTCACTTATAGAAACGTTGCAGTAAGTAATGATGATGGTATATCATTGTTAGTGTCCAAGGCAATTAACACATGGGGAAATAGCTTCTTTTCGATGAAAAGTCATCATCCATTGTATTCAAAAAGAGCACCGCCTATACCGTGTGTCACGAACTTGCCCATCAATGGTTCGGCAACTTGGTAAGGTTATGACAAAGGGCATCCTTGTTCTTGGGCTCACTTTTACTATGCCACTTAGGTTACCATGGAATGGTGGGATCATCTTTGGTTGAATGAAGGCTTTGCTACTTGGGTTGGTTGGCTTGCTGTCGATCACATTTTCCCTGAATGGAACATTTGGGTCTCCTTTGTGAATGAAGATATGCCTCGTGCTTTGAGCTTGGATGCTTTACGTTCGTCTCATCCCATTGAAGTGGCCGTCAATGACCCTGCCGAGATCCACCAGATCTTTGATGCCATCTCTTATTACAAGGGCGCAAGCGTTATCCGCATGCTTAGCTCGTGGCTCGGTGTTGATACTTTCCTTGCAGGCGTTCGTCGCTATCTTCGCAGACACAAACTTGGCAACGCATCCACTTCGGACTTGTGGAAGGCATTGAGTGAGGAAGCCGGTCAAGATGTCTCGCAATTCATGCAACTTTGGACTAAGCGTGTTGGCGTAAGTATCGTAACATGGAACATGTGTATGTGTGACAAGGCAAATGCCCTGACTAACAATCTTTTATTAAAGTATCCTGTGCTCAAGGTTGAGGAGCTCGGCAACAACTCTATTGAAGTTACACAATCTCGCTATCTTTCTACCGGTGATTTGGAAGCAAAGGAAGACACGTGAGTGAATCATCCCTCTTATTTAACATTGGGTTATTGACAATGCCTTATAGCACTGTTTGGTGGAATCCTCTTGGCATCCTCACTCCTGAAAAGATTGAATCCTACACCTTGACCGAAAAGTCCCAAAAGTTCACTGTGCCAGAGAGTGGATTGTTCAAGTTGAATGCTGGACAAACAGCCGTCTATCGTGTCAATTATCCTATCGAAGTTGTCCGCCGATTGGGTGAAGAGATTAAGAAGGGATCCGATGGTATGCTCGCCAACGCTGCCGATCGTGTTGGATTGCTTGCGGATTCTGGAAACTTGTGTGTGAGCGGTGAGCAATCTACAGATGCCTTTTTGGAGTTGGCCCAAGCATTCACCAATGAAAAGGAATACTTGTAAGTGGTTCAAAAAAGTACACAGCCAATGTATTCATCATCTTTTACGTATTAGTGTTTGGTCACAATTGAGCGCTCATTTGAGTGGCATTCTTGGTGTATGGGCCAAGCAACCTGAGGAGGTCGTTAACACGCTCAAGGCATTGCGTCGCAGCTTATTTGCTCCCGTGGCTCACCGACTTGGTTGGGAGTTTGCCGAGAATGAGGAGTACTTGACAACGATCCTTCGTGTTCTTGCGTTGACAAATGCTGGTCGATCCAATGATGTTGAAACTGTTACTGAAGCCAAGAAGCGTTTCTGGAAGTTTGTTGATGGTAGCAATGACGCATTGCATCCAAACATGCGTGGCCCTGTTTATGGTATTGTTTTGTTGACGGCTGAGAATGAGCAAGAAGAAACCAAGGTGTGGGAGGCCATTCAAAAGATTTATTTGGACGAGAAGCTCCCAACGGATCAACGCATGATTGCACTCAATGCTCTTGGTGGTGCCAAATGCCCTGATCTTATCAAGCGATACCTCGAAATGTCGATGGATGATAAGCAAGTACGTGGCCAAGATTCCATCTATGTCTTCCGATCGTAAGTAGATAAAGGAGAAAAAGGAAATCCTGTGGAAAAGGAATTCATTAGCATGAATGATGTATGCTGATCATCATCATCATCCTTAGGTTGAGTGTCAATGCAGATGCTCGTGATCTTTTCTGGGAATACTTCAGGGAGAATTATGACGCTCTTCATGCCAAGTTTGCCAAATCTATCAGCTTGTTTGGTTCTGCAGTGCGTTCGGTTGTTGGCGGTTTCACTACATTCGAAAGATTGGAAGAGATTGAAGCCTTCTTTGCCAATAAGGAAACCAAGGAATATGAACGACCTCTTCAACAGGCTCTTGAATCCGCCAGAGTGAACGCCAAATGGCTTCAACGGGATGCTGCTGTAGTCGAAGCTTGGGTGCGCAAGAATAGTGCCAAGTTCCAATAATGATGATGAGACATCATCTTTGTATGTATACATTTGTGAATATGAAGTAAAGGAGGATACCTTGATGTAAACAAAAAGTCTACTTGAAATGAACAGGAGTGCTGATCGATGATGCTGGGTCTACACTTGTTGAGATGTTGGTGGGGGAGGAGGGGGGGAAAGGAAGCAAGGAAGGTTACATGTTTATAGACAACAGATTAGGTTGATCAACCATCTTTCCTTCAGAGCACACACACACACACACACAAACGCACATGTTTCACCTTTTACGTCTCCTTAAGTCAACAACGCATGGGGCATGGAATTCCCATTTTAGGATACAAGTTGCAACATGTCAAAGCGAATAAGATTAATCCTCCAAGGTTGTCAATAGGAGATGGGCACTGTAGAGAGCCTGATGGTGATACACAATGTTAGTAATTGACATGCTGCATGCTCCTTGGGGGTAAATGACATGAGGAAGCTCCTGATACGCAATTGACAGGCACGTGGGATCGATCCAGTGGATAATTTTCAATGGTTGTAGAATATCGATTTATTTGTATACAAATGAGACTTTTGCTGGATTGTTGTATTACCCTATTTACATATAGTGTAGCATAATGCTGGCCGCGCGCACACAAAAGGCATATAAACTACTGGAGGAGAGACTATGATGGGGGCATATATGACATAATAGTAGAGTGGGTAAAAAGGAGAGAGTGAGAGAGAGATAAAAGAGATGGTCATGTCCAGCCATCGGTATATACACAAGGCAAGTTTTGATGAATGTGAAGTTATAATAAGAAAAGGGAGCGCATGATGTCAAGAAAAAGAATGCATGACGAATAATAAAATGGGATCGTTAAACACCGTTAGGGATCGAACTTGAAGAGATAAGGATGAAGGGGCATCCATTTGTTATAGCCGATAGGCTGTGGTCGAACAAACACAGGTGGGGGGCTGTCGGCTTCAGAATCGCTTGTTAAAGGAGATGGCATGGATGATTGCGTCCTTGGTTCATGGCATCGTTGATGACGTGAGAGTGTTGTCTTGCGCGTAAATGACTTGCCACAATGGCAGACGTAGGGTCTTTTGCCGGTATGTGTACGTCGATGACGAGCCAAAGAAGACGACTATGAGATGGATGATGATAAGTCAACGGCACATTTTGGAAATTGGGTCAAGAAGTAATACTTACGTCGCTAAAAGATTTACCGCATGCCGTGTATTCACAAACATGAGGACGTTCACCCGTATGGGTGCGATAATGAACTGTGAGGGCTGATCGTTGAATGAATTGTTTGCCGCATCCTTCCCACTGGCAATGATAAGGTCGTTCTCCGGTATGAATACGTCGATGTCGGCTCAAATCAGATCGCCGAGAAAAGGATTTACCACAATTAAACCAAGTGCAAGCAAATGGCCTGTCGTAGTAATAATCAGCAGAGGAGGAAGAAGTTGACTCAATGGAAGAGAATGATGACATGCGTGTGGTGCGCATAAAATGTTCGTCGTCTTGATTATGGTTGAGAAGATTTTGAATATCCATGATGTATCGAATGTGTGTGTGTGTGTGTGTGTAGAAAACAAGGAAAAGCAAGAGCGAGAGAAAAAAAAAAGAGAAAGAGAACTTTGTCTGAAGAGCGGTAGCAGATCCAATTGCATGTCGCTTAATTTATATAAATGCTGTGTCACGGGTGATTCAACTTGGTGATACGCAATGCACAGATTACCGTGTGCCACACAGACAAAGTGGATGTGCTATTGTGAGTACTTTGCACGTTCACTACAAAAAAGAGACCCCTATTGTGTGCTGTATCTCAACCCCTCTTGTCTTTTTGCTCAA